ACAAGTCACGCTGGTGGGAAATCAATTTTGTCCCATACTCCTAAAAAGTACTAAATATCTCGTCGTTTCTTCCTTCTATGGCGCCCTAAATATCCCATCTTTTTATCCTTCTAAGGCACCCTAAATATCCCGTCGGTCAGTGCTTTTAAGACGCCCAAAATATCCCATTATTTCATCCTTCATTTTTATACCCAAACACCATGCACATACTTTTCGTATGCATCAATTTAAATTATTGTGGACTCTGTTTCTTCCTGTTATATAATTTCCTTCCTTTCTGCTTTCTTCAGCGATCTATTCAATTTTTTTGTTTTGTTATTTAGAATAGCTGGATGAATATGTGCTAGACGGGTCAATAATGTCACACGTTTGTGTGATATAATTAATGTGTACACGATCCCTTTCCCTTGTGTCTTTCTGTCTATTATTTTATAATCATCTGTATAATATTCCGTCTATTCTTTTATCTATGTATTACTACATCTCGCATAATGCCTGGGAAAACGTGTGCTACATCTCCCTTCATGTCGCGATAAATATGCAGTGTATTTTCCTCGCAAGTCCCACACGTAGTTTGTTCAGTAAGATGCTACTGAATGATAAAAATAGATTTAAAGATGCAATGTGTTCCTGTAAGCTCAATATCTCACCATTTTCTGAAATACCAAACCATAACTCACCATATTTAACTATACCTCATCAGTCCTCACCATACCATTCCATACCTCACCATACCTCATTAGTCCTTATCATACTACGCCATGCCTCATTATGTATTTTAATTCGCCACTTCTCACCATAGTTAACCTTACCTCATCAGTCCTGACCATACCGTGCCATACCTCATCATACACAGAGGCGTAGCGAGGGAAGGAGGGGGGGGGGGCATATGTCCCCGGGCGCCGACCTTAGCGGGCGCCAAAATGAGTTGGAAAAACAAATTGAAAGTTCGAGGGTGGGGGGTGCAAATCGAAAGTTCGAGATGGGGTGCAAATAGAAAGTTTGTCCCCGGGCGCCGGGAAGGGTCGCTAGTACGCTATGCCTCTGATCATACATGATTATATCTCAACGTACATCATTATACTTCACCACTTCTCACCATACTTAACTATACCTCACCAGTCCTCACAGTAACATCACATACCTCCCCACACCATTACATACCTCACCATCCTATGTCGTACCTCATGTCGTACCTCACCACATCTCAACTGAGTTCACCACATCTCATCATATTTCACATCATTCCTCACCTACCTCACCGTACCTCACCACACAGGTAACTGGGATACAACAGGTGCTCGGGTTAAATATCCCATAACCTAGATGCGAAGTGTGTCAAACAATCGAATGCTTGGGAAAAAAAATTAACACATGTTTATATCTAAATAAGATTCTAATATCTAATGTATACCATACATAAAAATGTCGAGGAGCAGATGGAGTAGAGCCTATCTAATTACTTAGAACTGGGTATATGAAGGCCTACTCAGATCTTTTAGTAAGGCGAAGTTGGTCTGAACTTAACCCTATGAAAATATGCATCGAAGTTCCTGTTTGGCTTCAGTTATGTTTTTAGATCTACTTAGGATTAAAATATACAAAATGAATTAATTTGTATTATATAAATAATAATAATAATAATAATAATAATAATAATAATAATAATAACAATAATAGCACTAGCAACAGCAACAGCAATAGCAACAACAATAGCAACAGCAATAGCAACGGCAATAGCAATAGCAATAGCAATAGCAATAGCAATAGCAATAGCAATAGCAATAGCAATAGCAATAGCAATAGCAATAGCAATAGCAATAGCAATAGCAATAGCAATAGCAATAGCAATAGCAATAGCAATAGCAATAGCAATAGCAATAGCAATAGCAATAGCAATAGCAATAGCAATAGCAATAGCAATAGCAATAGCAATAGCAATAGCAATAGCAATAGCAATAGCAATAGCAATAGCAATAGCAATAGCAATAGCAATAGCAATAGCAATAGCAATAGCAATAGCAATAGCAATAGCAATAGCAATAGCAATAGCAATAGCAATAGCAATAGCAATAGCAATAGCAATAGCAATAGCAATAGCAATAGCAATAGCAATAGCAATAGCAATAGCAATAGCAATAGCAATAGCAATAGCAATAGCAATAGCAATAGCACTAGCACTAGCACTAGCACTAGCACTAGCACTAGCACTAGCAACAGCAACAGCAACAGAAACAGTAATAGCAATAGCAATAGCAATAGCACTAATAATGTATTAAATTACAAAAGTCAGTTTGCTTGTATAGTTATAAAGGTCGTGTACTAGAGGTGGCCTACACTTAACACACCTGATGCATAATTACCGTAACTGTTGAGAATATCGGCTAATCCTTTTTTAAATAAATATAATCCGTATTACAGGCCAACAATACCATTTCCCGCAACTACATTTTTTCCCTGTGTTTAAACAGCACTACGATTATACTGTTTGAAATATGTTTCAGAGATTTGTTAAGGCTATATTTAGCTTTTAAAACAAAGAATGGTTATCATAACAAAGTAAATAATAACACAAAAGATGTTTATTTGAAGGATAGCTTAAAAGATCACAGCCCTAAGCTTTACTAAGTTAACAGCGGCGGGATAGAATGATAGAGAGAAGAGATTGAGAGAAAGAGGATCAGTGACCCCCATGAGTAGGTCTAGTCTAGTGTTTCAATGTTTGGTCTAAATGTGTGTAGTCAATGTAACATTAGTAGGTATAGTCTAATGTTTCAATGTTTGTTCTAACAATATAACATTCTACAACTGCTAACACTAAAATATGTGTACAAATGTTAAATGCCGTATAATGTATGCTCTTGTTTGTGTAGATCTTTCCTACACTTCTCTGAAACTGTAAACCATTTTTGCAAAGTTTCTTCGAGACATCTCTTCGGGGGAGAACGAAATGGAATTTATATAGAAAGTATATACTTTTACAGTGTCCGCCCCCCCCCCCCCCCCCGAAAAATTTCAAGTGCCCCCCCCCCCCCCCCGGAGAAAAAAAGTCTGGAAGAAACACTGCATTATGATAATGTCCTCCAAGATCTTTAATTATTTCTCTTTCGGGTGTCGGCATGCTCGGGCCGGTAAAGCTCATAGTAGTCAAACCATAAAATCACGAGTTCGAACCACCGCGCAGACGAGGCTCGATAGCAACGGACAGCACAGCATCCCATCTAGCAACTCCAAAATCAAATAACATATGCCTTGTAGTTTGTTCGTGGTTGTACAAAGGTTATAGAAGTAAATCCAGAAAGAAAAGCAGGGTGAAATCAGAATCAACTGGACATATGACGCATAACAGGTTGACAAGTGATGGAGGAAAATTCCGTCCAACATTTACAATTAAGAAAAAAAGAAGGTATCTCTAAAGCATAGGTTTTTAAAAAAATAATTCTGAAGCTAGGGGACATATGTCCCCCCCCCCCCCCTCGATACGCTACTGATTTCAAGTGTCTGTTTCTCTAGTCTTGTTGAAGACTTTTAAACTGTTCAGAATGGATAACCATTTCAGAACCTGTGGTATTTTACCGTTGTAGTATAACAAGCGTAGAAAATATAATTAGAACTTGAGAGAAACATAGCTTTTTAATTACTAGGTGTGCCATTTTTAACACGGTAACCAATCAGTGGCGTAGGCAGGGGGGGTTAAGGGGGGGTCATAACCCCCCAGTGTTTCTTCCAGACTTTTTTCTCCGGGGGGGGGGGGGCACTTGAAATTTTCGGGGGGGGGGGGGAGGCGGACACTGTTAAAAGTATATATTTTCTATATAAATTATATAAATTTCTTTTCGTTCGGTGGGAGGGGGGGCGGTAGAATTTTGAACTCTGAACCCCCCCCCCCCCCATAGACCCCTCGGTGTATATATGTATGAGAGGGGGGGGTGCAAATCGAAAGTTTGTCCCCGGGTAAAAATTGGAACCCCCCCCCCCCCCCCCATGAGACGATCCTGGTTACGCCACTGTAACCAATTGCAGGGGATTAATAAATTTTAGATTATTCATGAAACACATTATTTTTGTACAAATGGGGGGAGGGGCGCTTTTTATTAGTCACTAACCATTATGATAATTAACCGGTATTTATTCTGCTCCTATACAATCATAAAGCTATACGTGAGTCTATTTTCTTAACCTTAAAGACGTTTAATTCAGTAATGCAGTTCAAAATTCAAATTAGTTCAAAATGTGCTTTTTAAAGATAATTTGTTCTATCTCTTTAGGCGCCGCTCTACTGTTGGCACCGCTCTACTGTTGGCGCCCCTCTGCTATCGGCACCCAGCCTTCCAGCCATGGCCGCAGCTACGCCACTGCTAGACCACAATGAGTTGGGTTGTCTCACAACCACATCTATATACTCTGGTTCCGGAAAAGGGTAGACATTTTGATAGTTTGTGAAATTTACACAGTAAAATTTTGCAAGGGAATTAACCATCATGTCTTTTCGAACGTGTTACCAATAATGATTTACCGCCCCTTGTTGCAAGCAAGAATTTTGGATTAGAAAGAGTGGTTACAAACAAGAGACAACCACTAAGAGACTATTGCATTCTAGAGTATTTTAGTGAACAACGCGTTTACTAATTTTAAAGGATACCCTTGAAGACCTGGCGGCCAATAGGGCAGGTGAAGTAGAGTTCACATTTCGTGACCTCACTTCGGCACTTGAAGGGATAGTAAATGTGTTTAAAAGAATTCTTATATGTATAAGATTATGAATGTGGTTTTACATCATTCAATAGGTAGTTTCACGTTGAATCTTACAACAATACATTGGGCACTTAATGTACCACAGTTCAAGCGTCCACTGTTCAGAACAAAGGAAGCAGAGTGGACCTAGTTCACCAAACGATTTCAACGAAAATTGTTTCGTATCCCCTAAAATTAGCTGAAGATTTCAATTCAGTTGTGTATGAAGACTACAAATGCAACAAAAAATTTCAACAAGGAAAGCATAATTTTAAAAAATAAATTTTATTTAGATAACCCCACATGGAATGACAATATCTAACACCTGTAACAAAGATATTCAAAGCTTAACTGTGTCTTTTTTTCCAATATTAAATAATATACATATTTTTTTTTTACTGATTATGCAAAAATCTCATTATCAACTAAATAAATTTTTGTTTTTAAAAAACAGTCAGTGATATGAAGTTCAAAATTCAATTTTTTTTTAATTGAAAGTACAAGAAAACATTTTAATCATAATTAAAACTTTGTTCGTACCCTGTGTTCAGATCTAAAGTTTAAATGGCTTTTGATAATATCAACACAACATTTGATTTGAGAAGACAGAGGGTGAAGGCTTAATATCAAGATAGTAATTATCTTCAGGCTGTACAACAGTAGTTGACTGGATCAAAATAATAAATGTCCATGTTTTGGACTTTAAGTTAGCAAGTGTTCATCTTTAATATTTATTTTGATTTACATTTTACCAAACCTCTTCTTCAACAAGCACATTCAATTTCATCAGATGGAAACTTTCTCTTAAGCAAGTGACTTTGTGTTATTAAAGAACACACAAAAAATAACACAGTGATAAGTTAAACTCCTACATTTGGCAATTGATTAATTCAAGCTAAAAACTGAACAAACAAAATAGAAATTATTTGGCAGTAAAAAAAAAATGGAATCAAAATTTTTCAAAAATTCCTAAAGGCTTTTAATATGGCACAAATGATTTTTTTTAAATATATAAATACACACACATGCATGGAAGCTGAGATTTTGTGTAACTTCTAGTGAGGCAATAGGCCTACAACATCGCATTGGTCAACGCAAATGCACTACTAGCAGTGTACAAAAATGGCAGTAACAAAAAAAGGAATTTTAGAAAATCTTATTAATAATACAGATATGCAATACTAATATCATTTTTTTTGTTTGATCAATCAAATTTATATAGATAAGCAAACAAAAAACTGTATAACTGAATAATTTAGGCTAGTCTAAACTGAAATCTTTTAACAACTGTATTTATTAAAATCTTAAATTTAGCAAAAACAAAGTTTTTATGAAAAATCAAATTTTTAAAAATATATTTTAATAACTTTCTTAATTGTAAATGTATGTATTAAGTGAAACAAATATTTTAAAATGCAGTGCTCAAGTATTTAACATCAATAGTAAGAAATTTGCTGTTTTTTTAAAAGATAATCTAAATTTACGGGAAAAAAAATTAATTTAAAAAAACTTCCATAAGACATAGCCTTTGATACTGAACAAAGAGGGATAAACAAGATAGATATAGGTTCCCCCAGTAATCTTTTAGACTTACCTTTTCTAAAAACATACAATGGCACACTTCAAATAGGTTTTTTTTTCTCTTATTGAACAGTCAATAAAAGTCAGCAAATATAGATACTAAATCTAATATATATCAATCAATAAATAAATTTTTAAAAGTCTGTAAGTTCAATACAAACAAAACATTAGTACATAAATAATAAAAAGATCTACCAGATCTCTCCCTCAGGGTGTGCCCCTTTATATTCATAATTTATAAGGATTTAAACATTCTACAATCTATAGTGAAGACAAATTTCATTGCTGAAATTGTAAAAAAAACAGACAAAATGTCAAAGGACCTCTGCTTAAAATGTTGAGAAAGTTTGAGCATCAGATTAATTGATTTTCAGACTTTTTGGCTTCTCCCAGGGAAACTCCTCACGTCCAAAGTGACCATAGCAAGCAGTTTTCTGAAAGATTGGATTCCTTAGGCCTAGATCACTGTGGACAAATTCAAACAGATTTAGATGTCTTCATACATTTTTTAAAAGATAATTTTGAAATCTTGCTAAGGTAAAAATATAATCATCTTACTATAATACTTATGAAAATTATATAAAGTTAACAGCCACTAATTTAGAATTTAGCATTTTTTTCCAGCCTGTGCCCAAAAGAAATAGGGCACATGAAGTAAGAGACCATCTGTTTTTATGACCTCAGCATATGAAGGGATAGTGTGGTCAGCAGCCCCAGTTTCCCTAAGGATAGTCAGGTACCAATCAGAGCTGAGGGGACTCGGTTACTTTCCACAGACCCAAACCCAGGATTCAAAATTGAGACTTCCAGGTTAGCAGTAGTAAGCACTACCACCTGACCATGCTGTTCCCTAACTTAGACTTACTCAACAATTTTTCCTGGTCTGAGATCAAAGTTGTCCTTTATGATTTGTAACAGCTGCTGTTCACTTTTCTTGGAGGTTCCAAAGCTGAAGACAGTTATAGACAGGGGCTCTGTCACATTTATGGCGTAGGAGATCTGAAAAATAAAAAACATTTAGAATGGTAAATCTGGAAATATTGGGAACTCTTCAGAAAACCTAAAAAAATTATTTAACTACTTTATAAAAAAAAAAAAACTAATATATTGATTGTAGATCTGCACCTGAACCAGAACACGTCTACACAGCTTGGCCTTCACAAGTGACTTAGCCACCCATCTGGCCGCGTACGACCCGCAGCGGTCAATCTTGGCACCATCTTTCCCTGACAATGACCCTCCACCATGAGCTCCCCAGCCACCATACGTGTCCACAATAATTTTTCTTCCTGTTAGCCCTGCGTCACCCTGTTGTAGAGGAAATACTATCCTATACTCAAATGTGATAAATTAGACTGCACACATTAACAGATACATCTAAAAGCGTTAGTCCTAGAACTTAGAAATAATGTTTTATATGTGATATGAAAAAATGTAGATATTATGTTTTAATAATCAGTTTCCAATAGAAACAGGGCTCAATATTATCATTTTAATCATTTTTTTATTTTATTACTATTTTTAACAATATAAGTAGATGACACGAGGTTCCAAATATCTATGTGCTAAAAATACCTGTGGACCACCAATGATGAACCTGCCAGAGGGCTGCAGGTGATAGATGGTGTTGCTGTCCAGGTATTTCTCAGGTATAACTGGCTTGATGACCTTCTCCATGAGGTCCCTCCTCAACTGGTCCATGGTGACATGTTCATCATGCTGAACAGATATGACAACTGTGTGAACCCTGGTTGGTATGGTGGCTCCTCTCTCAATCTTGTACTCCACAGTCACCTGCAGTTTAAAAACATATTTTTTAAAATTTGAAACTGCCCTGTGTATGTAATTTCAAAATTAATAAAAAAACTAAGTCAGCCCAGTCCTGTTTAGTTCATAACAAAATGTTCCAAAAATAATTTATAGGTATGTTAACAGCTAGTTTAAAATAAAGTGTTTGCTTTTTTAAAAATAGTTTTAATATTCTTATTCATATCCAAAGTGTTTGATTGCCGAATATTTTTTTTATTGTCCTAGACCTGCTTCAAGTTTGTTTGTTTTTTAAAACTGCTACTTCCAGTTTCATGATATTAAGTCAAGTGCACTTTCTGTAGCAACAAAGAGCTAAACTGTTTAATTTATGTTGGTGTTTCAAGTGATTGCATGGACAGCACTTTGCTCCATTTCTACAGACTTAGTTAAGCACCCAGAGCTGAGTGGACTCGGGGACATCCTAGTCTCAAGCTTGAGAACTGAACCCCTGGATATCTGGTTAGCAGCCAGGTGCTCGACCACACCATTCCATAAAAGCAACTACAACATTATTTGTATATACTCTGTGGGCCAGGTAACTGTATTCCTGTACTGCTTGAGGTTTGTGTAAGGCAATAGTTGCTTTTTAGCTTATGAGTCTAGAAAATTTACAAAAAAGGAGACAACTAGGCCATTTAAAGTTAAACATACCATTAAGAAAGACGCTGTTCGAATCCTAATCTAATGAATACATTATCTAATGAACTCACCTGTGTCTTGGAGTCTGGCCGAGCCCATTCCAATTCACCATTTTTACGCAGCTCTGCCATCTTAGCATTAAGCTTGTGTGATAAGAGAATGGTAAGGGGCATGCACTCTTCTGTCTCATCAGTTGCATAACCAAACATCAGCCCCTGAAAATTAGCAAGTCACTTAACTGTCTTTGGGGCAAGATTATCATTACTTAAATAATAATAAAAACTGTTCTACTTATTCTTAAACAGTCACAAGAAAATTTTAACTATGAATATTAACATGTAATTTATTTGTATTACATAGAATAAACAATTTCGATTCAAGAGAATTTTTCAACAAGAATGTTGGCAATGTTTTGTACATAAAACAATGCAAACAAACACTGACCTGGTCACCAGCTGGACTGTTATGGTTTTGAATACTATCACTATCCTCTGCATAATAGGAGTGGCTAGAGAACTCTTTAGCATCAGGTTCTTCAATAGCTATCAACACATTGCAAGTCTTGTAGTCAAAACCTGCAGGAGTTATATATAGCTTCTTTAGAAAACAGTGTAAAGGGAGCTAACATATGTCCATTTATATTTTGAATACATAAAATATTAAATTATAAGATGCAAGTTAATTGGTATTTTAACATTGTAGTGACTTGACTATTATAAAGCCAAATCAGTTGCCAATTGTTGTACAGCAATAAATATAAATAATAATTTTAACAGAAGCAGTTCATTAAACGAAGGAGCTGTATCGTGATAAATAAATGTCACATTTATGAATGAACAGAGACTTTAACCCATGAACTGCATAAAAAGCAACAAGACAAATCACTAACCTTTAGCACTAGCATCATAGCCTATGTCCTTAATGGTAGCCCTAACCAACTTCTGAAAATCAATATGCGGCTTCTTTGTGACAATGTCACCGCAGACAAAAATCATGCCAGTTTTTGCTGCACACTGACATGACACTCTGGCATACTTGTCATCTGTCAGCACTGCATCGACTATAGCATCACTGACTTGGTCACAAATTTTATCTGGAAAAAAAAAGCATAATTAGCAACAAATTGACATGTTGGAAGAGTAATTATCATTAGTCTATGGTGCAATAAAGTGACAAGTGTTTATAAATGGAACAGTATTAGGCCTATATTAATACTAGTCTTTAAGAACAGCCATCTATTTATTTTAACAGCAGATTATAGTTTAAATTTAACTAAATCAATTTGTTACTCAACCTTCCATTTTATTTATGTAAAGAAAATTAAAATAAACTTATTTTTATGACATTAACTAAATCATTAAAATACATGTACATTATCTGACTCACAAGCTCAAGTCACTTCCAATTTATTATAAAAAGACGTAGATAAAGAGTGAACTAGTACTACAATAGCATTAGGCACTTTCATCTTTTATTTTGATACTAAAAGTAGAAGCATGTAAAAGTTGTTCAATCAGAGCTCAAACATGTGTTTAAGAGATAACTTATATAATGAAACGAATATTTAGTATCTTTAATGTACTTTAAACAAATATATTTTTATAAATAACTAGTAATTAAAATTTCTACTAAATGATAATTATACAAAACACTATGTATAAACTGCAATCATGGATTAGACCCGAATTCAGACTAGATCTATATGAAGTTAATGTTATTAGTAGGCTTAACCAATCTGAATCAGTAAAAAACAAAACTATTCAAATTACCTATAGTCAAGCAATTTTTAAATATGAGTATTTTACCTTCAGAATGAGTTTGAACCTCAAATTTTCTAGTTATTTTCCAGGTTGAATAATGAAATAATTAGGCTATATTCGAAATAAACAAGCCCTAAAAAAAAACTCTGAAGATACTATTACAAGGGCAAAAGCTAGTGAGCTTTCGACTTAGTTTAAGCATACTACTCAGCAATCTCATAGGAAATATGCTATTTAGTTATATATGATAGGTTTGTAGATATTAATCTCTTTGTTATCCAGTAATCAGGTCCTAAAACATTAATAAGGTTTTCATCAAACCTATTTATATTAACGAAAAGTTTTATGTTTTTTTTTAAACTGAAAAGAGTGGTACTTATTTAAACACTTAAAAACAGATGTATATATTTTATTTATTTTTGTTTTAATGATTTAATCTATCCCACTGCAAAGTACATCCAATACTAAAGCTGCAATCTAGTTGTACACACACAGTGACGCAATGTTTTATAAGGATTTCATATGCTTTACTGATCATGTAGTTTTAGATGCATGACCTTGTTTTCTAAAACTTAACTATTTAAATATAAACAAAGCGGCAGCTATATTTCTTGGAACATCATTGTTGGGGCGCCGGTTTGTCCACACTACTGCCTAGGGCATGCTGTGTGAAAGCCTGGAGTGTGCTTTAAATACCCTCCATAATAGTGAAATAGCAAGCACCTTGCATCCACCAAGGTGTCAGTCATTATTTTTGCTATTTTGCATGAAATAGAAGCAGTTCAACCTAAAAGAGGAAAAATCTATTTTTAAAAAAACCTGACCTCAGACTAGAATCTAGGCCTTAATTTTTTTGGTTTATTGAATGTCAGTTCATGGCCTCTAATAATAGATCTATGTCAGTGGTCTGAGCCGCATGCGGCTCTTTTGATATCAAGATGCGGCTCTCCAGCTCCTTGAACAAATACTAATAATCTTAATAAAAAAAAAAAATATTTGAAATAAAAAAATGTTAGTGGCTCTTTAAAACCCGGGAAATATTGAAAATTGTAACTTTTGGCTCTTCCGCTTCAAAAGGTTGCCGACCCCTGATCTATGTGCAATTTATTATTCCATGATTATTAGGCAAAATTTATTTTTAAAAATGCCAAACTATATTAATATTTAGATTAGTTAACAAATATATTCTAAGAGAATAACTGATTTTTGTCTGCACATCAGGTCTTAGTCAAATGCAAGACATGTATGCAGAATCACTGGTAAATAGACAATCTTCTTATTTCTAGCTTAGACATGTATGCAGAATCACTGATAAATAGCAAGACAATCTTCTTATTTCTAGCTTTGCTTTTTTTTTCTCCTGATGTGCGAGAAGAAAAGTTATAACCTTACAGCAGATTTATCGAGAATGATGAATGTTAGTTTTTATCTAGAATCTGGGTCTGGATGTCATTGAGAGAAAAATCTTTTCTCAGTCAAGAGAGTTACTGTAAGTTCTGATTAGTTTAGATATTAGTAGGCCTACTGCATACGTTTTATGACAAAAATATTGTTATCTGAATAGTCGATGACATTACTTTAGTTTTTCCCTAAACCAAGAAAAAAAGAAAAACATACTTGAGGTCATTGTGAGTCCAGATAAGCTTAGGCCTTTAAGGCTACTACACATGCAACTTAAACATAAAGAAACCAGGCCCAAGAGATGTAGCCTACATTTTTTTATAGAATGAATGGCAAAACTGCAGCTGGAGGTCCCTGATGATCTCATATGCAAATGATTCAGCTGTTGCTTCAGCCATGAAGACCTTGCACTGCTGAAAGTGCGTCAAGTTGTTGGCCTGTACTTGTTCCAAAAACAAGACCCGTTTGGATCTGAAGGCCTTTATGTGGGTGTATAGAACAGAAACTAGATTTTACTTTCCTTGTAGTTTTAGGTTTAGAAAATTTAAATGACTAGTTATGACTGCAGCAAAGGTCAATTTCTATACCCACTCATCAGACATTAATGGTCGTGGCTTGCATTTACTTTCCAGTAAGGCCCCTATTTCCCTGCTTAACTTAAATACTCTGCTCAGAACTTTCCCACAATGTAGCCATCTTAATGTTGTATAATATGGTAAATGCTGCGTTTCTATGTTTGTATCTTTCAACATGTCTCTGAACTATCCATGGTTGAGCCCATGTGGCTTTATTAAATTCACCATCTTCACCACAGGATTCAGTACACTGCTAATGTCCATATATTTAGCAAACAAAGCTTGCTGGTGAATAATACAGTGCAGGAACATTGGTTGTAGAATGTTTTTCTTGTCCAACTAAGCCTTTCTTTAAGCCACTCATGTACTTTCCTCCATCAACATTCAGCTGAGGTTAGTCCAGTCCAAGTTATAATCGCATTTGTTATAACTCATTGAATATACCCTCTCCGGTAAAAGTGGCATACATGCTATGTAGGGAAGCCAGCTCTTGTGTGATGTTCATGGCTTCATTCACACCTCTAATGAACACAAGCAGTTGAGAGGTGGAACAGCTGTCCAGCGACTAATCCATTGCAATTGAAAAATGGCGTAACTTGCTTGCATTTTTCGCTATTTGAGTTACAATGTTTTCACCAATGTCTGCAACACGGCGGGCAATGGTACTTGCACCCAAAGATACATTTTTAAATTGATTTGAATTTTCTTGGCAAAGTTCCTCACAGCCACCTCCAACAAAAATCTTTTCCGCGGGCCAGATGAGAGGACCTCGCGGGCCGCATCCGGCCCTCTGGCCCTAGTTTGGAGACCCCTGGCCTATACCATAAATAATTTTATGTAGGCTGATATAAAAAATTTAATAAATTATGTTTAAATGAACAATTGAAGAGAGAAAAAAGTACATTTTACATATCTGGCAGGCCAGAGTAACATTTAAATATACAATATTAGAAAAAAAAAACAGAAAATCATCACATAAAAATTATATATTCTTGTAGAGCTCAACTATATGAAAACAAAACAAACACTAATTTCTGTTTAGCTCAAATAGTTTTTTTTAGTGAGTTTTTTTGTGAGGGGTGGAATCCCTTTGTTTTTTGCATTGGTCATTTGTGACAAGTCATGGTGTACCTGAATAAATGAGCATAGTTATTTTACTTGCAGTTGTATTTTGTTCATATTTGCAGAGTTTAGCAAGAACAATATATAGAACTTGTATATGTTGTTGAACTGAATAAAAATAATGCAGAAAGTATATTTTTGTGTTGGCTTCCTCCCCTAACCCCAAAAAATTGTTTGCTGCGCAAATATTAAAATGTTTCTAAAGCAATGTTATATAAATACTTTGAATGAAAGAACTACATAGTCATAAATCTAAAGTAAATCACTTCAGCACTGTAATGTGCATATAACTGCCTGATTATTTTCGGCAGGTGAGGTAGAGTCCATCTTTAAGCCATTTTGTTATAAGTGAACTGAAGTTATCAGACCAATGGTTTTTTTTTTATGTGTGTAAGAATTCTGAAATTCAGTATATCACTATAAATAAGGGTAAGTTGAACTTCAAAAATGTAAATTACAGTTAGCACATAGCTAGTGTAGAGCAACAGACAGGTAACCTAGGTCTGATTCTTGTCTAGTCTGACAAAATTAAATTTCTGGAAAAACATTTGGCAAAATTGTACTTCAAGCAAAACTAGATCTAGAGCTGAAAATAGAGCTGAAGATAGGTATATTAAATTATTTTTTTAAAAATAACAAATTAGGAGATTTGTTTGCAAATTACATAAGAATGCTGTTGTTAGTGTATCAAAACTAAAAGCCGGCAGATCGGAATGAAAAATATAACAATGTTGGCAACACGACCTACATACAGTGACTACTTTCAAATGAGTATTTACTAATAGCGAAGTCAAAATATCCAAAAAAAATTTCATTTCTGTAAAAAAGAGATGTATCTGCTAGGAAAACTTTCTATAAGCTTACGTCATAGAATGAACACAAGTTCACGAGATCGTCTGTTCACCTCTCTTCCTCCCTCCCCCCTCAAGCAAATTAATTTTTTTTTTAAGTTCACATATGATAAATAATATAGACATACATGCTAGATAGCTAAGCCTAAAAGTTAAAGGACAGTTTGATTTAGCTAGATTGCTGCTAGATCTAGGACTATCATCTGACCCACTTATTGACACTACACTACTGTTTTTAGCTGTAAAAACTCAATTGAAACTAACCTTTGTACAGACGTAAGACCAAAGCAGAGACAGCATGCTATCATAAATTAAAGGCCGCCTTTGCGCGGTTCGCTCCGCGTTATGCTTAATCTTTACCCTAGGTGGCACGCGATCTAAACAAAACAGATATCAGGACTGCCTGATTTTTTTTTCGTGGTAACAATTTAATGTTGACAAAGATCTAGATCGATTTTAAGTGTATTTATATTTTTTCAACATGTATGCTTTAGGCCTGTTGAACTCACAGTGACCTCACCGACCGTGGGCCGTGGTGGGATTTTCCACTCACGGGATAGTAAACGTAAGGCAAGCAAGCAATCACGCCAGTAACGATGTTTGGAAATTTTATTTTAAAAAAAAAAGAATCATACGTGATATTTTCAATATGAGAAAAAAAAACTAGTACATGAAAAAAAAAACTCCGGGTTTATAAACTACAGTCTACAGCTGGCACAATGTTGACTCAACCACACCGGATGTGAAAGAGATTTAAAAAGTAAGCATTTTCAATTACAAGATGGCAAATCCAACCTGCAAGACGCGTAGCCTATTCCTTAGGGGCCACGCTCTGCGAGACGTGTAGTCACTTTGTTAATTAAATTAATTTTTTAGTATGCAAAACCAAATCTTGTGCGCCTGGTACCAGAAAGTAATAATACTAAATAAATGGGAGATTTTGGGTCATGTTTTTACAGTGAACTCTGATGATTCCAACAAACCTAACAATAAGGTAGGCCCTATTATTTGGCATTTGGGACTGTTAGGCCTATAACTTATAATATAAGTTACAGTCCCAAATGCCACATTCGGCACGGCAAATAGCAGGACCAACTAACAAATTTCCATTCAGGTGTCCACCAGGTGTGTTAATATTTGGGCAATGCATTATAAAAAGGCCAATGCTAGCCGGAAAAAGATATGCATGCTATGATGCGCAATGGAGAGAAACTACGACTTGCCATTGCAGTGATGTTTTCAACCACAGCACCCTAGCCCTAACTCTAACCCCAACCCTAATCAGGCCTAATCCTATCCTAATCCCTAACCCTAGGTCACTGCGCATGTGCAGAACTATCTTTTGCCGACTAAGTGGAGACGTCGTTGGGGAGAAAAATATTTTTTCCGAATACAATAAAAATTTCAGGTGATCAACATTTCATTATTTAGCCCTAGGCCTTTAACCTTATTTATTAGCCTATTTAATTTATATAATAATGTCAACATAGGGCGGCCCACTAGGCCTACACAAAATTTGTGTTACCTGGATGACCCTCGCCGACAGATTCAGATGTAAACAGAAATGTGTCTTGTTCTTTGGAATTTTCCCCAGGGAAATTTTGGTTTCTATCTCCGTTAGGCTTTTTGATGAGAATTACAGAATGATTTTTTTTATTAAAAATGTATCAATAATAGCTAGAACACTAGTAAACTAAGCAAATTTAGCATATTTTAACTTTCTGTGCAAAGTCATTATTACTGAAAAAAATTCCAAAGTCAGGTCAGCCTGTGGCACCCTCCACTGAACGTGACAGAAGGAAAAAAAAACTTCACCCGTGACCTTCATTAAAACAGAATTTGCTTTTTTATTTTTTTTTATTTTTGGTAAACATGTGCTTATTCTTACCCAATAAGTGATAAAAATTTGAAAATTAATTTTAATTACAGTTGTAAAGTAAGATAAACAGCTTAATAAACACATGCTTTCTTGAGGGGGTGTGGCCCGGGTGTGGCACATCGCAATTATAACTTTATATTTCTGTGTTTTATGACTATATTTGTTTACAATCAGCATGCTATGTTTTTAAAATTGATAAAGGGTAAGTATACCAAGTTACAAAATCTGCAATCTAACTAATAATTCATACTTTCAATTTAAAAAATAATAAAAACGATCATCAACGAAGAAAGCGTAAACATTCTATTTTTAGGTGTGACATAAAAAACAGTCATAAATCTAGCCAAATGATTGGATTCTTACGCGGCACACATTTTCCCGCGCCTCGTTTTCACCAAACAAGAATATAATAAAATGGCATTATTACTTACAGCATGAAAAGCATTGTTGTCAGCCTAATTATATTAAACAATTCTATTTTTATTTGATAGTAAAAATGTTATAAAAATTGGGTCTAATAAAAAAGTTATTGGATAACGCACCTGCTTTAGTTTATTCGACTTGAAACGCAAGCTAAGTAAGCGTGACTTTCTCTCGACGGCCTCGTTAAATACAAATAAAGAAATTAGGTCAAAAGTACATCTGGGAATTCTTAAATAACAGACTGAAATAGAAACGGATAGTTCCGATGTCTAAAATTAACGATGGCCTCGTTATTATTAGTTTTATCCCTCTACCGTTTAGTGAAAGCGAAACTGGTCGCCATTTTGAGTAAGCGCATGAGCCGTGAGATGGCTTCAAAACAACAAACCCGGAAGCTGTGAATCGAACGGCCTAATCTCCGTCCATTTGAGTTTGATATTTGGGACAATATTCGCTCTATTTCTATCCTAATAAATTATCAGCAATAAAATTAAAAATAATAATTTCTAGATCTAGATGGGATACGGATGCGCCAACCCTGCATATCTCAATCAGCGCTAAATGCGAAATGTTTCAGGAAAGGTAATGCTAGGACTAGACTAGGCCTATTTGTTGTTTTTTTTCTGAGATCTCATTGGAATTTTTAAAGTTCAAAATTGTATTTATGAATATGTTTATTTGAATATATTTTTTGCTTTAGGATATATTTTACTGTTAGTATTTATATTTTTTTTGTAGTACACGATTTCTTATTCAGCAACAGAAATCATATATTTTATGTATCTTGTGAGATTAAAAACCCAAATAATAAATACTCCCTTTAGTTTTATATTCCATATCGTAAAACTACGGTAAGACTAACTAACGGGATCAGCGTACGATCAACTTATTACAGTATTTGACTTGAATGACTTTCTTTACTCATCTTTACTCTTTACTAGTCTAGCTAGATCTCTAGATCTAGACTTCGGTAAAATCACGATATAGCGTCGGTTATTATTCCGGAACAGTACAGCAGTAAAAAACAGTAAAACCATGGCGTAGTCTGTCGAGCCGTTCCGGAAACCTCCGGAAATACTGTAAACCATCATTTATTTGCCGCCATATTATTTTTAATACATAATGTTTAAAAATGTGCAAGGATTGATTTTAGTTGCATTTTAAATACTGTTTTGCTAATTATTTTGTATTTCTAATTATTGTAAGTGTATGTGCTAATTATTGCTGCTACTAAACATTATTCTAGTTATTCTTACTACTTTTAAAACTTTAGTTCATCTAATCGTCTTATTTACTAACAGAACTAGAGCTGGTTGTCGCAAATCTTCTGCAGGTTTTTTCTGTTTCTTAAAAAAAAACATTAATTACTACACTCGAGTTTATTAATAATATTTAGATTTTCTATCTGTTATTAATTTTCTGTCAATTAAACTGTAAATTAAGTTAAAACATTAATTTAATGCACTTGACTTTATTTTTATTTCACCGGTCAAATAAACTATGGTTTACAGTAACGAATGTTACCGAAACTCAACGAACATTACCCAATAATTTCCGACGCTATATCGTGATTTTACCTAGACTTCTAGTTAAGCATAGGCCTACTTGATAGATCTACCAAATATATTTTGAAAAGTAAATTACTAAGTCCTTGTTAATGTTATGTAAAGTAAGCAGCTTAGCTTAAATTCGGCCGCTACTGATCTAGAATCTAGAGATCTAGTAATGTGAAAAATAAAATAAGGTACCTTTTTCGTACATTACTAGATCTAGCTGCGGGCTATTTTACGTACCTAAAGCCTAAAACGATAGATTACCAATATTATTTTATTATATTAGGCCTAGGACATTATTATAGAGGCCTATTACTATATAATAATTTAATAATATTAATAATAATAATTTATTAATTAGTCTAAGCCTTAGACATGGGTTCCTAAACTGGGGGTCGCAAAGGCCTTTGTGGGGGTCGCCAACTGACTGGTATACTAAACCTTAGTAATGAGAAACAAAACATAGATCTTTAAAAGAATATCTGAAATTCAGCTTTACTAACATCACTGGAAATGGAATAGGGAAGAAGCCTTGCGTACTGTACAAAGTTGTTCTCAGTCACAAGCTTATGAAATCTCCAAAACCTAAAAGTCATTTGAGACGAGTCATTCGGAACACACCAAATGCAAATAAGATATGGATGTCTTTCGTCGGCATGAAGCTAGCTGCAAACGTCAGAGACTTGATCGAACAGGAAGTTTTCACCAAGGAAACCCAGCATTAGTGCAAGCATCAAATGAAGTCGCGATAGAAAATGCCAAGCAAAAAAAAACACAATAGGAGAAAATCTCATCAAATGCTGCATGTTGAAGATGGTGAAGTTAATTCTTGGTGATTCCAGTGCAGTAAAGATGCAACAAATATCTCTGCCTAATAATACTATTCAGCGGCTTATATCATCAGACATGTCCGTAGATGTTAAATAACACATTTTATTTAAATCAAACTTTCACCATTGTTTGCTTTTCAAGTTGATAAATCAACAGACATGAGTTCGTGTTGGCAGTTGCTGGTCTTTGTCTATATTCATTCAGATGATAGCAAAGAAGAGTTGCTATTTTGTGAAGATAGCATAGAGAAAATAAATACGTTTTATGAAACTGGATGATTAAAATGGGTTAAAACGGCTGTGGGGGTTTGTACGTATTGTGCGCCATCTATGTTTAGGTTAAAATCGGGCTTTCAGAAAACAAAAGATTTAGCTCCCTAACCACTGCCTTCGCCATCAAGACTCCATTGCTAGTAAAAGTCGTAAATTGTATTAAATCTGGAGCCTTCAACTTCAAAGAACTGAGCAAAGACATAAATAAAGATCACGAGGTTCTGCTTTTCTACACTACAGTACGCTGGCTGTCAAACAAAATGTTGTGAATCGTGTTTTTGAATTGAAATCTGAAATCAAATTGTTCTTGGAAGTGCAAAGGAAACAAGACCTTTTGGTATACTTAAAACGACAAAGAGTGGTTGGAGAGAGTATCATACCTAGCAGATATATTCGAACAGCAACATAAGCTTAACCTGAAGCTTCAGGGAAAATGAATGAATCACTTTCCATGATAATCTCAGGGCATTTTTATCAAAGCTGCAAAATCGGCGAAGAAAATAAATCTTGGAAATATTGTAAATTTGAGAAACTCTGCAGTGTGGTAGATGAATCTGATTGTGAGATAATTAAAATTTTGAAAGATCAATTTCTGGGCATCTTGAATCTCTTGATAAAGAACTGCAGCGCTATTACCCATTCTCTTCTTCCTTTGGTGTTGCCAGCATTCCTGATGAATTACAAGATGAATTCTTTGATTTGCAGAATGATTTCGCGTAAGATGAAAAACTGCACACACAATTTTGATGTAGTATTCACCATTCATACCCAAACATCAAATTGATTGACTTTTCGAGAATACATTTTCAACACTATTTTACGATTAAAAACAAAATTAAACATTAAATCGAATGTTGATAATGACATAGGTTGACGTTAACAAAAACTTAACAGCGAATGTTTAGTAAATAGCATGCAATTTTACTCATGGTATTAAAGCAGATATCAATGGTAGTTCATATTGAAAGTCTAATAGAAAATCTTATTTTAGTGCTTGTTAATTTCCATACTAATTTTGGCTTTTTAATTCTATGGGGGTCGCGGGTCACTTACTTTTTATAAAAGGGGGTCGACACTCAAAAAAGTTTGGGAACCACTGGTCTAAGGGATTGGGCCCTATGGCATATTCCCATTATTATTTTATTATGCTAAATTTTTAATTTTGTATTATTATTAGGCCTAGTTTATTAATAATAATATAAAATTAATATTACTATACTAAATATAAAACTATTTATTAGATAGAATAATTAATTATTAAACTTTACTACTTTTTGTTCTAACACAGTAATTTTATTTTATTGAATATATTGCAGGTAGTTACGTGCAACACTTGAATTAACAGCATTCAAAGCTTGCTGTAGGCAGATATTTTTCTAGATAGAATGATGTCATCTTCTCCACTTGTTTTTAAACATGGCTTTCAAAGAATGTCAAGATTCAGCTACATCCACGCTCAGAGCTGGAGACCAACCACGCCCCTTTTTATGTGTAAATATAATTCTGTATGGCTTCAACAAAGCCAAAACATTTCTTCAATGCCTCTCAGAAAATCTTTGTTTGATAGCAGGTCTTGTTTAACACTGTCTAGTTCATCATCACCAAGCTATGAGAAGGGATGTATCCAGAGAGGAACTATTAGATGCAACCAGACAAGTTCTGAATCCAAGCAACTTCTTGAAAAAATTAAAAATATGGAGTTTAGGGAGATTTATTTTACCACAAGTATTAGAATGTTTCGTACTGTGTGTACCTCTAATAAGTTATCTTGTTTGGCAGCGATTCTTGGGGTCCCTGTAAGTGGGGGTGCTGCTCTACTAGGAGCGATTCCAACTCAGACTGCTCTCAGTATTTCTAGTGTTTTATTACTTTACCCTTTAATTTTTCTGGCGCCTGTTTTTTTTATTTCTAGGGTTGTGGCTAAAATCATGATTAGTGATAACCAAGAATATCTCAAAATGTCACATTTAACTATGTTTGGACAACGGCGAGATATTTATGTCAAACCTACAGACATTTTACCACTCCAGCATCATGCTGATGGAGTATTTTCTAAAAAGATGGCTGTTGTAAAGTTTAGATCAAGCTCTAAATTTTTATTACTTTTTCCACACAACGGTAGTCAGAACACAGATGTGGAGGCCTTGGAAATTATATTTAGTGGGGAGTTGTTAAACAAAGAAAACAAAAAAGAAGACACTGAATAGATAGTTATATTTATTTTCAAAATACCAACTGCTTTTTAAAAAAAACATGTATTTTTGTATCTGTTATTCAAACAAACAAAAAAGACTAGTTATTATGTATATTGAGTCTATTTCAGAGTTTCTTCCAGGTATCTCTGCCGGGGGGGGGGGGGGGGGTTAAGCCCCCCCCCCCCCCCCCCCCCCGAAATTTTTTTACCCCCCCCCCCCCCCCCCTCCCCGAACGAAATGAAATGTATACAATTTACGCCGAAAATTTCAAGTGCCACCCCCAAATGAGAAAAAAGTCTGGAAAAAACACTGGTCTATTTGCTATAGGCCTACAATGTTGTTGTGTTAAAATATTATATAATTTCATGTGAATCTTTAGATCATCTTAAATTGAGCTTGAAATTGTGAAATTTAATAATAATAGTTCATTTTGAAAAATGTCAGCAACAGGTGTCGTATTAGATTTTTTAAATAAATAGAACCCTGAAAGCTGAATGCTGTTCTTTGACATGTAGTGAAAACTGTTTGCATTTTATTTTTGGCAAAAATATCTATAAATTGTATACACATTTCTTTGTTCATTAATTTTTGTTTAAAAGTTCAAGTCTGGTAACTAAAGCTCAGCTTGTTTAGTGTTATCTCTATATTGTTAATACTACAATGTTAACTTCACAGCAAGATTTGCCGCGGTTGGGTCAGTAAACACTAAAGCTCATGGCTGCTAAACCAAAGAGTTCAAGCCCCTGGCAGTTTAGACTCAATAACTGGGGACATTAACCCATCTAGGAGAAAAAAAAACTATAAAATCAAACAACTGCTGCCTTGTAGTCTGTTCTTGTATGGACAAAGGCTAAGGAAGAAGAAGAAAAATAGGCTGAAATTTGAGTCGGCTGCCTATATGGCACATAAAAAGTTGCCACATAATACTTATTTGTCTTGAGGGAAATCCCCTTCCAACATTACAATTAAAATATTAAAAACAAAGAATAAAACAAATATAAATAGCTTTATAATAACAAGCTTTAAAATGCACTGAAAATAAGAAATTTAAACTAATTTGCTCTTTTTAATAAAAGCTTTGATCGCTCATGAGATCTCTTACAAATTATAGCGACCAAAGCTTTTACTAAACAGCAAGTTTGTGTTATTTTCTAATTATTAGTGCGTTTAAAAGCTTATTACAAAGGTTTTTATATTTGTTTTATTTTCCACTTTTTAGTAATTTGTTCTAAATGAAGTTGACACTAGACGTATATAAACTTTGACTTAAAATATTTGTGTTACTAGTTTGCAATCTACAGTTGTCTGACAACAGTTCATCCTATAGGCCTAGGCGATCTGATCGCAATATAATCTTGTTATCTCCTTAATTATCTATTATATATATAATTCTCTTCATCACCACCACGTACGCTCAACAGACCATATCGCTACCACCTCTACCACCAGTCTGGTGAGCTGTTTGCAAGCTTAGTGCCGGGTCGAATTAGTGACGGCTATTAGGGGCAGATAATTTAGATTTTAAACCATTTTAAACTAAGGGGAGGTAATAAGATCCGCTTGATCTTTTCATTGTCTGTAAACTGGCGTCACGGACGGCGGCTTTCGTGGGGGGGGGGGGGGGGGGGGGGTGGAAAGTGAGCGTGAGGATCGGATAATCGTCCTTCACTAGCTACTGATAGTACTTTAAAGCAAAATATTTTCAGTCGCAGCATTGGTAGTGTCGAATTCACAAATTATGAGGTAACTGAAAATTAGGAAATAAAACAACTAAATATCGGCGTATGCTACGTCGCGGGTCAATTCCTTGAATATAGTTGAAACCCAACCAGTAGATTGTGATATGTAAAGGACGTCTTTCTACGTGGTCGACACTCGAGCAACTAACCGTGACCAAACAACTTTCAGCCTGAACCACAGCTCATCGGGTGATGGCGTCTAGCTAGTTACCTCCCCTTCTGTTGTTGAATACAGTAATCTATCAAGTGGTCGTTAGCATTTAATCTTGCTATCTCCCCTTTTTCGAAACCATTTTATTATATTATAATGACTAATACAATGTCTAATTAGATTAAACAATAGATTTTCATGCATTGCCCTCGAAGAAAAAATTGTACGAAATCGCTGCATTTGGTCAAAATTGAGTTACAAGCTTTGCCACAAACAAACAAACGAACTAAATAAAATCTTGTAAAAAGAATAAGCACAAATGTAATAGATGTGTCATCCTTAACATTTTGACCTGATTTTGTGGATATTGTTGACATATCTTTAAAAAATCTAGCTGATGTAATTTCTAACTCTGCAAATATCTGTATAGCAGCTTTTATTTGTGAACAATCAGTTAATCCTGCAACACCTGCACTCTAAAAAAAATGTTGTCTATCATTGTAATCGATTTTTTAAATTAAAGTCACATCCATTTACTGCTAGTTTTCCATTAGCGTTTTATTTTGTTAGTCCACTCGCTTAGAGTGGCTGTGGCTTCATTTATTCGTGCAGAGGATTAACTCGTGCCTTACGTTACGTGTGGATTTTGGTTTGCGTTGTATTTGTGGTAGAAATAATATAATCGCGAAAATTGGCAATTTTTAGAAATTTAACTCAGGATTTTTGGTGTTAGATCTACGTACTTATAATTCAAATTATGAATGCAATAATTCAATCAAACTTTATTCTATAAAATAAAAAAAAATTGCGGAGGTTTGTCGGTCGCCTGTAACACAATGCCGTCTCAGACTAACTCCCCTCAACATGACAAGTTGCTGCGTCAAAACACGACCAAGATGGACAAGAACTTGATACACAAGATACTAATGCAGGTGGGTGCAACTTCATCAGCTGCCATGTTACATCATTACTGGTTAAGTGGGGGGGTACAACCCTACATTTTGGGCTATATCAATTTTACCCCATTCCTTTTATAAGTGGTAAATTTTGTCGCGTCATTTAATTTTTTTGTATCTTGCCCAAATAAGCCCCGCAACTGATGCAAAAAGCGCACGTGTGAAAAGTTAAGTCCCGCTACTTTGACCCACTTCTGAAGTCCAGACATTTGAATATTTAAACGTGCGTGTAGGGCTAGGCCTAAAGCTACCAAAATACGGACCTTTTCATGCAAATTATTAATGACGTCCCAATTTCACCCTTTTCAATAATATCTACAAGTTTATTTTCCTCTTTTCTATATTCTTTTTTGGCTGCGATGGTTGATATTTTGGTGGGCTTCTCTGGACAAGATCCTAATTTCACTCCAGTTTCAATATTTGATGCTGTACCCTACGAGTGTGTCACGCTGTAAGAATCCACCTGCGTTTGCAAGGGGAGGGGGGGTCTCCTCAATCCATACCTTTTTTCAGTCATTCAGTACTAAAGCTAACAGTTTACGCAATTTTTTTTCGGTAAAATAAAATATTTTACAGAATAATAAAAGTCAAATATCAAACAAGGCATATATGTGTCTTGAACTTGACCAGTGTCATTTAGTCATGGACATTGAACATGAACAGTGTTAACTCGGTCCTCGAAAAGTCGAACAGGGATGAGTCTAAAATTCCCGAAAACAACTTTAAAAGTTTTCGGACACAGAGAAAGAGCTAAACGATGTGTGTGTGCTGAAAAAAGGTTCTAACTAACTATCGAAATATTGTTCGAGCAGGCCATCAGAGAAGGGAGCGTTGGTGAGCTAAGAGAGGTTCTAGAAAAACATCCGGACCCTAAGAAGCTGGTGCACCACCTTGATGAGACGGGTGTCACCGCCCTGCACCTTGCCGCCAGGTACAACAGAACAGAAGCTGTAGAGGTTCTCGTGGGGTACGGCGCAGGTAAGGCGACACCATAGTTGGAAGGTGGGGGTACTCTAGTCACTGGGTAGGGGGCTATGATCAGTGCTCTAGTCACTGGGTAGGGGGGGGGGCTATGACCAGTACACTAGTCACTGAGTAGGGGGGGGGGCTATGACCAGTGCTCTAGTCACTGGGTAGGGGGATATGGCCAGTACTCTAGTCACTGGGTAGGGGGGGGGGCTATGACCAGTGCTCTATTCACTGGGTGGGGGGGGGGGCTATAACCAGTGCTCTAGTCACTGAGTGGGGGGGGGGGGCAATGACCTGTATAGTCACTGGGTAGGGGATATGAATAGTACTCTAGTCACTGACTAGTGGGGCTATGATTAATATAGTCACTGGGTAGTGGGGCTATGATCAGTACTCCATTCACGGTGTAAGGGGTTATGATCAGTCCCAAAAAACCTACATGAACCTACGTTAGCTGCCATGATGAATGTTCAACGGTCGTGCCCATCTGGTTCCTGCCGATACTCCCCAGACGTCAGCATACTGAACGCTAAGAAAAACACCGCTCTGCAAATAGCGTGTCGTCACCGCGGCTATGACGTAATCAAAGTGTTGCTCAAGTACGGTGCTGACCAGCACACCAACGTGTCACTGGACGGAAATGTGCTGCACACGATAGCCATGCACTCCACGGCCCAAGCCGCACAGGTAGGTAAATGGCACATAATATAGTTGAATCGTTTGCAGCGGCGTCACTAGGGCGGGTGTCACCCGGCGCCGTAACTAAAGGGGAGGGGGGCACTACACCCCTTCGAGCAATTTAACACTATAGGTTTGGTATCACCCCTCTCCTTCCACTATTTTATTATTCTTAATAGATAACATTGTTTTGTCAGTAAATTTTACGATTTTTAAAAAAATTTGGTGTCACCTCCAAAATAGTGTCACCCGGTGTGTAATGCACCCCTATGCCCGCCTTGTGACGCTACTGATTGTTTATTATTGAACTAATTGTAAATGGCACAGAGAAATGTTATTTATAAAAGTAAAGTAAAGTTCCCTTTTCAAACCTAACGGTCTATGGGGCAAGTGAAGTAGAGTTCACTGGTTTCTGTGACCTCGGTATATGAAGAGATAGTGTGGTCAGCACTATGCCCAGCCGCCTTTACTTTCCCTAACGTAAGTTAGGTACCCATCAGAGTTGGGTGGATTCAGGGAAGGTCTACTGATTTGAACCCGGATTCGAACTCGAGACTGGTTAGCAGTCCAGCTCTCTACCGCTAAACCACTCCGTTCCATGAATTGTTGGTTATTTACATTATTAATGGTACTGTTAGTTTTAATTATAAAATAGAATGTACTCTTTACTTTTTTTTTAGTCCAAAATATACTTGATGTTTTACCACAGCTGTTGTTTGACGTGCACCCACCGCCAATTCACTCAAAGTCATTTTCGGGGTTCACTCCCCTGCACAGTGCAGCTGAATTCGGGAATGACGAGATGTGTGTTTGGTTGGTGAGTACATCATTGAGATGTGTGTTTGGTTGGTGAGTACATCATTGAGATGTGTGTTTGGTTGGTGAGTACATCATTGAGATGTGTGTTTGGTGACTACATCATTGAGATGTGTGTCTGGTGAGTACATCATTGAGATGTGTGTCCGGTAAGTACATCATTGAGATGTGTGTTTAGCTAGTGAGTACATCATTGAGATGTGTGTCCGGTAAGTACATCATTGAGATGTGTGTTTAGCTAGTGAGTACATCATTGAGATGTGTGTCTGGTGAGTACATCATTAAGATGTGTGTCTGGTGAGTACATCATTGAGATGTGTGTTTGGTGAGTACATCATTGAGATGTGTGTCTGGTGAGTACATCATTGAGATGTGTGTCTGGTGAGTACATCATTGAGATGTGTGTCTGGTGAGTACATCATTGAGATGTGTGTCTGGTTGGTGATTACATCATTGAGATGTGTGTCTGGTGAGTACATCATTGAGATGTGTGTCTGGTGAGTACATCATTGAGATGTTTGTCTGGTGAGTACATCATTGAGATGTGTGTCTGGTGAGTACATCATTGAGATGTGTGTCTGGTGAGTACATCATTGAGATGTGTGTCTGGTGAGTACATCATTGAGATGTGTGTCTGGTGAGTACATCATTGAGATGTGTGTCTGGTGAGTACATCATTAAGATGTGTGTTTGGTGAGTACATCATTGAGATGTGTGTCTGGTGAGTACATCATTGAGATGTGTGTCTGGTGAGTACATCATTGAGATGTGTGTCTGGTGAGTACATCATTGAGATGTGTGTCTAGCTAGTGAGTACATCATTGAGATGTGTGTCTGGTTGGTGAGTACATCATTGAGATGTGTGTCTGGTGAGTACATCATTGAGATGTGTGTCTGGTTGGTGAGTACATCATTGAGATGTGTGTTTGGTTGGTGAGTACATAATTGAGATGTGTGTCTGGTGAGTACATCATTGAGATGTTTGTCTGGTGAGTACATCATTGAGATGTGTGTTTAGCTAGTGAGTACATCATTGAGATGTGTGTCTAGCTAGCGAGTACATCATTGAGATGTGTGTCTAGCTAGTGTGTACATCATTGAGATGTGTGTCTGGTGAGTACATCATTGAGATGTGTGTCTGGTGAGTACATCATTGAGATGTGTGTCTGGTGAGTACATCATTGAGATGTGTGTCTGGTGAGTACATCATTGAGATGTGTGTCTGGTGAGTACATCATTGAGATGTGTGTTTGGTGAGTACATCATTGAGATGTGTGTCTGGTGAGTACATCATTGAGATGTGTGTCTGGTGAGTACATCATTGAGATGTGTGTTTAGCTAGTGAGTACATCATTGAGATGTGTGTCTAGCTAGCGAGTACATCATTGAGATGTGTGTCTAGCTAGTGTGTACATCATTGAGATGTGTGTCTGGTGAGTACATCATTGAGATGTGTGTCTGGTGAGTACATCATTGAGATGTGTGTCTGGTGAGTACATCATTGAGATGTGTGTCTGGTGAGTACATCATTGAGATGTGTGTCTGGTGAGTACATCATTGAGATGTGTGTCTAGCTAGCGAGTACATCATTGAGATGTGTGTCTAGCTAGTGTGTACATCATTGAGATGTGTGTCTGGTGAGTACATCATTGAGATGTGTGTCTGGTGAGTACATCATTGAGATGTGTGTCTAGCTAGTGTGTACATCATTGAGATATGTGTTTGGTTGGTACATCATTAAGATGTGTGTTTGGTGAGTACATCATTGAGATGTGTGTCTGGTGAGTACATCATTGAGATGTGTGTCTGGTGAGTACATCATTGAGATGTGTGTCTAGCTAGTGAGTACATCATTGAGATGTGTGTCTGGTGAGTACATCATTGAGATGTGTGTCTGGTGAGTACATCATTGAGATGTGTGTCTGGTGAGTACATCATTGAGATGTGTGTCTGGTGAGTACATCATTGAGATGTGTGTCTAGCTAGTGAGTACATCATTGAGATGTGTGTTTGGTGAGTATTATTGAGATGTGTGTCTGGTTGGTAAGTACATCATTGAGATGTGTGTCTAGCTAGTGTGTACATCATTGAGATGTGTGTCTGGTGAGTACATCATTGAGATGTGTGTCTGGTGAGTACATCATTGAGATGTGTGTTTGGTGAGTACATCATTGAGATGTGTGTCTGGTGAGTACATTATTGAGATGTGTGTCTAGCTAGTGTGTACATCATTGAGATGTGTGTCTGGTGAGTACATCATTGAGATGTGTGTCTGGTGAGTACATCATTGAGATGTGTGTCTGGTGAGTACATCATTGAGATGTGTGTCTGGTGAGTACATCATTGAGATGTGTGTCTGGTGAGTACATCATTGAGATGTGTGTCTAGCTAGCGAGTACATCATTGAGATGTGTGTCTAGCTAGTGTGTACATCATTGAGATGTGTGTCTGGTGAGTACATCATTGAGATGTGTGTCTGGTGAGTACATCATTGAGATGTGTGTCTAGCTAGTGTGTACATCATTGAGATATGTGTTTGGTTGGTACTTCATTAAGATGTGTGTTTGGTGAGTACATCATTGAGATGTGTGTCTGGTGAGTACATCATTGAGATGTGTGTCTGGTGAGTACATCATTGAGATGTGTGTCTAGCTAGTGAGTACATCATTGAGATGTGTGTCTGGTGAGTACATCATTGAGATGTGTGTCTGGTGAGTACATCATTGAGATGTGTGTCTGGTGAGTACATCATTGAGATGTGTGTCTGGTGAGTACATCATTGAGATGTGTGTCTAGCTAGTGAGTACATCATTGAGATGTGTGTTTGGTGAGTATTATTGAGATGTGTGTCTGGTTGGTAAGTACATCATTGAGATGTGTGTCTAGCTAGTGTGTACATCATTGAGATGTGTGTCTGGTGAGTACATCATTGAGATGTGTGTCTGGTGAGTACATCATTGAGATGTGTGTTTGGTGAGTACATCATTGAGATGTGTGTCTGGTGAGTACATTATTGAGATGTGTGTCTAGCTAGTGTGTACATCATTAAGATGTGTGTCTGGTGAGTAGATCATTGAGATGTGTGTTTGGTTGGTGAGTACATCATTGAGATGTGTGTCTGGTGAGTACATAATTGAGACGTGTGTCTAGCTAGTGTGTACATCATTGAGATGTGTGTTTGGTGGGTACATCATTGAGATGTTTGTTTGGTGAGTACATCATTGAGATGTGTGTCTGGTGAGTACATCATTGAGATGTGTGTCTGATGAGTACATCATTGAGATGTGTGTCTAGTGAGTACATCATTGAGATGTGTGTCTAGCTAGTGAGTACATCATTGAGATATGTGTTTGGTTGGTACATCATTGAGATGTGTGTTTGGTGAGTACATCATTGAGATGTGTGTCTAGTGAGTACATCATTGAGATGTGTGTTTGGTGAGTACATCATTGAGATGTGTGTCTGGTGTGTACATCATTGAGATGTGTGTCTGGTGAGTACATCATTGAGATGTGTGTTTGGTGAGTACATCATTGAGATGTGTGTCTGGTTGGTGATTACATCATTGAGATGTGTGTCTGGTGAGTACATCATTGAGATGTGTGTCTGGTGAGTACATCATTGAGATGTGTGTCTGGTGAGTACATCATTGAGATGTGTGTCTAGCTAGTGAGTACATAATTGAGACGTGTGTCTGGTGAGTACATCATTGAGATGTGTGTCTGGTGAGTACATCATTGAGATGTGTGTTTGGTGAGTACATCATTGAGATGTGTGTCTGGTGAGTACATCATTGAGATGTGTGTCTGGTGAGTACATCATTGAGATGTGTGTCTGGTGAGTACATCATTGAGATGTGTGTCTGGTGAGTACATCATTGAGATGTGTGTCTAGCTAGTGAGTACATCATTGAGATGTGTGTCTAGCTAGTATTACATCATTGAGATGTGTGTCTGGTGAGTACATCATTGAGATGTGTGTGTGTCTGGTGAGTACATCATTGAGGTGTGTGTCTAGTGAGTACATCATTGAGATGTGTGTCTGGTGAGTACATCATTGAGATGTGTGTCTAGCTGGTTAGTACATAATTGAGATGTGTGTCTAGCTGGTGAGTACATCATTGAGATGTGTGTCTGGTGAGTACATCATTGAGATGTGTGTTTGGTTGGTGAGTACATCATTGAGATGTGTGTCTGGTGAGTACATCATTGAGATGTGTGTTTGGTTGGTGAGTACATCATTGAGATGTGTGTTTGGTTGGTGAGTACATCATTGAGATGTGTTTGGTTGGTGAGTACATCATTGAGATGTGTGTCTGGTGAGTACATCATTGAGATATGTGTCTGGTGAGTACATCATTGAGATGTGTGTCTGGTGAGTACATCATTGAGATGTGTGTCTGGTGAGTACATCATTGAGATGTGTGTCCGGTAAGTACATCATTGAGATGTGTGTCCGGTAAGTACATCATTGACATGTGTGTTTGGTTGGTGAGTACATCATTGAGATGTGTATCTGGTGAGTACATCATTGAGATGTGTATCTGGTGAGTACATCATTGAGATGTGTGTTTGGTGAGTACATCATTGAGATGTGTGTCTGGTGAGTACATCATTGAGATGTGTGTCTGGTGAGTACATCATTGAGATGTGTATCTGGTGAGTACATCATTGAGATGTGTGTTTGGTGAGTACATCATTGAGATGTTTGTTTGGTTGGTGAGTACATCATTGAGATGTGTTTGGTTGGTGAGTACATCATTGAGATGTGTGTCTGGTGAGTACATCATTGAGATGTGTTTGGTTGGTGAGTACATCATTGAGATGTGTGTCTGATGAGTACATCATTGAGATTTGTGTCTAGCTAGTGTGTACATCATTGAGATGTGTGTCTGGTGAGTACATCATTGAGATGTGTGTCTAGCTAGTGAGTACATCATTTAGATGTGTGTCTGGTGTGTACATCATTGAGATGTGTGTCTGGTGAGTACATCATTGAGATGTGTGTCTGGTGAGTACATCATTGAGATGTGTGTCTGATGAGTACATCATTGAGATGTGTGTCTAGCTAGTGAGTACATCATTGAGATGTGTGTCTGGTGTGTACATCATTGAGATATGTGTCTGGTGAGTACATCATTGAGATGTGTGTCTGGTGAGTACATCATTGAGATGTGTGTCTAGCTAGTGAGTACATCATTGAGATGTGTGTCTGGTGTGTACATCATTGAGATATGTGTCTGGTGAGTACATCATTGAGATGTGTGTCTGATGAGTACATCATTGAGATGTGTGTCTAGTGAGTACATCATTGAGATATATGTCTGGTGAGTACATCATTGAGATGTGTGTCTAGCTAGTGAGTACATCATTGAGATGTGTGTCTGGTGTGTACATCATTGAGATATGTGTCTGGTGAGTACATCATTGAGATATATGTCTGGTGAGTACATCATTGAGATGTGTGTCTGATGAGTACATCATTGAGATGTGTGTCTAGTGAGTACATCATTGAGATATATGTCTGGTGAGTACATCATTGAGATGTGTGTCTAGCTAGTGAGTACATCATTGAGATGTGTGTCTGGTGTGTACATCATTGAGATGTGTGTCTGGTGAGTACATCATTGAGATATGTGTCTGGTGAGTACATCATTGAGATGTGTGTCTAGCTAGTAAGTACATCATTGAGAGGTGTGTCTAGTGAGTACATCATTGAGATGTGTGTCTAGCTAGTGAGTACATCATTGAGATGTGTGTCTGGTGAGTACATCATTGAGATGTGTGTCTGGTGAGTACATCATTGAGATGTGTGTTTGGTTGGTGAGTACATCATTGAGATGTGTGTCTGGTGAGTACATCATTGAGATGTTTGTTTAGCTGGTGTGTACATCATTGAGATGTGTGTTTGGTGAGTACATCATTGAGATGTGTGTCTGGTGAGTACATCATTGAGATGTGTGTCTGGTGAGTACATCATTGAGATGTGTGTCTGGTGAGTACATCATTGAGATGTGTGTCTGGTGAGTACATCATTGAGATGTGTGTCTGGTGAGTACATCATTGAGATGTGTGTTTGGTTGGTGAGTACATCATTGAGATGTGTGTCTGGTGAGTACATCATTGAGATGTGTGTCTGGTGAGTACATCATTGAGATGTGTGTCTAGCTAGTGTGTACATCATTGAGGTGTTTTTTTGGTGTGTACATCGTTGAGATGTGTGTCTGGTGTGTACATCATTGATATGTGTGTTTGGTTGGTGAGTACATCATTGAGATGTGTGTCTGGTGAGTACATCATTGAGATGTGTGTTTGGTTGGTACATCATTGAGATGTGTGTCTGGTGAGTACATCATTGAGATGTGTGTCTGGTGAGTACATCATTGAGATATGTGTTTGGTTGGTACATCATTGAGATGTGTGTCTGGTGAGTACATCATTGAGATGTGTGTCTTGTGAGTACATCATTGAGATGTGTGTCTGGTGTGTACATCATTGAGATGTGTGTCTGGTGAGTACATCATTGAGATGTGTGTCTGGTGAGTACATCATTGAGATGTATGTCTAGCTACTGAGTACATCATTGAGATGTGTGTCTGGTGAGTACATCATTGAGATGTGTGTCTAGCTACTGAGTACATCATTGAGATGTGTGTCTACCTAGTGTGGACATCATTGAGATGTTTGTCTGGTGAGTACATCATTGAGATGTGTGTCTGGTGAATACATCATTGAGATGTGTGTCTGGTGAGTACATCATTGAGATGTGTAGCTGTTTAGTACATCATTGAGATGTGTGTCTGGTGAGTACATCATTGAGATGTGTGTCTGGTGAGTACATCATTGAGATGTGTAGCTGTTTAGTACATCATTGAGATGTGTGTCTGGTGAGTACATCATTGAGATGTGTGTCTGGTGTGTACATCATTGAGATGTGTGTCTGGCTAGCGAGTACATCATTGAGATGTGTGTCTAGCTATTGAGTAGCCTACACCACCAACGTTTGTTTCACTTGGGTTACCTTTATGTTTGACCCCTGCGATAACTAACAAAAATCAATGCTATTTTAATGGATGTAATATTTATTTGAATGGTTACAAAATAAATCACAGTATAGAAAACATATTGATGAAATTTTAATGTTTGACCACAAAGCTTCACCGCGGCGCAAACCCAAGAGCCAGGTGCGCGCGCATGATGACCCCTTTAATGCTAGCATCGGAACAAGGCCATACAAGAGTGATACAGATCTTGTGCCAAGCTGGTAGGTTTTTGGGATTAGTGGCGTTGTTAGGGTTTGTGTTTGCGAGTTAATTCCCTTCCTTCAAATGGGATATATATATATATATATATATATATATATATATATATATATATATATATATATATATATATATATATATATATATATATATATATATATATATATATATATAACCCAATCGTGTTAGGTTTAGTCTTATATAATCTGGCTACCTCTCTCAACGGGTCCGTGACTTAGGTAGGTTAATGAAATGATTGGACATCTGAAAGCATCTAGTTCTAGTCTACCATTGTAACACCTGAACGACATTTCACCTGAGTGACATTACACCTGAGTGACATTATACCTGAGAGATATTATACCTGAGTGAGACTCAACGGGAGCGCCATCCTCCCTGCACACATTAATTCAGTAGCGCCGAATCGCGAACGTGAAAATTAAAATATCCGCCCAAACAACAGATGTAAATTGAACTCAAGTGTCTAGGGAAATCAAAAAAAAGTAATGCGTGCTAATTGTTTAATTCACCGGCGCAATATTCATTGTCTAATTACCGGAAAATAACGTAACATGTAATTCTGCTTTGTTAGGCTTGGTGCAAGCATTAACTTCATTTCTAACGAAGCGAAAACAAACTTAGTAACAAAGTTCAATTTGATACGGAACTCTTTAGCTGTAGAGTTATGTTGAGATATTTGTTTGCATTGGTACATGTGACATGACTGCATTTTGCACGCTACTGTTTCCATGGATACGACAAATCTCTGACTCCCTGGGAGTTTGCACTAGATGACCCTGTAGATTAATATCGTTAAACATTCTTGCAAGTTTTTGAAAGAATTCCGTATTGAGAAATGAGCAATAGAAAAATTGTATTCTGCCTCAGTTGAACACACCGAGCGCTCCGTTGTCATGGAGATGTTGAATGATGTTGATGACGAAGGAATGAGTGCGCTTCACTATGCTGTTCGACATAATCGATATCAGGTAAATCTAAATAATTGCATTGATTTTTTTCTAAAATAATCAACCCTTGTGGAAAACACCGGTGTCAGATTTCTAGGCATTCTGGAGTACACAGTGATCATATTTTGTTTAGAGAAACGTATTCGGTGTAAAATGAAAAGGGCAGGGTTCAGCAATATTTCTATAAGTAATTAAGTCATTTCTGCCATATATGTTTGAGAACCACACTTAACATTTACTTTAGTGTAGGTTTAAATATATTTTATACGGAGTATTTTAATATTTTTTATTGTGAAATGTTTTAAGAAGCTTATCTAAAAATCTTAAATCAACATTAAATGATTGTAATGTGACCTACTTCTTAAAAGTTTTCATACATAAAACATGAAAATGTAATATTTCTTTTGCTGTGTGTACATTTGCTTTTGTTTTTTGCCTTCTCTCTAACATGCCGCGCAAGAGCTGTTACACAAGGGAGCTAATGCAAACGTAAAAAATGTGAGTTATTTTTTTTCTTTCTATACATCTTTGACAAACATTTCTTCCAAATTAAACAATTTTATTCGTGTTTGCTTGGCGATGTGTCCAAAATATATTGATCTCAGAGGCGGACATTTTCTTTTCGAATGTCCAAAAATGTTCACAAATAGAGAATAAGCAAAATAAAATCTGTCCCCCCCCCCCCCCCGTAGTTACACCCCTCTCCAACACCATCCTACCCCAGCTACGCACCTACCTCCGCAGTTTTACACGCCACTCACATTGTGCCGCCAATGTTTTTATTTAGGGCCACTCGCTGTACCCGCTGCACATTTGTGCAAAAGATGGCTACACGGACATGGTGCCCTTGCTGCTGCGTCACCATGGCAACCATGACAAGAGGAACCAAGAAGGAAGGACTCCGTTACACGTGTAAGTGTTCGTGATACACTTCCGGTTTGAAATTCATAACCAGAGAAAAATTTTTAAAAATAAAACAGTTTGTGAAATCTTTTTAAAGCACGAAAATTAAGGAATATATATATATATATATATATATATATATATATATATATATATATATATATATATATATATATATATATATATATATATATATATATATATTTATATATATATATATATATATATATATATATATATATATATATATATATATATATATATATATATATATATATATATATATATATATATTTATATATATATATATATATATATATACATATATATATATCACCAGTCTGTACTCTGCGGCAGTGGCGTAGCGAGGACGGGTGTCACCCGGTGCGGCACTTAATGGTGTCACCCCCCCCCCCCCAGTGGCGTAGCGACCCTTCCTGGGGACAAACTTTCAAATTTGGATTTGCACCCCCACCCCCTCCAAATTTGTCTCTATATATTTTGCTATTTTTAGCCTTGGTATCACCCCCCTAAATGGTGTCACCCGGTCCGCCCCCCCCCCCCCTCGCTACGCCTCTGCTCTGCGGTATATTATGTCGATTCGATACTATTCTCAAATATGATACACTGCGTTATACGCCAATTACTAAAGTGCATCTTGACTGGATCTAGTTTGTCTACATCTTTCAGAAAACACCAACCATAAAATTAATTCTGTACAACTAATTTAATTGCTAACCAGAATGAAAAAAATAGATAATATTGCATTGTCATCGAATACACAACCTGTCCGGTTGTGATATTTATATAACTATTTGTAATGTATACTATGCAAAGGCGTAGCGAAGGAGGGGCGGGGGGGGACACTTGACTCCGGGCGCCGACCTCAGGGGGCGCCGAAATTGGTTGGAAAAATAAATTGAAAGGTTGAGGGGGGTGCACATCGAAATCTTGAGGGGGGGGGGAGTGCAAATCGAAAGCCTTAGGGGTGTAAATCGAAAGTTTGCTACGCCTCTGATACTATGCCTACATTAAGTGTGACCCAACACTCCCCAGAGAAAAAAAATCTAGCCTAATTCCCTGTAAAATAGACCAACACAGATACTTTAATCGATACTACTGTAAAGCCTTGTTTAGCACTGCACACACTAAATGTTTGTATGGATTTTAAAACACTCATTACGTCTTCCTTGCAGTGCTGTTGAAAATAGAGCTACGCATGTCGTAAAAGCTTTGCTCAACGGGGTAAATAATTAACTGTTGTTTCGTTAAGTGTTAAATGGGTTTTGTCTATACACCCTTCACCATTTTTTTATACAAAACTTATAACTAGGTTTGTTATTATGTACAGTGTTTCTTCCAGACTCTTTTCTTCTCCGGGGGGGGGGGGGGCACTTGATATTTTCGGGGGACGACGACAACATTTTTTCGGGGGGGGGGGGGGGGGGCGGACACTTGTACAAGTGTATGTTTTCTATATAAATTCCATTTCGTTCAGGGGGGGGGGGCGGTAGACTTTCTTCGGGGGGGGGGGGGGCTCTGCCTGGAAGAAACTCTGATTATGTATATTTAAAATAAATTACAATGTCGTATACTTCGTAAAAATCATAGATTGGGTAGGAGGGGCCGGGGGGGGGGAGGTCGCTTACTTCTTCTGGACATCGGTATTCTCGAAGGTTAATTTGATTTTAGCAATGCACAGAAATTGTTGTTGTTGTTGTTGTTTTGTTTTGTTTTTTAAATTGTAATCTCACGGCATAATGCCACTAGGAAACGGACATCAACTGCCAGGACCATTCCAGACAAACGCCACTCATCCTGGCCTGTAAAAAAGGTTTCCTGGACCTGGTCAAGCTGCTGGTCGACCAGGGGGCAGAGGTCAACAAGAAAAACATCTCTGGCCAGACGTGCCTGCACGTGGCCGCACAGAAAGCTCACCTGGACGTTCTGGAGTTTTTGTTACAGGTAGAATTGGAGGTGCTAGGGCAGTGACGTAACAGTTCAGCGTACCCCGGAACCAGTGTTTCTTCCAGACCTTTTTCTCCGGGAGTGCACTTGAAATTATTTTAGGGGGGGGGGGGACAACAATTTTCGGGGGGGGGGGGGGGCGGACACTGTCAAAAGTATATATTTTCTATATAAATTCCATTTCGTTCGGATGGGGGGGGGGGCGATGCCCCCCCCCCCCCCCCCCCCCCAAAGAGGAGCCTGGAAGAAACTCTGCCCTGACCTGAACAAACAGGTTTTTGTTGTACTGGAAGCGGCAGAAATAAAAAAAGGGGAAATAATTGACACTCTTTAATACAGTGAAGTATAAAAATGTAATTACGCTTTTCCAATTTAATTTTATTAAATGATATACTTTTAATTTTGTTATATAAAATAGTTGTTTAGTTTTTATTTTACAATATATAATTTTGCTTCTTTTAACTATTAAAGGTAAATATATATTTTAGGATATATGTTCTAAAATCAAACCATGAAGCAAGTTTACAGAAAATGAATTGATAAAGAACGGCACACCTTACTGATTACTTATCATTCCACATTCTCTCAATAGGGCCTACCTGTTTATTGGAGAATAAAATGTTTATAGGAAATTAATCCAACTTTTTACTAGCCCGATTTGATGACACAATCTACCTTAATCATATTTTGAAATTATGTTTGTAACACCATCAGCAGCTTGTTACTTATTTAAAGATTTTTGTAGCACTATAAATAGGCTAGATCACACACCTCTCTCCAAAACTAGTCATTTAAAAGATAATTGTCTTAGATTATTTGTTTCAAGGGCTGTGTGCCCATTCATCATCAACTGAATGTTTACCATCCCTGTCACAAGTGTGTGTCTATTCACACAAACCCTACCACAAGTGTGTGTCCATTCACACAATCCCTACCACAAGTGTGTGTCCATTCACCATTAACTGCATGTTTACCATCCTTACCACAAGTGTGTGTCCATTCACACAATCCTACCACAAGTGTGTGTCCATTCACCATTAACTGCATGTTTACCATCCCTACCACAAGTGTGTGTCCATTCACACAATCCCTACCACAAGTGTGTGTCCATTCACCATTAACTGCATGTTTACCATCCCTATTACAAGTGTGTGTCCATTCCCACAATCCCTACCACAAGTGTGTGTCCATTCACCATTAACTGCATGTTTACCATCCCTACCGCAAGTGTGTCCATTCACCATTAACTGAATGTTTGCCATCCCTACCACAAGTGTGTGTCCATCCCCAGCAATGTCCGGACGATCTCTTGGCTCAAATAGACGCCTTTGACCAGACAGCGCTTCATCTGGCGGCCAAACAGAGAGACCCTCGGGTGAGTTACCGCCCTTTTTGGTTGTCTATTAGTATGGACAAAATACACATACAATACTGGGGGAAATTAGGCTAATTTGTCTAGTTATCGGAATAGCTCACCACCTGTCGCGTCATAAGCTTGACCTGAATTATGACAAGATTAGGCTTTCTGAGCAAGGGCATCCATTGTGGCTTTCTTCATCTGTTGAGTAAAATTGTTGAATAAAATTGTTGACTAAAATCGCCTAACGAAAATTGTTGACTAAAATTTCCTGATGTTTACCATCGCATGTCCTGATGTTTACCATCTGATGTTTACCATCGCATGTCCTCTTGTTTACCATCCAATGTCCTCTTGTTTACCATCAAATGTCCTCTTGTTTACCATCTGATGTTTACCATCCAATGTCCTCTTGTTTACCATCAAATGTCCTCTTGTTTACCATCTGATGTTTACCATCCAATGTAGTCTTGTTTACCATCTGATGTTTACCATCCAATGTCCTCTTGTTTACCATCTGATGTTTACCATCCAATGTAGTCTTGTTTACCATCTGATGCTTACCATCCCATGTCCTGATGTTTACCATCCAATGTCCTCTTGTTTACCATCTGATGTTTACCATCCAATGTCCTCTTGTTTACCATCTGATGTTTACCATCCAATGTAGTCTTGTTTACCATCTGATGCTTACCATCCCATGTCCTGATGTTTACCATCCAATGTCCTCTTGTTTACCATCTGATGTTTACCATCGCATGTCCTGATGTTTACCATCTGATGTTTACCATCCAATGTCCTCTTGTTTACCATCTGATGTTTACCATCCAATGTAGTCTTGTTTACCATCTGATGCTTACCATCCCATGTCCTGATGTTTACCATCCAATGTCCTCTTGTTTACCATCTGATGTTTACCATCCCATGTCCTGATGTTTACCATCGCATGTCCTGATGTTTACCATCGCATGTCCTCTTGTTTACCATCTGATGCTTACCATCGCATGTCCTGTTCCAGTTTGTTGAAGCTCTCCTCAAGCGAGGCTGCTCTCCTGAAGCCAGAGAGGTCAACGGCCTCATCCCTCTGCACGTTGCAGCCAGGTGCGTATACAGGTGTGTATGTAGTTGTATTAGCAAGGTGTGTATGCAGGTGTATTAGCCAGGTGTGTATGCAGGTGTATTAGCCAGGTGTGTATGCAGGTGTGACAACAAGGTGTGTATGCAGGTGTGACATCTAGGTGTGAATGCAGGTGTGTCATCCAGGTGTGTATACAGGTGGGGTAGCTGTGTTGTATTGAGCAAAGTGAGAACGCTATGTTTTATTAAGTTTGAATGAAATAAACTGACAAGGTAATTATCTTCTTCCCATAGAGGAGCCTTCTTAGCTCAAGGTTTAATCCTACACCTCGTATATCTGTTAACCCATGGTTTACCTTATTGTCTAAAATTGCTCTGACGTATATGCTACTCAACCCCCCCCCCCCTAGTGTCAGCAGCTATGAAACTGTGCTCAAGTTGGCGGACGTCACGGAGAACGTTGACGTCTTGAACTTCCAGAACAAGAGTGCTTTTTTCCTGGCATGCGAGGCTGGGAACAGGCCAGCCATTTCCGCTCTACGGGGCAAGGGAGCTAACGCTAAAATAAGGTGGGGGCGCTGTTGGTTGATACTGTTTTATTCAAGTCGTAAATAATTTAATGAACCTTTAATTTAAACTTTGTAAACGGGGGCGAACACTGCTTGAAGTATATTTTTTAAAATTCCGTTGAAGGGGGGGGGGGGGAAGCGATAGACGTTCACCTACGACTATATATATATATATATATATATATATATATATATATATATATATACAGGGACAAGCACTTTAGAAACACGCTGATGGTCGCTGCCATTGGTGGATACACTGATATCGTAGAGGATCTGATCAGGATGAAGGTGGAACTTAACTGTAGGGATAATGAAAAGGTGAGACCAAACTGTAGGGATAATGAAAAGGTGAGACCAAGTAGAGTTGAGAGACCAAGTAGAGTTGAGAGAGCAAGTAGAGTTGAGAGACCAAGTAGAGTTGAGAGAGCAAGTAGAGTTGAGAGATACCGCCTACAATTGAGAGACCAAGTAGATATTTAACATTAGCTCATTGAAGTTTACTTCGTCATTGTAAAAACGTCTGTGGTGTGTCGTAGCTTGCGGGTAATAACGATAGAATAAGATCTTTCTTTACTTTTTATATTCTAGCCGCAAACTTTGTCGATTGACTGACGTAGAAAATAAAGTAAAACTTATGTTTCGTTAGATTTTCTATTTATTAAGCATGACATTTTATCCTTGGGAACGACAAAATAAAATTACATCCAATTTGAGCATCTTCTGTTTAATGAAAAAAATTAATTGAAAACTCTTTGATCTTTCTTAATAGCTTGTTTATGTCGAGTTTCAGACAGACATACGAACTTAGATAATTATTATACTTAATTAGCTGCACTAAACCAAATAAACCACTCTCTCAACATGTTCTCCCCAACTCTACCCCCCCCCTCTCCCCCTCTACTTAAGATACCACTTATCTACGTGTCGAATAACCTAAATTGTTACAATTAACGTTAACTCGTCTTGTTATGTATTCAGTATTTCTTTCGGTTGTTCTTGCAAGTCTTACCGACTGGCGAATTTGTGTATATCTGCACATCTACAATAAACGTAACATTTTACAATTGTTAGACAGTATTCGAGAAATCTACCGATTAATCTGAATGAAAATAACATAATTAGTGTTAAAAAACAACTTATTTTCGATTAATTCCAATGTAAAATTCTACGATAAAAATCCAAACGGGGTAGTTTCCCTGGATTACTGAGCCAAGGACAAACCAAAGTATCCAATTATAAGAGTAGGTGCGTCACTTGTTGTTTGTTCAAAATGTAACATTGGAAAATGACTTCAAATGTGTTCCTACTAAAGGCTTTGTTGTTTGTTGTATGAATGCCTGAGCCAATCAGTTGAACACAAAATGTGTTCCTTAAGGAGGGTTGGGAATAGAAGACTTTACTTCCAGAACACGGCACTGCATCATGCGTGTTACCATGGTCACCTGGCCACTGTCAAGTCTCTGCTGGACCACAAGGCCTCCGTCACGATGACCAACCTGCACGACAAGAGTCCGCTGGACGTGGCCGTTGACAGACGTATGACAGACGTGGCGGTGTTTATGATGGAGCACAGCAGGTAAGACGGCGTGGCCTAGCGGTAGAGCGCTGGAGTGTTAATCTGTAAGTTTCAAGTTCGAATCTCCTTGTTGGTCTCATGCATACAAATAAAATGTCTGTCTAGCTGGGAAAAAAGTCTGTCTGTGAGAGACAAGAAAGGATACAACTGTATGGACAGAATGATAGAATTCACACCTGAGGCAGTCAAGGTAAAACCTGCAGACGATAAAGTTACGCTCGCATTAGGAGAAGATAATATTAAATATATACTTCAACAATTGAAAAAAAAATATTGTTTTAGTAGAAATGAATGAATCTTTTAAGAATTGAAATAACGATTATTGTTTTAGGAGAAAATGAAAAAAATTATTCAATCATTTTTTGAAAAAAAAAAAATATAGATTGTTTCAGGAATAAACAAATTACAACAGCTTAATTCTGAAATTTTAAACCACAAATTGTACCATATCTATTGTTTGATCAATTTACTTGTATTCTGCTATTTTGGTCGTATCTCAACTCAAATATTGCTTGCCCGATTTTTTTGATTTTTTTTTTTTTTTTTTTTTTTGTGGTTTAAAAACACTTATTAAATTTGTTGGTGCCCTCGTTTATTTAAATTTCATTTACAATTTGATGCCTCCAAAAATAACTTCAATATCTTTTTCAACGAAAACTAATTACCAAAAACTCATCTCCTAACCTCAAAACTCCTTAGATTGTCTTGGACAAGTGTGTCAAATATTCGGACAATTGCCCAACTGACGAGCAGTATTCGGTAAGATTTTATTTTTAAACATCGGGAAATCCACATTTCCTTTACTAGCAGAGTATGTTTGTTCGTTAACAAAATAAAAATGCCATTACCGATTTTTTTTTTTAAATCGGCAGGTCGAATTCAACTACAGATATATCGACCCAGGACCAAACGATCCTATGTCAAAGTCAAGGACGTACAACGCCATAGCAGTAAGTGGTGGAATATTTTTAGTATCTCGAATACGAAGTATAGAGGAAGTATTGTAATCGTGCACAAAAATCGAAATCGAGATTTTGACATATTTAATCTCGACGTTTTACCCTGAGTCGAAAAATCTTAATTTGGCAATTTTGTCTGTATGTCCTTGTGAATACAATAACTTGAGTACCTTTACAGTTATGTTGATAAAAGTTCATATATATATATATATATATATATATATATATATATATATATATATATATATATATATATATATAATCTGTATTTTTTCAAACTCGCAGTTTTCTGCTTTCTTTTGAGCGATTTCCGGTAACCGAAAGTGTTACTTACTCTACTTCAGTTTCTTAAAAAAAACGTTAACTTGAGCTCCGTTTTCAGTTAGGTGAATGGAATTTCACATATAAGTATTTTGTTGCATGCGTTATGTTGCATAGGTTCTATCGTGTTATCCCATGTTCTTTTGTTCTACAGACGATGTTATCCCATGTTCTTTTTTTCTACAGACGATGTTATCCCATGTTCTTTTGTTCTACAGACTATGTTATCCCATGTTCTTTTGTTCTACAGACTATGTTATCCCATGTTCTTTTGATCTAAAGACAATGTTATCCCATGTTCTTTTGATCTACAGACAATGTTATCCCATGTTCTTTTGTTCTACAGACTATGTTATCCCATGTTCTTTTGATCTAAAGACAATGTTATCCCATGTTCTTTTGATCTACAGACAATGTTATCCCATGTTCTTTTGTTCTACAGACAATGTTATCCCATGTTCTTTTGTCCTAGAGACTATGTTATCCCATGTTCTTTTGTTCTACAGACGATGTTATCCCATGTTCTTTTGTTCTACAGACAATGTTATCCTATGTTCTTTTGTTCTACAGACAATGTTATCCCATGTTCTTTTGTTCTACAGACAATGTTATCCCATGTTCTTTTGTCCTACAGACAATGTTATCCCATGTTCTTTTGTTCTACAGACGATGTTATCCCATGTTCTTTTGTCCTACAGACAATGTTATCCCATGTTCTTTTGTTCTACAGACGATGTTATGCCACGAGAGGGAGGACCTACTCGGTCACCCGCTGTGCCAGAGCAATCTTTCCTACAAATGGTGAGCGCTAACCTGTCACACGTACATGTCACAAATGTCACACGTACATGTCACAAATGTCACAAGTATCATGTAACAGTGTCACACGTACATGTCACAAATGTCACACGTTCCATGTTACAAATGTCACAAGTACCATGTCACAAATGTCACAAGTACCATATCGCAAATACAATTTTCACAAGTATAATTAACAAATGTCATAAGTACTTTCACAAATGTCACAAGTTCCATGTCACAAATGTCACAAGTACCATATCACAACAAGTTCCAATTTTCACGAGTATAATCAACAAATGTCATAAGTACGTTCACAAATGTCACAAGTTCCATGTCACAAAGTACCATGTCCCAAATATCCCTTAAAGGCTGATTAGGGACAAATATTTGTCGGGAGATAATTAAAAGAAAACATGGGCAGATAATTGCAATGCTACCAAAGTTAGACTTTGACGACTTTTGAAGCCGAAAAGCTCCAATATTTTCAATCCCTACAGATAATAGAATTCAAAGGTGTGATTATGTAAAGAACAGAACCTGTAAACTAAAAATAAAATTCTTTAAATGAATATAATTATTATAATGTAAAACAAACAAAACATTTAAATTACAGCGGCAAATATTAGGAAGTTCTATTTTGTAGGCGACAGTATGGCTGTGTGATATTTGGAGCAGACTTCACCATACAGATGGCAATGGTCTTCATGATGCTCATCTACTGTTACTTCATGCCAAAGCCGAACCGGACTGATTACGCATGCCGTGAGGTTCCGGCTAAAAATGAAACCAATGCCACGGTAGGTTGACATCAAGCATAGGGCGGTGTACGGTTGATCTATGTGGCATAGCTAGGCTGATGTAGGTCTGTGGTATCACAAGGGTGTTGTAGGTCTGTGGTATCATAAAGATGATGTAGGTCTGTGGTATCATAAGGATGATGTAGGTCTGTGGTATCATAAAGATGATGTAGGTCTGTGGTATCATAAGGATGATGTAGGTCTGTGGTATCATAAGGTTGTTGTAGGTCTGTGGTATCATAAAGATGATGTAGTTCTGTGGTATCACAAGGTTGTTGTAGGTCTGTGGTATCATAGAGATGATGTAGTTCTGTGGTATCAAAAGGATGATGTAGTTCTGTGGTATCATAAGGTTGCTGTAGGTCTGTTGTATCATAAGGTTACTGTAGGTCTGTTGTATCATAAGGTTGCTGTAGGTCTGTTGTATCATAAGGTTGCTGTAGGTCTGTTGTATCATAAGGATGATGTAGGTCTGATACCATTTGTAAACGTTGGATAAAAGTTTAAATGTGTGGATTCAAATAAAAAATCACAGACCTCACAGTTATTATGAAATTGTTCTGAAATTGTTATAAAGTTTAAACAATGTCTCCTTTTCCCCACTCATCCCCCCATCCCCACAGGTGTTGATGCACCGTCCTACCTTTCGCTATGGATACATGTACAGCATCCAGATCGCTATCTACTGCTTTGTTGTCGCCCTTGTCTTCAAGAGAACGATGCACGCTCTAGCCGTGGTGAGTACTCTAGGTTGATCACGTTCTGCTTGTGCTGGGGGTGTGGGGGGTGTGAACTCACAGACTTCACCAACAATAGAAAACGATAGTGCGTCACACGTCGTCAACGGAGTTCTGTTACGTACAGCTTCCCCGACCTTCAGGTAGCGGCGGTCTACAGGTGTAGGCATTGGCCTAGTTTCACACCATCTTTGTCACAGCCTCTAAGCTAAGTATCAGAGCATATCACATTTCATACCATGAGAATAGATCGGGAACCATTCTTACATATATATATATATATACAACGGGAACCATCCTTATATATATATATATATATATATATATATATATATATATATATATATATATATATATATATATATATATATATATATATATATATATATATATATATATATATATATACATCGGGAACCATCTTTACAGGTATAAATCAGGGACCATCCTTACATATATACATCGGAATCATCCTTAGATATATACATCGGAACCATCCTTTCATATATACATCGGAACCATCCTTACATGTATACATCGGAACCATCCTTACATGTATACATCGGAATCATCCTTACATATATACATCGGGAACCATCCTTACATATATAAATCGGAACCATCCTTGCGGGTATACATCGGGAACCATCTTTAAAGATATAAATCGGGAACCATCCTTACATATACATTGATAAAACTCAACAATCTTCTCCACAAAACAAATTTCATATGTGTCCATGCCTGGCATTACACCATGTAAATACTCTTCTTACCCCTACCCCCCCTACCCCATGGTTGAAATTACAAAATGTAAATATTCTTCTTACCCCCCTACCCCCCCCCCTCCCCAGGGCTGGCACTACGCCTTCTCCTCCCAGCTCCTAATGACCATGGTCTCCGTCTGTCTGCTCATGTACGGCAACATCCCACCAGGCTACGAGCCGTGTGACGCCCAGTGGAGGGCGGTGGCTTACTCGGTGTTGGTCTTTCTTCTCATGGTGTCCTTCATCTTGGAGAGGTCAGTGGTCTAATTAGTGGTCAGTGGTCTAATCTAGTGGTCGGTGGTCTAATCTAGTGGTCAGTGGTTTAATCTAGTGGTCAGTGGTTTAATCTAGTGGTCAGTGGTTTAATCTAGTGGTCAGTGGTATAATCTAGTGGTCAGTGGTCTAATCTAGTGGTCAGTGGTTTAATCTAGTGGTCAGTGGTCTAATCTAGTGGTCAGTGGTCTAATCTAGTGGTCAGTGGTCTAATCTAGTGGTCAGTGGTCTAATCTAGTGGTCAGTGGTTTAATCTAGTGGCCAGTGGTTTAATCTAGTGGCCAGTGGTCTAATCTAGTGGTCAGTGGTCTAATCTAGTGGTCAGTGGTCTAATCTAGTGGTCAGTGGTCTAATCTAATCTAGTGGTCAGTGGTCTAATCTAGTGGTCAGTGGTCTAATCTAGTGGTCAGTGGTCTAATCTAGTGGTCAGTGGTTTAATCTAGTGGCCAGTGGTTTAATCTAGTGGCCAGTGGTCTAATCTAGTGGTCAGTGGTTTAATCTAGTGGTCAGTGGTTTAATCTAGTGGTCAGTGGTCTAATCTAGTGGTCAGTGGTTTAATCTAGTGGTCAGTGGTCTACTCTAGTGGTCAGTGGTCTAATCTAGTGGTCAGTGGTCTAATATAGTGGTCAGTGGTCTAATCTAGTGGTCAGTGGTCTAATCTAGTGGCCAGTGGTCTAATCTAGTGGTCAGTGGTCTAATCTAGTGGTCAGTGATCTAGTCTCGTGGTCAGTGGTCTAATCTAGTGGTCAGTGGTCTAATCTAATCTAGTGGTCAGTGGTCTAATCTAGTGGTCAGTGGTTTAATCTAGTGATCAGTGGTTTAATCTAGTGGTCAGTGGTCTAATCTAGTGGTCAGTGGTTTAATCTAGTGGTCAGTGGTCTACTCTAGTGGTCAGTGGTCTAATCTAGTGGTCAGTGGTCTAATATAGTGGTCAGTGGTCTAATCTAGTGGTCAGTGGTCTAATCTAGTGGCCAGTGGTCTAATCTAGTGGTCAGTGGTCTAATCTAGTGGTCAGTGGTCTAATCTAGTGGTCAGTGGTCTAATCTTGTGGCCAGTGGTCTAATCTAGTGGTCAGTGGTATAATCTAGTGGTCAGTGGTCTAATCTAGTGGTCAGTGGTCTAATCTAGTGGCCAGTGGTCTAATCTAGTGGCCAGTGGTCTAATCTAGTGGTCAGTGGTCTAATCTAGTGGTCAGTGGTCTAATCTAGTGGTCAGTGGTCTAATCTAGTGGTCAGTGGTCTAATCTAGTGGCCAGTGGTCTAATCTAGAGGTCAGTGGTCTAATCTAGAGGTCAGTGGTCTAATCTAGAGGTCAGTGGTCTAATCTAGAGGTCAGTGGTCTAATCTAATCTAGTGGTCAGTGGTCTAATTAGTGGTCAGTGGTCTAATAAAGTGGTCCGTTGCCACATTAGTGGTCAGTGGTATAATTAGTGGTCAGTGGTCTAATTAGTGGTCAGTGGTCTAATCTAGTGGTCAGTGGTCTAATCTAGTGGTCAGTGGTCTAATCTAGTTGTCAGTGGTCTAATCTAGTGGTCAGTGGTCTAATCTAGTGGTCAGTGGTCGAATCTAGTGCTCAGTGGTCTAATCTAGTGGCCAGTTATCATATCTAAACTATCGTTTGATCCTTCCCTCAGGTTTGACCGCATTGGCCTGTACTTCACAATGTTCTTTGAGGTCTTTAAAACTATGCTCAAGGTAAAGTACACTGTCTCGCAAGTCTCAAGGTAAAGTACACTGTCTCGCAAGTCTCAAGGTAAAGTACACTGTCTCGCAAGTCTCAAGGTAAAGTACACTGCCTCGCAAGTCTCAAGGTAAAGTACACTGTCTTACATGTCTCAAGGTAAAGTACAGTGTCTCGCAAGTCGCAAGGTAAAGTACATTGTCTTACATGTCTCAAAGTAAAATACTGTCTAATATGTCTCAAGGTAAATTACACTGTCTTACATGTCTCATGGTAAAATACTGTCTTACATGTCTCAAGGTAAAATACTGTCTAACATGTCTCAAGGTAAATTACACTGTCTTACATGTCTCAAAGTAAAATACTGTCTAATATGTCTCAAGGTAAAGTACACTGTCTCGCAAGTCTCAAGGTAAAGTACATTGTCTTACATGTCTCAAAGTAAAATACTGTCTAATATGTCTCAAGGTAAAGTACACTGTCTCGCAAGTCTCAAGGTAAATTACACTGTCTTACATGTCTCATGGTAAAATACTGTCTTACATGTCTCAAGGTAAAATACTGTCTAACATGTCTCAAGGTAAATTACACTGTCTTACATGTCTCATGGTAAAATACTGTCTTACATGTCTCAAGGTAAAATACTGTCTAACATGTCTCAAGGTAAAAAAACATGGTCTTAAGTGAGTCAAGGTCAAGTAGCCTACACTATAGGAAGAATCTACACTGAACTTTATAGTTATAGAAAGTTTTCTTTAAACAAAACTAGCATGTAAAATGTAAAAAGAGTTTCCCAAAGAATCATTTACGCAATTGTTTTTCAATTTAAATTACAGGTTTCTTTTCTGATGATATTCTATCTTCTCGCTCTGGCCGTACCGCTTGGAGTCATGTTAAACACGGTATAAGTATACGTTATATCTATATAAATTGAGTTAAAAACAGCTTCATATACATATATGTATGTATATATATATATATATATATATATATATATATATATATATATATATATATAGGCCCTATATATATATACATTTAGGGCCTATATATATATATATATATATATATATATATATATATATTTATAGGCCCTATATATATATATATATATATATATATATATATATATATATATATATTTATTTATAGGCCCTATATATATATATATATATATATATATATATATATATATATATATATATATATATATATATATATATATATATGACATTTGTTTTCATTTAAATCTAACCAAGTTGTATTTCTCCAGGACGCGTTTCAGACCAACGAGAAGTCCTTGTTGGCGACACTTGCCATGACCGTAGGCGAGCTCAACTTTCAGGACAATTTCATCTTGGTGGACAACTCGCCATTCACAACAGACCTGTTCTTGTTATTTCCCTTATTCTGTCTGCTCATGAACCTGACGCTAATGAACTTGATGGTAAATAAAGGCTAATCATACACACACACACACACACACACACATATATATATATATATATATATATATATATATATATATATATATATATATATATATATATATATATATATATATATATATATATATATATATATATATATATATATATATATCTATATATATATATATATATATATATATATATATATATATATATATATATATATATATATATATATATATATATATATATATATGAGATCAGAGTGTATGTATGTATATGTATATAGACAGAGGCGTAGCGAGGGGTGACATCATTCAGTGCCACACGGGGTGACACACAAACTCGCTACGCCACTGTATATCTATACTTATATAATTATATATAGGTCTACATATATAGGTCTACATATATTATATATATATATATATATATATATATATATATATATATATATATATATATATACATATATACATATATATATATATACATATATGTATATATATATGTTTATATGTGTGTATATATGTGAATGTATATATATATATATATATATATATATATATATATATATATATATATATTTTATCTACGGACTATATATAATTTTGTTTATAAGTGTAATTATGTGAATGTGTGTGTATATATGTATAAATATATATAAATATGTATAAATATATATAAATATATATAAATATATATATATATATATATATATATATATATATATATATATATATATATATATATATATATATGTTGATATGTTTTTAATCTGTATCTAATCTATAAACGCTCTCCTGTTTAAAGATAGGTGTTGCTGTTGGGGACATCAGCAAAGTGGAGAAAAAAGCCTACTTGAACAGACTCAAGAAACAGGTGATTTATTTCTCTTACTCTGTCCCTCAGGTCCTATTGACCTACATCACATGTCCCATTGTCCTACATCACATGTCCCATTGTCCTACATCACCTGTACTTGTGTCCTACATCACCTGTCCCATTGTCCTACATCACCTGTACTTGTGTCCTACATCACCTGTCCCATTGTCCTACATCACATGTCCCATTGTCCTACATCACCTGTACTTGTGTCCTACATCTCATGTCCCATTGTCCTACATGACCTGTACTTGTGTCCTACATCACCTGTACTTGTGTCCCACATCACCTTTACTTGTGTCCTACATCACCTGTACTTGTGTCCTACATCACTTTTAGTTGTGTCCTACATCACCTGTACTTGTGTCCTACATCACATGTACTTGTGTCCTACATCACCTTTACTTGTGTCCTACATCACCTGTCCCATTGTCCTACATCATCTGTACTTATGTCCTACATCACCTGTACTTGTGTCCTACATCACATGTCCCATTGTCCTACATTACCTGTACTTGTGTCCTACATCACCTGTACTTGTGTCCTACATCACCTGTCCCATTGTCCTACATCACATGTCCCATTGTCCTATATCACCTGTACTTGTGTCCTACATCACCTGTACTTGTGTCCTACATCACCTGTCCCATTGTCCTACATCACCTGTCCCATTGTCCTACATCACATGTCCCATTGCCCTACATCACCTGTACTTGTGTCCTAAATCACCTGTACTTGTGTCCTACATCACCTGTCCTGTTGTCCTACATCACCTGTACTTGTGTCCTACATCACATGTCCCATTGTCCTACATCACCTTTACTTGTGTCCTACATCACATGTCCCATTGTCCTACATCACCTGTACTTGTGTCCTACATCACCTGTACTTGTGTCCTACATCACCTGTACTTGTGTCCTACATCACCTGTCCCATTGTTCTACATCACCTGTACTTGTGTCCTACATCACATGCCCCATTGTCCTACATCACCTGTACTTGTGTCCTACATCACATGTCCCATTGTCCTACATCACCTGTACTTGTGTCCTACATCACCTGTACTTGTGTCCTACATCACCTGTACTTGTGTCCTACATCACATGTCCCATTGTCCTACATCACCTGTACTTGTGTCCTACATCACCTGTGTCCTACATCACCTGTACTTGTGTCCTACATCACCTGTACTTGTGTCCTACATCACCTGTCCCATTGTCCTACATCACATGTCACATTGTCCTACATCACCTGTCCCATTGTCCTATATCACCTGCACTTGTGTCCTACATCACCTGTAGCAATGCCCTACCCCCCTGTGATTGTAGGAAAAAAAGTCACAGGAAAAAAAACACAGGAAAAAAAACACAGAAAAAAAGTCACAGGAATTAACTTTTCTACCGCGTATTTAACTAAATACGTAACAAAAGTTGAGATTGTTGTGTTAATTATCTTAGAGTATTTTTACTTACAATTGTTATAAATCATAATGCTTTTAACGTCTATAAATAATTTATGCTATCAAAAAATACAACCCACAACAATAAACATAAACAATTTTACAATTCTTAACAAATTAATAAAAATATTTCTAAAAAGATTGTTGTGACTTTTTTTCTGTGACTTTATTTCTGTGACTTTTTTTTCCGATAAAATTTTTCCACTGTGACTTTTTTCTGTGACTTTTTTTCCTAGCAAAAACTGACTTTTTTTCTGTGTTTTTTTTTCCTGTGACTTTTTTTCCGTTCACCTCCCCCTGTCCTATTGTCCTACAGGTTGATTACCTGCTAGAAGTCGAAGCGTCTTACCCGATGCGCTACTTTAAGTACAATAAACAAAAGTTAATTGTTTATCCGAACGAGAAACCCAAGTCCACTTGGCAGAAGGTAATTCAAATGTTAACTGAGGTTGGCAGAAGGTAATTCAGATGTTAACTGAGGTGGGCCACAATGGTCGACAAAATTGTCAAAAGTTCAAATTAACAAACAGAAGTTAACAAAACAAAAACAAATATTATCCTAGGAATGTGGATAAAGAAGAGTAACAAAATGTAGCTGCTTTAGCAAAGAAAATTTAGCGGTAAAAGGTTTTAAATTGACAGAGAAATATCAACAAACGTAATTCAACCCAAGAGTTGCCTTTGAGAATCTGTTGGGTGAAAACACAAGTGTTAGAAGTAGTGTGGAAAAATGTATAATTGTCTTTTACTGTAGGCTTAGAATAGACTGGCTATTGTTTTATTACATGATGTTAGGATATGGGATGGAAAGGGAGGGTCATACTTTTACATATGGGCCGAGGGGGTCATATAATGACATGTAGGTCGAGGGGTCACATACAGTGACATGTATGACATGTTCGAATACTAACCATGTTGGTTCGTTAACTGAAGCAAATGAGCCTAATGTTTTACCTGACATTAAAAAAGACATCACAAACTTTCCTGAATGCCAGTTCTGTTAAAAGTTTCTCTAAGTTTCATCTTGGCTCTACCTTCTCAGGTAGTAGCGATCCCTTTGTGGCCAGATTTAAAAAAAAATATTTGTCTTCAAACAGCTGACCCGCCCTTTCCTGAGGTCGGAACAAATTTATTTTATACGGAAGAAACACCAGCCTGACAGGGTGGGGGAGCTGTCCCGCAGGGTGGGGGCACTCATCAACAAGGTCGAGGCCGAGCTGGGTGCACAGCGAGTCAGGTAATGTTTCTACCACATCAACGACAGTATTTAGATGTACATCATTTACACAGCGAGTCGGGTAATGTTTCTACCACACCAACGACAGTATTTAGATGTACATCATTTACACAGCGAGTCAGGTAATGTTTCTACCACATCAACGACAGTATTTAGATGTACATCATTTACACAGCGAGTCGGGTAATGTTTCTACCACACCAACGACAGTATTTAGATGTACATCATTTACACAGCGAGTCAGGTAATGTTTCTACCACACCAACGACAGTATTTAGATGTACATCACCATCATAGAGCCAGGTAATGTTTCTACCACACCAACGACAGTATTTAGATGTACATCATCATCATTTACACAGCGAGTCAGGTAATGTTTCTACCACACCAACGACAGTATTTAGATGTACATCATCATCATTTATACAGCGAGTCAGGTAATGTTTCTTCCACATCAACGACAGTATTTAGATGTACATCATTTACACAGCGAGTCAGGTAATGTTTCTACCACATCAACGACAGTATTTAGATGTACATCATTTACACAGCGAGTCAGGTAATGTTTCTACCACACCAACGACAGTATTTAGATGTACATCACCATCATTTACACATAGAGTCAGGTAATGTTTCTACCACACCAACGACAGTATATAGATGTACATCACCATCATAGAGTCAGATAATGTTTCTACCACACCAACGACAGTATTTAGATGTACATCACCATCATTTACACATAGAGTCAGGTAATGTTTCTACCACACCAACGACAGTATCTAAATGTACATCACCATCATTTATACATGGATAGGGTATCGTGCATATCTTTTTACAGTACAGAGTGCGGTGGTTTATGATTTTGTTATACTAAATAGTGATTTATATTGAGGTTGGGATGGGGTTTTTTTTATAGAAAATGCCAAATGTTTATCACGTTTCATAAACATTAACATTCACCCGTCCCCTGATAAAGTTATAAAATCTTTTACTTCTTAGCTCCTGCCTCTTAGCTCCTTCATCTTAGCTCATACATTTGTTTGTAAAAAAAAATTCTTTAATTCTTAGAATGGACGCATTGGTCAAAGCTGTTGGCGTCAAGACGGACCTGAACCAGTCAATCCACACCACGCCCGAAACCACAAGACATCAATAACAAATTACCTCAAAACGATACCAGTAGATATCAATAATAAATTAACGCAACACGATACCAGAAAGTATCTAGAGCAATAAAATCTCAATACACACCAGAAAGTTGTGATAACAAATGGACAATAACAGAAGCTAGCGATCTCCCATAATAAATTATGGTGAAGATTTCTCACTCAAATATGCTTAATATTAATTAAAATGTATGTAAAATGTGAATGAATGTGGCGTAGGTATCAACTTTTGTCTGTTAATAATAATATCAATTATTGAGTTGTTGAACTGCGTGTTCTGGTCAAAGGGAAACAACAACATATTTTTTTTATATACTACGAAGAATGCTGTAGCTATTTCCCTTTTTATTTAGCTTTTCTCGATTGCGGTCAAAGGGCAATAACAATTAAATTATATTGAGAAGTAACTTTAAAAATTCTATTCTTTTTTAATGAATTAAATAAGGATAATTTTCTAAAATGTTTTCCGACAAAATCTGATTTAAATTAAAAGAAATCAAAGGTGCATTTATTGTTTAATTGTATACAGGGAGATAATGCTAAGGTGGATTTAAATGTTATTTAAATTACTTCCCTTTGACCACGCACCGCTAGGTCAATTTTGTTTTTTCTTTTTTTTATAAAAAGTACTCCGAGTAGTAAGATCAAACGACATTTCTTTTATTCCCTAAATGGCTTTAAAACTTTGACTTCTTTGCTTTTTATGTTTCGCCATTTTTTTTTTAATTTGAAAAGGTGAGATTTGTTGGAATTTTTCGTTTCTGGGGTAGTAAGTCTGGTATACTTTATAAATGATTAAAATTATTTGTTATTTCCCTTTGAACACTTAACGCTAAAACAATAAAATAAGCATGCTAAGATCTACGTACGTAAATGCATAGATTTTTTTTAAATCCTTAGTTTTTACAATCACCAGTACTTATATAACTATAAATAAAAGCGTGGGTAGCTCATAATTTTTTTATAACAATTATATATATAATTATATATATATATATAATTATTCGTAAACCTATTTATATGGAGAGAAGGGACTAGATATTTACAAATTTTTTTTAAAACAAGTATGGCAATCCATGTTTTTCGGTTTTTTTTATCAACAAGTAGAGCACTATGTCTACAGATTACAAATTATTTAACTAAAAGTAGAATTGCTGTAAAAACCAATAGCAAATATCTGTGTGAGTAGCTTTCTTTTTCAACTATTGCTTCATGTTATGGCATCAAAATAACATGGCAACTTCATAATGAAAAAAGTTTTGTAAAAAATATTTTGCTAAATAGCATGGTTAAGTCTATGTGCATGAGACAATCAGATTAACAATGTAAGCAAGTGAAATAAAGAAATAAAAACAAACTGGAAATAAGGGACGTTTTATTGCACATGTACTTCAATATGAATGATCTTAGCAATAAGATACAATTATCTATAGAACTCTAGCTGTAAAAACAAAACAGTAGCTTAGACAAATGTATCCAATTACATCAAATATGTATAAGTCCGACTACAAATAAGATAAAACATCAAATACTTAAACTAGAAGTGATAATTTTAACTACCATGATAAGCAATCTTTAAGTACAGCCACATAGTGAAACAAATGCACTTCAAATATACAGTTATCACAAAAATTACTTTTACTTAACCAATACTATTTTCTTTCCTTTTGTACCAATGATAAGTTTTCAAAACACAACATGGACCAAACATAGAAGAAATTAAATATAGCAGATTAAGATATGAATAGAGCCTTACTAACAATTTATTCATTTAAATGAGTGTGGTGTATGTGTATACATAAATTACTTTATATATATATATATATATATATATATATATATATATATATATATATATATATATATATATATATATATATATATATATATATATATATATATATATATATATATATATATATATATATATATATATATATACATCCACCTGTTTAAACTAGGTAAGATCAACTTTACCACAAGTTTTATATGATAGTTTAAAATATAGCAAGCAGTAGTAGTAAAAATAACTTGAGCTAGCTAAGGGAGATAACCTTAGTTGTCCCCCTTTATTTTCAGTCAACCCTGAGATACACATCTAGCTAAAACTAAAAGAGCCAACACACTTTAAAAAATTATTTTTTTAAAAGACAAAAAGAAAATTCTCATATCATTTTATCAACCAAGAGAAGTATTTTGTTTAAAACAAAGAGAAACCTAAGTTATAAAACATATTTTCTGAATACCCTGTTAACTCTTGTGTCAATAGCAGAATGAGCTGAGGGTTATTTCTCTGATGATATAAAAACTGAAGCCAATCTAAACTGCAGCCACACTAACTTGGGGTGGCAGAGTAAGGGAAATAACCAATGTTGAATACACTGTGTAATCAGCTGTTTCAAAGTTGACAAGACAAGCAAAGAAAATTATCATCATCATCATCAGTGTAGAGCAAAAATGGAAAACCTGTAAAATCCGTGGATTGAATAAACAAAAACATCAGAAAACAAAAACATGGATTCAATCACTGGTCAAGCTGGATGTCTGAAGTAATGATTGTGCTACTGGATGTCTGAAGTAATGATTGTGCTACTGGATGTCTGAAGTAATGATTGTGCTACTGGATGTCTGAAGTAATGATTGTGCTACTGAATATTGGTAGATCCAGCGTGGGATAGGAAGATGTTCATGGGAACTATTGGCACAGATCACAGAAACATTCACAAGAAAAAAAAATGTGTAGAAAAAATATAATAAAAATAAAATAAGAGACTGACAGTTAAATTGTTTCTGGAGAGTGAAAATTAACACATTTCAAGTCTGGTATAAGATGAAAAGACACTTGGTGCAGTTCATTGTAGCTCAATTTTTGGACAAGAGAGTTTAATTTATTGCATGCTTATACTTTAGAAGCAGTTCACTATTTACTATTTAATAAGCCAAATTAAATAATTTACAATTACTTTTAAATTGGGTAGACGAATAATTTAAGACATTTTAAAATAGTTGGCAACAGATTGAGTCCATTTTTAATATATTTCCTTGAATTGTTAGCGCGAAATATATTTGAAGCAAGTGTAAAATGTGGGTGGAATGTACAGATATGGCATATACGGGATTAAGGAAAAAACAAAAAAAAATAGATCAAACAATTAGGCCATACTTTGAAAATGTTTTTAAATGAATTAAATCTAAAAATGGAATGCAAAACATTTAAAGTCTCTTCCTATTAACTCTTGTCTTAAGAAATTAAAAATCTGAAATTTTAAGAAATAATTTCTGAATATTTTATCAAATAAACAAATATAAAACCAAATCACTAATCACTCATTTATCACACAAATATAGGGAGAAAAAAAATTAGGACAAAAAAAATTATTTCTAAGTGTTTTTCCAAAATAATTATATTGATGTATACATTTTTCTTCAGTAAGTAAAAATTGATTTCTCAACGAGGTGAAGATTGTACACTGATTGCTAATGAGTTCGGCAGGCAAGCTTGAATTGATGAGTTCAAATTTAATTATGGGATCTACACAAGTTAACATAACCTGACATTTGAAGCAGAATACAACATTACAATTGATTTACCACTAAAGCTATGCACAGAATGTCAGTATTTGTAAACCTCTAGACAAAGTGGTTTTTTATGAACAAACAACTGAGAAAATAATACTGACATTGAATATAGATATTAATGTATAAAACTATAAAGTACTAAATACAAACTTGATGTTTCACCTGCATGAGCAGGCATTGGCCTAACTAACATTTAAACATTTTTATTATGGAACAACTGCACAGTCCACTGATCCGTTATTTCTTAACACAAAATTCGTGTTAAAGGGTTGTGTATCCTATCACCATCAAACAGCTGACACTTTTCTGTACCTGCATTCAACATTGTCAATCAGATGTAAGCCCACAGTGCAGGCCATATTTTATGTGGATTCTCATTGAATACATTCAAGTAATGACATAAAAATACCATCATTCAAAAACAACAAATGTCTAATTTAGTGGGATGTTTGGGGACTATATATTTTGATAACTGAAGTACCTTAAAATATTATTTTCTTGACAATTCATCAGCTAAATTAATTTTGTACTTTAATATAATTATTGTATTTATTGTGGCCATAATGTTCAAGCAATGATCATTATGGCTACCCAGCACCCCTAAAAACAATCAGAAGATTTTTAAAATTTAGGAATGAGAAATTTGAAGCTGTTGATTTTGTTGGATAATTTAAAAAATATATAATAAATAAGCCATGTCAATAATTTAACAATATAATTATGCACAAAATTAATACAAATAATATATTAAAATATGAACATATATACACACATTAATAACATTTCCTAAACACACCTTGCAATGAGATTTTTCTCTAAATATCAATAAATATTTAATCTCACTAAAAGTTAACCTTACCAAAGAGGGAATTATTGATTACATTTGTCAAACTCTACTTGACATAAAAATCTTCATATTATGAGAAAACACAATATTATGAGAGAATATATTTTACAAGGATTATGAAAAACGAACATAAAATAAATTGTTATAACTTACAAAGACAAAATTATCATGGAAATTAACGATCTCATAAAAGAAATTCCTGTCTTTTAATTCTATATCAGGATTTAAGGTAACAAAAACAATTACAAAAACTAAATATAAAGAATAAGAAAATAAATATAAAAAATAAGAAAACCTTCCATCCTCAGTGGGTAAGTCACCTTTATAAATTTTGATTAATACACACGTTCTGACTAATAAAGTGTGTTATATAGACAAACTAAAATATATATGTTACATTTCTCAGTTTTAATCAAGGGTTAGTTATATTAAAAAGGGATAAAATACAAACATAAGTTTAGGATATTAATACTGAGTTAGTGATACAGGGAATGTAAATAAAGATTTGATTAAAAATGACTAGAAAGAACAATTCATTAGAATTGCTACCTACTCTTTTAGAAAGACTTAATTTTTACCTGCAAATATCCTCAAGCAATTCTTGCTACATGTAAATAGAACAGATCCAGAACACTTACTTTCTACATGTAAGTAAAAACACCCAGAACATTTCTTTGCTACATGTAAGTAGAACATATTCAGAACATTTTTTGCTACATGTAAGTAGAACATATCCAGAACATTTTTTGCTACATGTAAGTAGAACATATCCAGAACATTTTTTTCGCTACATGTAAGTAGAACATATTCAGAATATAAATCTTGCTACAGGTCAATATATAGCTATACCAGTCCATGTTTTCAATTCTTCCCACTAGGGGCACATTTATAACAAACACATCGTTGTGAGTTGATTCAAGGGGAAGTACCTTGTTCTCAAATATATATGCGAGAACATACACTTTATAGATGAATATCAAAGCATTAAAAAAATTGTTTTTTCAACGAACACTGACTCTGCCTGCAATCAACTGGAATTATAGAACAGTTTAAAATCAATAGCTACAGGCAAACGCTCTCATCATCAACTAGCACACACAAGCAAACATTTTTTTACTTCTAACAAGGGTGTGTTAAAACAATCTGGTGCAGCTCTAAACAGTGACTAAACAGGATACAAAACTGGTCTACTGTTGTCTATTGGGCTGTGATATTTTCAGAGGCTTGATTGACAATGTTATAACACCAAGGCTTGATGGACTTTGACTATGTTATAACATTGAGGCTTGTTGGGCTTTGACAATGTTATAACATTGAGGCTTGTTGGGCTTTGACAATGTTGTAGCATGCCTGACACACTCGCACAGGTTTTAATATCCTCAGCCTTTTGATCTCTGTCTCAAAGCAACTGCACCTGGAGATCATTCAAAACATCAGATCATATTTCACATCAGTCTAAGAAAACATCAAAACATCAGATCATATTTCACACCAGTCTAAGAAAACATCAAAACATTTGTCAAACAAAAGTGCTACTGACCACCTATACAGAAATGAACAAAATTTCAGACATAAATCATTAGGGAGAGGGAGGGGGTGCTTCAAGCTTCATTGATGAGTGAAGAGGTGCAGTGGGATAAAATTTACTATGAACAACACTATAGAGATTTCCATGAAATCAGTTATAACATGATAATTCAAAAATTGAAATTTAGATTTTGGTCAGTCTTAAAAAATAAGAAATCAACTTGGAGAAACCGAGCAAACAGAAATATGCGCAAATACAAACTAACTATTAATAATACACATTTCTTTTGTCATATTTCATTGAAAAATGTTTTATAATGCTACATTTGTCGAGTGGTCATTCTTTGCAAATGTTTATAAAAGCTCAATTTTAGAAAAACCAAAAATGTTCTTTCGCACTTTTTTGTGATGCGAATTTTCCGTTGAGCTGTTTTCCATTACATATCATTTCAGTCACCTACAGTCCCACAGTTCCTAAACAGGGCAGATACTCACTCTGAGCAAAAAGACACCCCAAAGTTCCTAAACAGAGCAGATACTCACTTGGAGCAAAAGACAACCCTAGTTTCTAAACAGAGCAGATACTCACTTGGAGCAAAAGACACCCCCCCCCCCCAAAGTTCCTAAACAGAGCAGATACTCACTTGGAACAAAAGACATTCCCACAGTTCCTACAGTGATGTTTTCTCTCAGAGAATGAAAACTTGACCCCACAAGTTGGACATGATTCAGCTCCATCATCCTTGATCCAGTGGTCAGCAACAACTCTTCCAGGCTGGCTAGTGACGGTCCAGTTCCAGATTCTCCCCTTGATGTCGCCCACATACACTGTTTTATGATCTCTGGGGAAATCAGTTTAAACATGTTAAATCTTACTAAATATTTCTGGCCAAAAATAAAATACATCCAGCATAATACGAAACTATTCATGTTAATCCTAAGTATGATGGCCATCCACTTGCACAAACCTGGACAGTGCAATAGCAGTGACCGCTGCTGGTTCTTTATTGTCCTTTCTCTCAAAAGCTGTGTGCATGGTCAGTTTACTGCGGAACACAAGCTGTCTCTGCCAGCAAAAACCTGGACATTGAAAAAAAATTAAAATAAAATAAAAAGAAGTCCAACATATGCTAGTGTTTTAGTCAGTTCTATATAGTTCATTGTTATAGAACAGGGGTCTCCAAATTTTTCAGCCTGAAGGCTGCATTAACTATCAAATATCAGTTCAGGGGGCCAGAATTTCTTCCAGAGAAGAGCCCCCCCCCCCCCCCCCAACAAAATTTAATTTATATAGAAAAATATACAAATTTCAAGTGCAGCAGGCCGTTGTTTGGGGACCCCTGTTATAGAACAACCAGAATCAGATAATTTAAATATTTTATGTAATGAAATGGCTCCATATCCTGTTTGTATCAGTATTGTATTTCTTAGAAGACTGTATTTTACTGTAAAATTAACAATCAACTACAAAATATTTTAACATCCAAAAACTTCAAACTCTCCTCACCTTCTCTGAGTGAATGTTTTCCAATTGGTTTGTATTTCTTCATGTCCTCTATGGCAGTGTTTGTGGTTTTCTTGGCGTTTGTCTCACTGGTCTCCACCTCAGAGGACTCGCTGTGGCTGAAAACTTTGTCCCCCTCTGTAGAAGCTGTTGAAGGTTTGGGATCTGTAACCTGAAATGTGAAACAAATCCATGACAAATATATCCCTGATGAGGGGACATGGTCAAGCAGGAGAGCATCTGATTGCTTGTTAGCTAGGGGCAGTTCTTTCAGCTTGTCTAATGATCATTTAGTTCTGTGTCTATCATTTTAAAAAGCTCTAGTTTAAATACAATGAACCCAGTCGTCTTCTTAAAAAATATTTTAGGTGACTGGAATTATAAGTCTGATGCATGATACATAACAGGCATTAAAACAAAAAATAACTAAAACTTCAGACACTAGCCTCTAACTAGAAGTCTACTAAACAAAAGACTAAAACTTTAGACACTAACCTCTAACCCAGCCTCACTCTAAACAAAAGACAAAAACTTCAGACACTAACCTCTAACCCAGCCTCACTACAAGTCTAAACAAAAGACTAAAACTTCAGACACTAACCTCTAACCCAGCCTCACTACAAGTCTAAACAAAAGACAAAAACTTCAGACACTAACCTCTAACCCAGCATAACTTTAGACACTAACCTCTAACCCAGCATAACTTAGACACTAACCTCTAACCCAGCATAACTTAGACACTAACCTCTAACCCAGCATAACTTAGACACTAACCTCTAACCCAGCATAACTTAGACACTAACCTCTAACCCAGCATAACTTAGACACTAACCTCTAACCCAGCCTCACTACAAGTCTCATCATAGCCAGAAGTCTGTGACATGAGTTCCCTCCTGCCTTGGTCAGCCATATCAGAATCTGTGTCCACTGAATGGGAGCCAGGTTTAACACAAGAGCTGTCAGTCTCCGCTCTATCACTCACATCCTCCGACCCCTTGTAAAGTTCACTGGAACTACTTGTTGCACTCATAGTAAAGTCAAACCCACTTTTTCGCTTGTCCCATGATGCATCACTGTCCTCATCCCTCAACCGTTTAGCAAAAGGACTGTCCTGTTCCTCAGACGAGCCCAAGTCGCAGTCTCTAGTGGCAAGAAAATCTGGGTCTTTGAAATCTTTGAGCATGTCAACAGCAGGTTTACCATCACTGTAGCTATCACAGGACTCGTGCCTTGAGAGTTTTCTCCTACCCATGTAACCTTCATACGAGCTGTGGCGAGACTTTTTGTTGGAGGCCCTTGAGTTGGGGGAAACAGATTCATCTTTTGAACCATCTGTGGAATCTTTAGCAAACGTGGTGGGTTCTTTTGGAACTTGAACATACTCGACACTCCACATCTAAAGAAAACAATTGTAATGGAATATATGTTATACTGTCCTCTAGAGTCAAATGTAAATGTTAATGATCATCACTGTAACAACTAACTTTAACAATGCATATAAAACATGAACTCACCCTGACTACCCCATCACTGCTTCCGGTTAAAACAACATTTTGGATGTCCCATTCATTCATCTGGAATTTTAAAACATTTTTATCAAATCTTTATTTAAACAGCTAGAAATGTATCTTGGACTTAAGTGTTTTAGGGATTGAAACACTGGCATGCTGAACTTAAAAGGATTGTTATTTTTTAAGAACAATTTTAACTGAAAATAATTTTCAAAGTAAAATGTTCAAAAAGCTGCTGTAAAAGTCTTAAAATTCATTTACATGCAGGTGACCTTGATTTACCTGTGAAAAACAGACACAAAAGATCTGCTGGTTCCTGCCTGTGGATGTGTTGACACTGGCTATAGCCTCCCCATTGACATTCCACACATGGAGAAATGTACCGGCACAAGTTGCGATATCACCCTGGGTTAAACAGACATATTTTTAGCTTTTCAACTAGTCCACATACATGTATTAAACAGAAATTAATAAAAACTGTTTTTTCAGATAAATTAATTTAAAACTAACACAACTTTTTATTTAATGTTGGTCTGAGTCTTTTTACTATATGCAGATTTCCAGCCGAGTTTGAATTTTTCTTTTTCAATTTTTTTTTTTATAAGTACTCACATAACTGCATTTTTTAAACCACATTCAGAGCCTTCTAAACAGTATTTTTTTTATTGCTTGTCTAATTCATAATTTGAGTAGTAAAACTCATGACTTTTCAATGAAAAAAAGTTACTTTCTGCTAACCACAATTTAGAGTATTTTTTTCTTTTGATTAATGAAGCATTACTTTAAAAATTAACCATATTGTTCCATAACTTATGTTACATAAGCTTTCATTTACAATTATTTTCTATATTAAAAGAGGTGAGTCTTTTCACAGCATGGAAACTAAAATTATTCCAGCCAGTAAGTAGCACTTCTTGTGTTGTCATGTTGTGTCTAACAAAGCTAGAACAAGACAGCTGTAATCTTACTGTGAGTTCATTGATTGCCACCGCAGCAACAGGCGCAACGTGTCCCCGCAGCTGGTGCACATACACCAGCCTGCTCAGGTCCCACAGGATGCAGGTCTTGTCACGCGAGCCACTCACAATCAAGCTGTAGGCAGCTGATGATGTCAGGCAGGTCACTGGTTCTGTATGGCCGTACAGCGGCTGCTTCAGTGTGGCTTTACGTTCTTTGTTGGAATACTCCCACACATTGACCACCTGAAAAGTAAACCATTTCAAATGCAAGTCAGACAAAACATAGGAACTCTCCTTGATGTATCTACAGATCATAAGGTGTGAACGAAAAGTTCTTACACAGCTGGTTCCTCCAGTAATAAAAATTTTATCATTGGGACAAGAAGCACATAGAATTTCTCCATTGTCCAGACCTTCAAACACCAGAATTGTCTAAATTTGACAAAAGAAGAAATGTTTTGTTACATTTTGTTTATTTATCAAAAAGAATAATCAGTATGCATTGTATTGACCTTTAAAGGAACTTTGAAAATTTAAATTTTACATAACAATATACAAGTCCTTTTTTTTTTAGAAATAAGAGCAGGTGGATATAATACTAATAAGCAAAACCACAAGGCAAATTAGCTTTGAAACAAATATCTAATTGAAAATCTCACCTTCTCAGATTCATAGGATCCAATTCTAATGCTGAGATCAGAGAAGCCCCACGCCAGGTAGCGGGTGTGGCCAGGTGATATGAGAACTTTATTTTGTTCCACAGCTAACAGGTATTTGTCCAGGTGGTGAATCTGTCCTACTGCACCCTTCAGTTCTAGGTGAAAGAAGAAATTCATGTTTAGTACCTACAGTTCTAGATAAAATATTTACATAAATTAATTTTTATGGCATGGGAGATTGCTTAAGCTCGTTAAAGTAAAATGTTACACAGAAAATACAAACCTTTAATTGGTTGCATTGTTGGTTTGAGGTTGTCAACATGATGGAAGAATAAGGTGTTGATCGGAATGTTATTTCTCTTTTGTGGATGTGGTCGCTTGAACAACTTTAAAGAAAATAATTGTTGGAATTCCAAATTATAAAAATGTTAATCAACAAATTACATCTTAAAAATGTAAATATAAAGACCTAATTTTATTTATTTAGTCCTTTTAAAAACTCAAGTATATGTTCATAACTCTTTTTAAGTGTCAGAAATTAATATAAAAAACTAACCTGTTTTGGAATCTGACCAAAATTATTGATGAATCCAATGGTGGCATTTTTCTTGAGTGGGTCATCAATGCTGTAGATATCAACATTGCCTTCATAGAACAAATGATGGAAAACATTGACAGCTTCCACGGCAGGCTGGCCACATTGCTTGTATCCAAATATAAGGTCAATCCACTCATGGAGGTGTGCACTGACGTAGTCACACTCTAAAGCCTGAATACATGGGAGATTTTTATTGGATTGGAATATCAAGAACACTCTAAAGCCTGAATACATGGGAGATTTTTATTGGATTGGAATATCAAGAACACTCTAAAGCCTGAATACATGGGAGATTTTTTTGTATTGGAATATCAAGAACATTCTAAATCCTGAATACATGGGAGATTTTTATTGGATTGGAATATCAAGAACACTCTAAAGCCTGAATACATGGGAGATTTTTTTGTATTGGAATATCAAGAACATTCTAAAGCCTTAATATATGGGATATTTTTCTTTTATTGGTGCTAATCGCAAGAACATTTTAAAGCTTGAATTTGTGAGATTTTTATTCTAATCTAAAAAAAGTTATTGTTTTAAAAAGGTAATAAAAATTTGCTTGAGTTAATTTGGAAGTTTCCATAGAATGGCAAGCAGTGGGTGATTTTTATCAGAATTTACTATACTTAATTTTTCCTGACATTTTTTTCTTTTTGTGTATAAAGCACACTATACCTGTCTATGGACTCTGATGAATTCTCTTGGATCCCCTTTTGCCCAAGGAGGAAGTAAAACATCACCCAGAGAAACTCCATTTTGTTTTACTCCTGGACACAAAACAAAGACATGAAAAGTTAACAAACGATATATTACACCAAAATAACAATTTCTAAACATCTTTAGGATTGTAAATAGAATGTTGTTTTCTTTAACTAACCTAAATCAAAATTGTTTTTGTTTAGGAGAAAATCTGGAAGATAAAAAAATTCTGGGATCAATTCTTTCACATCTGCCATGTTATTTTTAGATGCTGATAACCAGTTTTCTTTGACACTGTGAAACATTCTGTCAGCCAAATCAAAGTGTCCACCCTGAAAATAAATCACAGTTACAATATTAAAATATTTAGAATATTCAATAGAATACCAAAATGCTAATTGTTTTGCAATAAAATGTATCTGTTCACTTAGTACCTTTTTAAGGTGACAAACTAATCAAAGAGTAAATAAAATAGACTTGCCTGGAGTTTGAGAAAATGCTGAGTGAAAGGTTCCATGCGTACAAGATAAGATGCAACAATCATAGCAGATGAGTAGTGTGTTCCATAGTGGTATGGTGGTGTTTCACCTGAGATAATCATTTTACATTAAAACTCTGCACACTCAAAGAGATTCAAAAGTTTTTTTTATCTTATCATTTTGCTTTTCATTGATACATTAATGTAAGTAAACATCACAAGTATCAAGCATGGCTAACAGAAGTATTTGTTTATAATTAATATTTAGAAACAGTAATATATGATGAAGATATTGCACGCATCTAATGCTACTTTAAAATAATATTAATTGTAAACATTTCTTACTTGTATATTTATATATCCATTAAATACTTATTTATCCATAAATTTTAATTTACTTATAAAATTCAACTTTTAGAAACTACAGAATTCATACATCACTTGTAAAAATAAAATAGAAAGAGTTAACTGAATTAATTTACTGCTGTTGTTAAATAGTAGTTGCTTGAATTAAACACAAATATTTAATTCCTCAACCACATATTTTAAAAAATAAACAGTAAACATAAAATTGCTGTACCTTGAGGATCATCCCATTCATTGTATCTCTTCTGAAACTGCTGCAGCCGTACAGGAGTTTGAGCTCCCATTGGTTTAGAAAGGTCACGAAAGTTTGAAGCTTTTGACAGGTCAAGTTCCTGAACAAGTTGGATACACATCAACATTTGAAAGCTTCAAATGGATTTTTTTAATATAATCCAAAACTAGACAAAGTTTCTAAATTATTATTTGGTCAAGTTTATGTTGATGTAGACCATATGTTGAACAAGAAATGTTTAAAAATTTGCTTTTAAATAATAAAGTGTTAAAATTTGTTTACAAAATTACCTCTGCATCATAGTTAGCAATAATCCAAGGAAAAACAGGATACTGCATAAGGTCATTGTAAGATCTGCCTGCTAATGTGTTTAAATGCATCAGGTACTGGAAATTGCTTATTTCTCCTTTCTGGATGTCAGGAAATAAAATAATTATGAAAATAATTAATAAAACTAAGTTAAAAAAGAGCAACAGGAAGAAAAATACTGCTAATATTGTAATTTTATTTTTATTAAAAAAAAAGAAAAATGTTCATGTGTCCTTACTTCCCATCTCTGTGTGACTGATTTCTCTCCAATTAAATTGCTGATGATTCCACCTCTATAAAGAGACAAATGTAGTTTGTAATCAAGTTCTAGATAGGTATGTAATTCAGTTCTACATATACAATAAATCAATCAGTTACTTAAGATATGTCAATGATTTTATAATTATAGGTGCATTAGCCACTGGATGTTTAATTTTTCTAGCTGAAATTATACAAACTGGTGTAGCCAAAAAAGGGTTAAATCACTTATATGAAGCAAAGTTGGCAAATGATGAAAGTGCTTAGAAAAACAAGAAAATAAATGCTATCAAAGTGAAATAATCTATAAGTTTTGAAGAGCAACCAAAATATAGAATATGCCATGGTTGTCAATAATTCATATTTGTGAAATGAATTTTGTGAGCCATCAAAAAGTTGAACCAGTTCATAAAACTGAAGCCAACCTGGCATTCATAAACTAACATTTGTAGCCCCAGCTGCTCTGGCTAATGTGCCCAAAACAATATAAAGCAAATAAATTGTATTCACCCAGTTTCAACTTTAGCATTTTGTCTTTGGCCAGACACTGAGTGCTGGGCATTATCCGTCATAGCTGTGGCAACAGACAGAAATCTGAAACAATAGAAATTTTTATGAATAAAAATAATTCACGCATGCAGTCTACTACAAGAATCTAAAAAAATTACTTTAGCCAATATCATATAATACTATAAAAGTAAAAAAAAGTAAATGAATTGAACATGTTCAGCATGATGCGGAACAAATCCTTACTTGGTCATGACTTTATTTCTGATTTTCCTAGGGAATGCCAGCAGGTGGTTTCTGCCATCACCAGAGAAAACCTCTATAGCTATGGGCTGTAACAGGTAGCGTCTCTTATGGACTTCTCTGATGTCATCATAGGCAAATCTGCTGTACCTATTATAATAAAAAGGAAAATGTTGCCTTAAATAATCATTTCTTAAAGAAAAAGAAAAACTTACACCCACTTAGGGGCAACATAGATCTACTTTAATAAAAAGAAAATGTATTTATATAAAATGAAATTAGTGGAAGAAAAATACCATACAAAGAATCAGAACTTACATTCGCTTTAGATAACTTCCTGTGCCCATTGTAGATTTTGGAATAATTGGATCATGAATTCTGTTTAAAAAAAATCAAATATTTCCATTTTGTTCAGATTTTTTTAAAGACAAAAAAACATTTACTGAATAGCTTAAATTAGCAGTAACAATGTAGAGAGCATTTAAGAACTCATTTCTAAGGAATTATTCATAGCAGGTTTATCTAATATAACATCAAACTTTCTGCAAAAAGATAGAAATTGTTAGATAAATATGAAACTATTATAATCATAAATCTTAAGTTTTGACGTACTCGTATGGCAATGAGTCTATATCTTTTATTTCTTTGGTTCTGAGAAGGGTAAAGCCATCTATGACATAGAAATGTTCTTTGCCAAACAACAACAATCCCTCTGCAGTATCTAGTCCTTGAATCCTTGCACACCTGAACATATGACTGATCTGAAATGATGATCAACAAATAGAAATTAGTTAATGAATTACGAAAGCAATACATAAATATAAATAAATTTTAAAAACAAATGAGAAACTTTGAAGCTCTTAGCCTAAATATTTTATTTTAAATATTTTCTAGTTTAGCCTAAGTGTTTCTGGAGTTCCAAATAGCTACATTCCTATGTTAGAATATTTGTGTAGGTTTTTTAACATTGTTTCCGTTTATGCAAACTTCCTTTAAATTATTAACTTTATGTAATTAATATTACATTTTATGATGTTCACATTACAAGCTGAGGTGAGTTTGTTTTGGTCGGATAAAACACAACAAAAAGGGAATTGTTACTTACAAAATATTTTTAATTTAAGTTTTTAATTTTACTTAGAACTAATGAAAAAAAAAAGGACACTGGAAGCCAGTAAAAATATAGATGGACAGAAAAACAAAAGATAACTCAGACAAAAAAGTATTTACCCTTTCTTTTTCACCAATAAAGTGGAGAATGGTTTGGTTGTCAGCTTTAGTAGTGGGTGAAGATGGAACATCCAAGCTGGTATCATTCTGGCTGTCACCTTGACCTTCACTCTCTGAATGCTCCACTGTGTTCTCTGATCTTTCAGCAGTTTCCTCCAACCTTTCCAGATCAGGATTGTTCAAGTCATCTGTGTCATCATCATCACCAACACTTTTAAAACCTTTTGCCTTTGGAAGTAACTTTTTAAGGCTGTTCACATCTGTAAAGGAAAGAAAATAAATTAATACAAGTGTCTTTATGTGAAGTTGTTGCGATTTACATTTTAAATAAAATAATTTATGACCAAATCTCCTAATGACAATCATAGTATCATAATTTATCAACGTATTTTTAGTTCATCAAATAATTAAACATGGTTTTTTTTCAAGATCTGAAATTATAGAATACATTTATTAAAAGAAATTTGCAGATGTAATTAAATTCTCCCATTTGATGTTCATTTATAATTAATCTAATTTAAGCCTTTCCAGATGTTATTTATTTATTATGAATTTACTTCTCTAGAAATCTGATAAAATAACGTAAACTTCCTTTTCTAACCGTGTGATACCTAATGTGGATATTGCCAGTTCATAGTATTAGCAAATTCTTAACCTTTCATAAAGTAAAGTATAAAAAAGACTAACCATCAGGTGAGCTGTTGCTGTAGTCTGTGCAGTTATTCATTAAATCCACATCTGATGTTTTCTGAATGGGTACTTCCTCCTTACACAAAATACCTTGAGGCCAAAAATGTTCATAATACTTTTTGCTGTCATTGCTTATAGCAACCTTGTATTTCAATGGCTGTAAAAATAGTGCAGTACAATTAGTTTAACAAACACCCTTTGATGATAATTTAAATCCTAACGATCCCCTTTTGTAAAACAATATTTTTTAAACATTGATCAGTCCATTTCAATTATTGTACAGTAGTGTAGAGCTGAATGGCAACATGTGATGTAATCCCATCTTATTCAGTGAGTTTAATGAATTAATTGATGTTTTCTTGAATGACCAAGATTTGAGCTCATGTTAATTGCAGCAACTTTTCTGTGTGTTTCTAGGCAGTAGGTTAGTGTTATATCATTTTTGTGATTTAATATTTTTAAATTTTATAAACAATCTAAGCTCTTATTTACAACAAAAAAACAACAACATAAAACTTACACTGTCTTCCAGATTTGGTCTGTATGGATAGTGAACATAAAACACATCATTTTTCATCATCTTTTTGCGCATTCTAAATGGACCTGTAGTAACACAAAGTATGTTGGTTAAACACAGAAAGAGATGAACAGTTGTTACTTTCTTATGTCTTTTTTATATGCCATACACAATTGTAAAAATGTTTTCTTGTAATATCCAGCCAGCAAAACCCACAAAGCAAGTCTTACCTTCTGTGACGTCCAGCACCATTTTGTCAAGCTTTGACCCAGTCTGGGGTCCCCACAAACTTCTAACTCTGAGCAGCTCTTTCTCAACTTGCTTCCAGTCATCCAGTAAATATTTTTCAAAGTGCTTTTGGGTCTGCAATAAATCAAGTTCCAGTTTACTTATTTTTATTTCAATATTATTTACATATTATTGTGACATATTATCAAGTTTTTATACCAGAAACAAATCTGATCATATTCAGCTTACCACAGAATAGGAAGTGGTTTTTAAACTTCTCTTGTATTACATTTCATTAGGATAACTTAAAAAATTACAACTACATGAATTTGAATTGAGTTTTGCATATAGAAAGTTTTTACCTGTAAATATTGCTCATGCTGGAATAGCACAACATTTTTTACAAGGACCACATGGCTAATGGTGGCTTGAAGGAAGTCCTGCATTAAAAGTCAAAGGTTATATTTTTAAAGTTTTATAATGGCATCCACTTGTTCATCCAACAAACAGACCAGATAACATACAAAGATACAAAGACATATTAACTACAAACCTTCAGATCTTCAAACATACCATAAAACAGTCTATATTTAATGCTCTTAGATTAAAATAGGAAACAATATATATGAAAGTATTATAGAGGTCCACAATTTATTGTATTTATTTTGGGATAAGTAAATTAGTTCCATATTTTGTGGTTTTAATTTTGTTCTGAAAAATACTGCAAATACCAACATCATATGTACATTTTCAATTAAAAATGGACTTACATTAACATGAACATTGGAAATTGGTGATGACTTCAAAGGCAAATCCTTCTTACTTTTCCTGGATGCTAAACGCAAAACTCCGCTGACTCCACTTCCAACTTTTTGAAGTTTCTTCAAAAAAATTTAAGATTATATTTTCAGCCCACTTTTTGTGCTGGATTCTATTTTGATACAACAGGTACCACTTTACACAAAATCAATGTTAAGTCTTTACGTATTTTCTATGGTTTAGCTAAAAAAAAAAACTTTAACTAGAATTTTAGAATATTTTCTCTTTATACTCCATTGTTTTGCTGAATCCAAGTTTTTATTCATATATCTATATCTAGGTCAGGATATTGCCAGAGCTGCTATTTTTAGTTGTGTTGTAAAAAGCCTAGGCATCAGAGTTAAAAAAAGCAAAAAAATAGTGGCTTGTAAAACAGCCTTTTCTAAAATTAAGGAACACCATTCAGTGGCTGCATTAAACAATAGCATCAGCAATTGAAAGAATTGTGGTTGAATGTAATAATAATTCTTGACTTGAGTTAAACAAATATGCAACAAGTACTTACAGACTGAATTTGGTTCTGTAGTTTTTCTATCTGGAGGAAAGAGGATTTACGCTCATTTTCAGCATAACTAACCCAAATCTTTGATGCACTCTCTTGGATTAACAACCTGAAATATAAGTTTCAAAGCTTTTACTCTAATGCATAAGTAACAAATCTTAATAACAGTTAATTTATCAACAATTATTTTGAAATATTTTTTTTATAAAAACAAAATTTCTCACTAGTATCTAGTATTTATGAATTTACATAACTTCCCAAATATTTAATATTTTAAATAATATGATTAAATTCCTGATTTTTTTTTCTATTGCAGGTTAGGAATTTAATATAAATATTATAATGATAATTTTTTAATTTAATATAGCTTAGGAATAAGAATTTTAAAAATGTTTTCTTCAAAGTAATAAAAACATTTTTAAGAAAAAAACTTAGTAAGCTGCTGAAAGCAGTTTAATTTTCAAATAAAATTAAGTTATAATTGTTGTCTAAAAAAATCTGCCCTTAATGTTAGCTTAGTAAAGTAATTGACTATTACTTTCGTACATCAAAACTAATTGTAAAATAAAAAAACAGAGGACTCAATAAAAAAGATGATTAAAACTAGAGCTATTTACCACTGCACACATTAGGCTAGATTAAACATGCTTGTCTTTACATGTGACTACAGTCCAATAACTTATTTTTTATCTTGTATATTATTAAATTAAAATCATGATACATGATAATTTGGTTTAATGATTGCTCCAAAAAAATAGTGTTGCCTGTCAAATTACTTGAAGTAGCTATTTCTTTCACAAAAGATTAAATTCTTTCCAGGTTTACCTGACAGCATTGATATCAGGTGACACAATGGTTTTTGAAGGGGCACTGTTGTTGAGCTGAGTTCTAAACAGTTCTTCCAAAGCCTGGAAAAGACAAAGAAAAAAATAACAGTATACTGTAACTATTAATAAATAACACATAACATCAAATAAACATGAACATTTTTTTTTTCTCATCAAAAACAGCAATTGTCCTTTTAATGAAACAAAAAAAAAGTTTTAGAAAAAAATACAAACCGGTTTCTTGAAAACGTAGAGCTCATCCCACACTCTTTTAGCAGCAGAAGAAACCAGATGCATACCCTGCTTGAGATCAGGGTTGAATGTGCCAGATTTGCTATCTAGTCCCTCACTCTGAGTGCCTAAGATGTCTATTCCTTGGGTCATTTCTGGATTGACATGCCAGGTTGTGGTCCTTGGCTTGGTTTCACTCAAGTTAGCACCACTGTATAAAGGTTTGAGAAAAATAAAATGCCTTCAATGTATATGGAAAGAATATAGTATTAAGTCAAGATGAAGTTACAACTATGTTAAGGAATCATACCTTGATTCAGGATCCTCTGTCAACTGAAGCAAGCAATAGCATAGGCATCCTAAAAACTCATTGTCGTGGTTACCAGGACCAAAGATCAAATTTCTATTATTTGTGAGTAAGTGGAGTGCATCAAGAACACTTGCTTGGCTTGCTAGAGAATCTATGGGTCGGGACAACTGGAACAGAATGGTCCGATTCAAGCATTTGTAGATTGGATCTAATGAGATGCCTGTAGCTGATAAAGAAAGAAAAAGAATTCATTGAATGGTCATCAAAATATAAAGCGATAATGAAAATTTTAAAAAATTGTTATAGAAATCTAAACTGCAGTTTAAGTTTACTTTCATTTACTTCTAATTTCAACTTGAGACTAAAATAAATAACCTGCTAATCTTGTGTAATTTTTAAGAATTAGAAAATTGGGAATAAAAATTGACATTTCAAACTATAACAAAATTTTGGTTTATAAGGATGCTTACATTTTCTCTTTGCTTGAGAAATCAGTTTGCTTAAGAAATCAAACACATCCTGTGGTTCTCTTGTAAATACACCTGGAAATAAAGCATGCTCGAAGTGAAATAAAAATGTACAATAAAGTTTTTTACCAATATACGTGACCATATTATCTGTTTAACAAATAAAAGACTTAACTTGGCAGTGAAATCTGTTTAAAGGTCAGGACTGGTAAAACATGGCAATCTGAAAGCAAATCTTACCATGCCACATCTTGTCAACAACACGACTAGCAAAGTAAAAGACATTTGTAGCCATGTGGCTGTAGCTGCTCCCAGACATCAAAGGCAGTGCTGCTTGGTCACCTAACAGAATGTCTGCAGCAAGCAGGTGATCCATCAAAATTTTTAGCATTTCAGTTTGAAATTCTTTCTGCTGGGCTCGACTGGCATGTTCTGGAGTAGCCTGGAGAAAATCAATAAAAAATGTTACTTGTAAATTGAAACATGTTCCCTTATCTTATACAAAGATATTTTCTAAAAATACTTAACTTTTTTAAGGGATTGTTAAACTTATTTAATAAATAAATCTATTAAATGGAAAGCGTTATGTTAATATCACTTTGATTAAGGTTTTGATATTTAAATTAAATGAACAGTGTTATTATTATGTTTCCATTTGCTTTCTTTATTCATTTTTTTATAAATTTGATATAACAAAATTTATGCTTAAAAAATACTATGAAAAATATAATTTTCTATGTGCTCCAATAATAAATTGTAGGAATTAGAAGATGTAAAAAAAAGTTTGACTAACATCCAACACAAGATCAAGGACAGAGGCAGATTTTCCACTTGGCATTTGAGACAAGCTGTCAATGACTATGGTACGGATAAAGTCAATAATGAGCCTGCGAACAGGGTGGCCAGTAAGGAAGCCTGTAAGATTGAAAAAAAATTTATTATAATACTGTATCATTGCATTATTTTTTATCACATTTTTTTACACCATGCACTTTTCAGCATAGCTACTACCGGCATTTAATTTTACATACTACCTATATACTGATAAATTAATTAGCTTTTGTTTTAATTGTAAAATGCACATGAACAAATGTTTAAAAATACCTGAACATTCTTTGTTAGGAAGCTTGACAACCACTAAGGAGTCAGATTCAGGGAATGGCTAAAATAAATAAATGAAACAATAACTTAATTAACGTTACTAAAGTTCATTTTTTAAAGAATACTTAAATTAATGTATCTACCTATTGAGGGAACAACAAACACAGCTACCTTGAACTCTTCATTAGGTGTGGTGACATCACTGTCAATGTCCCCTATGGAGGTAGGAAACAGAGTGGCCACCAAAGCTGTGACAAAGTCAGAGGAGGAGCATACAGACTGGAACTCAGATAAGTTGTGGTACAAAAACATCAGGAACTGGATCACTGTCACTGGGTAATCATTCTCTATGCTGGAAGGTAGGCTTGAAGAATCCATCTAAACAGTTTAATAGATAAATAATTTAAAGATTGGGAGAAAATTATATATATATTTTGATTAAAATTAAATTTCTACTTAAAAGATTTTTAAAATCACACTTTAAATACTTCTTTTTAATTTTAACATATATATATATTGAGTTTAGTGCAAGTAATCAACTTTTAAAGTACAAAAAAAAACAATACTTGTAATAATAAGTGAAAATGTGTTTAGCGATTCTGAAGGGTTAAGATGAACCTCTGGTAATAGCCTATGAGCTGTGTGGCTATTTTTTTCATGTTTTTTTACTAGATTTATGAGTAAACTTAGGCAACACTAGCAGTTTTTGTCATTTATTCTATACAAGCCATTATTTGTTTAGAAAAACTATTGTTACTGAAACAAACCTCATTGATCATGCATCTGATCATTGCCAAAAGCACCAGAGCAGCATCTGGACACAAGTCTATTGCCTCTCTAGACAAAATATGCATTGGTTTACTTGATGACACTCCAAATATCACAGTCCAAACAGCATCTACGTTTAGTGGCTGAAATATTTCCATGAAGATTGTCCTTACATTGTTTTTTTGAAAAAATGTAATTGTAAAACCACAATATTAACAATAATTCACAGCCTAATTTTAAGTTTAAGCTTAAAGAACTCACAACACAAAACTTTAAAATGAAAAATGTTTTTGCTATTTTGGGAGCCTATTTTTCTTGCAGAACCACATTTTTTAAAGTCTTTGGTGTTTGCAGAAAACTGAAATCTGTAAGTCAATCTGCTAATGCATAATAAAGAATAAAAGACTACCTGTATAATAACTGCAGTAATGATTGTATAATATAAATTTTCAAAAACAACCCAAAGACTTGAAAATACAGATCCTCAAATTATTTTGCATGTTTAAAGAGTAGTGTAAATAAAGTCTTGTATAATAACAACATGAACAAACCTGTCCATTCATCATGAGAGACCTGTTCTGTTGCCCCAGCAGTAAAGCCATTAAAAGATAGTACACATCAGGAACATCATTGTGCTTAGACAGCAGCCACTGGAGTGCCTGGAATCCTGGCACATGACACACTTCATGGTTTATTTCATTCTCATTGCGTGTGTGAGCACCAACATTGAAGCCTACCAAAAAGAAATAAAAGCTTGAGGTTGTTTTTTTTTAAATAAGTTCAGTACAAATAATGTAACGGCGAAATTGGTACAATATTTGGTATTAAAACATTAATACATTTAAAAGATTTGTTTTATTTTCAATATTAAAGCTATATCTAGAACATCTTTATACTGCTAACACTAAAAATATACTAGCTTTACAAGGATTTGAAGTAAAAGCAAGCGTGTAGCCTGATTTGTTCTTACCTAACATCACAGACATTTGATTTTTCAAAACCAGCTCAGTTCCTCCCATCCATCCTCCTCCGTAACTCCCTTCTCGAAATCTCTTCACATTGTCATTGTTGCGAAACATGACCAGCAGAATTCTTAAAGCCAACACCACAGAGCTTGAGTGAATATGGCTTTGCATGAACAGAAGCAGCCAGTCATAGCCCAAACGTTTTGCAATGTCATCACATGTCCTAAAAAATAGTTTTCTTTGCAACATTACTAAGAAAATCCAGAAATTATTTAATCTAGATTTATAGCACTGAATGACCTACCAAAAAAGACCTACACTAACTGAAAACTGTTTATAATTTGTTAAAATTTGTAATTATGGTAAACTTCTACTCACTGCAAATTAACCCCAGCACAGTTATTTTGTGGTTTGACCAACTTTAGAATAACATCCAGCAGGATGTTGCGCATGTTGATATTGTGTACCATCTGGGGAAGGCTACAATCAGCTGAAATGTTTGAAAAGTTCATGTTTTATGCAACTAACTACACACAAAAACTGATTAGAAAATAATAATTTTGTATAAGAAATAAGAATCTTCTAGTTTTATTTTTGAATTACAACTTACTTAATCCATTTGACTGTTCTGATTCTGTAGTTCCATCCATTTTTTGGTTCTGTATATCCACATTTTTCTCACTAAATGATGCTACTGGAAATGTTGAAACTAAATGCTGGCCAAATCTAAAATAACATTGAAAACTCACTTAATATACATACAGATATTTATATATATATATATATAAATACAACATCAAATTATTTGGATATAATATAAGGTTATTTGGAGCCTCTTACCTCAGTAAACCAGAATGGTCTGATGGCCCAGCCAAAATCTCTCCCAGCACATTTCCCACTGACTGGACTGTGGGTATGGGTAGTCTTGGATCTTTTAAAATGTGGAGCAGTTTTGTGGTCAGGTCCATGCTTTTCATAATACTTTGATTGGTCTTTAATTCACTGTTTGAAAAGGTTTGACAATAATACAAATTGAATCATTCTTTACACAATGAGCATATATTATATTTTAAAATTTAAAATGCATATTAAAATTCATAACTAATTTTAAAGTAGAATTTTTAAAAAAGCATAAATAATTAAATGCCTAAAGAAGTTTCTTTATGTTAGAACTAAATAAAATATTGTATTTCTCCTTTTACAAATGTTATGTTCAAATAATTGCATGAATGGATGCTGTTTTAAAAATTGTTTAGATTAGCACACTATTTTATTAAATGGAATAGAAAACTACAAAATTTTATTGAAAAACATACAACTAACCTGGAATCAGTAAGGAGCTCATAGAAGTGCTCATACAATGAGCGCTGCAAATCACCAGGAGCTTCATGCCAGATCTAAATAAACAACACATTAAAATTATATCACTATTAATAGTACAGCTACATAAAGAAAAAAAATATTAAAATTTACTAAAAAATGGGATGTATTTCATCATAAGAACTTATTTTAAGGTTACAAATGTATCAACAATTTCAGATCAAAATAATCTTTATTCCTTTTTTTATTTGTGTTCGTAATTACCTCTAAATCACAAAGGAGATCTTGGAATGCAGAGATGTTTGGAATGGTTGAAGATTCTCTCCCGCTATCCAAGGTACCAACAAGAGAGAATGTCAAGTGAAGGATATGACTGTTAAGAAGATTGCGCTTTTTCTTGTAGAGCATGGCAAGCAGCTATGGAGGACAAATACACCATGAATAAATCCAGGGTTATAAAAAAGTTTGTTATGTATACAAACAATATAAAAAATAGTGTATCTTACCTGATATCCATGAATTCTGTCCATATCCCACTTTGATGAGTTATTGCTCCTTACAACACATACCAGTGCCTTTACAGCAGCATACAAACTTTCCACATCTTTAGCCATAGCAATAAGTCCAAGCAACACAGAAGTGCCTCCAACATTATCCAGCATCCGTGCTACAGGCTGTGGGCAGAAGGTACGGACACCTGAAAAGAAGTTCCTCAAGATTTTAAACTGCAAGATTTTAACAAAAACAATTAATTTAAATTGAGTTCAGGACAAGCAAACAAAACCTTAATATTTCTAGTTAGAATAAGGAAATGTTACCTAGGTAACCCATCAGAACAGCACCAAGACTTCTGGCTGAGCCTGCCAAATGAGCAGCTGAGTTGTGGATTATTCTAATGGGGGTGGCATTTTCATGTGCTGACATTGCTAACTGGAAAAGTTGTTTAAGTTGCTTAAAAATATACTGTTGTTTTTATTTTTAATACTAACAAATGATACAGTGTTTAAAACATACAAAGTCATATGAGAAAGAGGAAAATAGCAGATCGTAATAAATATCAAATATGACAGTTTTGTTTTAAACGTTTTCTATAACAACAAATACAACAAATCATAATGATATATCATCTTTTAAAAAAGGAAACCTACCTGTTTAGCAATGGACTTGCTGTCCACTTTGTTGTAGACTTTCCTAATCTTTGCAATGGTCATCTGTGACATGGCATGTGCAAATACCCCAAACATGACTCTCTCTTCCCCAATGTATGGTGCACTCACTTCTCCATCCTCTGAAATTTAAAATTTTATTTTTACAATTTAATAATTATCCCATATTGTATTGTTAACCCTACAGAATTATAAATATGTCCATCTATTAAGTTAAGTGAATGTTACTGATTCAACTTGACTTCTAAATACCAACTGCACAAAAAAATATGATTCATTTTTTAGTTAACAAAGTTCAGCTTGACTTGAATTTTAAAATGAGCATTACATTATAAACAAATATATCAGTACCTGCAATAGGAGCTTGCAAACTTCCAACATAAGTAGGTCCAAGCTGGTACAAATTTTTGACAATGGAGGCTGTAACTATATCTTCAAGCATAAAACATGGTCCTTGCCTCCACAGTAAACGTGACTGTCTGCGTAGCTGTGGTGGTGTTCCAATATAGGCAAATACTGATGTAAAGGCAGTTGGACTGGCAGTGCCTCCACCACCAAGATTGGGAGATATGTAGTGAAGCTGAAATGTTTTTTAATTGTAAGTTTTTAGCTTAGTGTTATATTGATTTAGTACTCTTAAATAGCTGTGTGGGATTATGTGAATTGTGGATCTGAGATTAAAAAATTAAATACCTGTATTTTTAAAAAAAAGTACATAAATTTTATGTAATTTTATAAATGTTTTTTCTTATTTCTTCAACCAGCACTACATTTAATTGACTCATTTAAACTGTAAAAACCAACCTTTTGAGGGGACATCAACTCTCCATCAACAAAAAGGCTGATGTTACTGTTTTTCATGATGCCAGCTCTGTGGAGCACCAAAACCAGGTGATGCCACTGGCCTTCCTGGGTTAGCTCAGGACACCAGAAGCGCACAGTGTTGTCATTTAGAGGGGGCTCTTGTTCTATTTCACAGCCATTCCCTAAATTATAAAATTTAAAGTTTTACACATTTCCTAGTTTGGTTCCTATCGAACTTGTTGATTAAACTATTACTTATCTTATTCTATGAAGTATGAAATGTTTTATTTTTTACATAAGGTAACTGAAAACTAAAGTCTTTTCACAAGTCTAATTTTTTTTTTAAATGGGGATTTCTAATTTAATGTCATTGGGACAAAAAAAGATAAAGGGGGAAAAAATCCAACCTGTAGAAGGAACATATAGGTCCTCACCAGCATTTGGCATGTAGTTCTCCTGGGTTGTAACAATCAGGGCCCTGTCTTTTGACATGATGGAAACACTTAAGCAAATGAGATTTTCCTCGCGCCCCTGCAGGTTGCGAACTATAGTCAGTAGTCTCACAGGATGGGCATCTAGACCAAATGTACTGAATTTGTCTACACAAAACCAAGTGGAGTATGTCAAACCAGATTGTGGTGGGAACACACGTTCTCCTTTGACAAAAACAAAATGGCAAATTTTACTTTCAGGATATGTTACCTTCCTAACTATATTATTAATCAATTGAGAATGTCAAATATTTAGGTGTAAAACAAAAAAAGACATCACTTTTTCAAAACCAAGTTATTTTTAAGTTAGGTACCTGTTCCTATTCCACCAATTACAACAGGCTCTGAGGTTCCAACAACACCACCCACTACTGATGGGGTTGGTGGGCCTTGAGGTGCTATACTGGGCAAATATAAACAAGAAAAGCCCTCTGCACTCATGTCAAATTCAACAAAAGCTGGAGTAACTGATGATCCATGCATTCGACTATCACGAGGAGTTGTCATTGAGACTAAACACTTGACTCGTGTAAGAGGAACTGTACCACCTAAAGACAATTATAAAAGTACACATTGATATTCATTGAAATAGAACTCCAAGATAAGCTTACAAAAAATAAAGATATAAATACACTTACAAAACCTGTACAAAAAAGATGATTCACTAATATTTTAATAAATATAAGTAAATGATGAATCAATGCGTTTGAAAATTTAAATTGCAGCTTGTAAATTACTAATGTTGGCGAGAGCAGAAACACTACAATAATAAACCGGTAGTGATCTCCCCTAAACTTTCTCGAATATTCTTATATAAAACAACAGGGGATGGTAACTGGGGATATAGTTATGATTTTTAATCCATTTTAAATACTTAAACTTTTAAAAATAGAATAGAATCTCATAAAAAAAACATTGCGCACCAAGCAAACGCCGAATAAAAACGCGTATAATAGTGCGCAATATTATTAGTACTTTAAAAATTTACATTAGTTTTTTGAGAAATCGGAAGTAGCGTAAATTACTACTTCCAGTCAACGGAAATTACTCAAAATTTAACAGAAGGTAGAGAATTAGATCTTTTACTTACATGTGAAATTTCATTTATCTATCTGAAATAGTACTCAAGTTATAGGCTTTTAAAAAATTCAAAGTAGGAAAAGTACCACTTCCGGTTATCGGAAATCGCTCAAAAGTTGATACGGATCTACGATTTTGATAAAATACTTATATATGAAATTTCATCAACCTAGCTGTAACGGTACTCAAGTTATCGTGTTTACACACGGACAGACACACACACACACAGACACACACACACACAGACATACGGACAAGATTGCAAAATTATGTTTTTCCGTATCAGTGAGGTGTAAAACGTCGAGATTTGTAAAAATCTCGATTTTTTTTTTTTGCACGATTACAATACTTTCTCTATACTACGTATATACGAGAAAGAAAAAATGATGTATACAGGGTAACTGAATGATAAGACCAACACAACATTCTTCTAAATAATGAAAACCCACACTTTAGTAATAAAATGGGAACTCAAAACAAATCTGCATGTAAACATGTGAAGTCAAACCAGATGAATCAGTAAAGCCTTAATGAACAATAAAATAAAAATAATTTCCAACCTAAGATAATAAAACTCTTCTAATGTTAAATACTCTACCTGCTGAGTTTAGCTTCTTTTCTGTTTCCACTGTTGCTGGTTTTTCTTCCAAATCCAAAGATGAGGACATACCATCTGGGTCAGTAATGGCTAAAGACTGGTCTTCAATGTCTTCTTCTTCAACAGATCGACAGCTCAGTGGAGAGCCAAGACGAAGAAAATCCCTTAAGAACGAAATTAAATTAAATCCTGTAATGTAAAAAGGTTTAAAACAATACAATTAAGTTGTCAATAAAAGTTTATAAATGTACCTTAAATCCCTAGAGGTCAAAGATTGGGATGCAAGCCTCTCAAACATGTACTGCATGTATGTGTGAAGTGGATGAGATTCATCTGCTAGTGCAGCACTACCATGGCTAAGCAATTCATGTGGAAATCTGAATATAATTCAAAAAAATATACTTTTAGTGAGAAAGAATTTAAAGATTCAAATATCTCTTTTAAGATTATATACTTAATCATCTAATATTATCTAATGTCTTATCTAATTTTTTTTTACCTAGCATCACACATAATTTGTTGATTCCTTTCATTTCTCACAAGAGATTTTAACAGATCAGCAATGAATATCTTAAGATCCCAGGAAGCCTATTTAAAGAAAAAATGTATTGTCAATTAAAAAAAATTTGAGAGCCAAAAAGGATTCAAAGTACTTCCATGTCATCAAAGATTTAATAATATTCTCACATTGCACAAGCGTACAGTGTAAATAGTAAAACAAAAGATTTTCATATTTTTTTTTATTATTAGGATTTTTTTTAGTCACTGTGTTATGAAAATAAAAAAAGTGTTTTACTTTCTATAAAATATAACCGTGATGTTTTGAATAGTAATAAGTAAGTTTACCACTAATTAAAGTTAGGTTAAAAAACATGTGCCAAAAGAGTTTAGGCAAATACCTGAAGGTAATCCTCAACTTCAATTGCAGGTAACAAGTGAAATATGGATAAAATTGCCCCAGAATGAATAATGATGGAATCGGATCCTCCACTGCTGAAGTTGATTAACAGACTGCCAGTACTTCCACTTTTTGGTCGCATATTAGAGGAATGTGCTTGTGGTGATGCTTGGCTCTCCTCAATCACAGATGTGTGTTTTTTTAAACAGGGTGAATCTGCTGGTTTAATCTGATTTGGCCTGAAACATTTTTAATTACATTGTTTGGAATCATTTATTGTGCTTGTATGCATTATGAAATATCATGAAAGTTATATACAATAAAACATTTAATATGATAACAGATTCCGCAGCATTATTTTTTAAGAACAACAGAACCAGCACCACTTACTTGTCAAAAGCATCCAAAGCCATGTCGTATAAATATCTCAGAATAATGCATGCAGACAACAAAATCTTTGGAATTGATGCAGGGGCCCTGAAGAAATGCAAAGAGTTACTATTCGGAATTTCATTGCTAAATTAAAAAAAACATTATTTTACATGTAGTTTTAAGGACGTTGGTAAAGTCTTTGTAAAATACTTACTTTTCCTCCTTACTGTGGATAAAAACTGCTCCAAAACACTCCAGCAAATCAGAAAGAACAACTCCATCTGAAGCAGTGGGAATGTCAACTGTGTTTGAAAAACAGCCCAACAGTCTCACGGCTTCGGTCAAGCTATCATAACGTACCTAGTCAGCAAAGAAAATATTTTTATATATTGCTTCAGATGGATATTTTGACAAGTGTTATTACTTGTAATGGAGAAAACGAAAGGTAGATCAATATTAATAACTGTATTTATAAGCAATAAATATTTATGCATCATTAAGAATGATCATAAACTAATGTTTATTGTTTAAGCATTACATTAAACATAATCATTAGGTAGACCTATACAGTGGTTAACTCTAAACCTGTTTTTAAGATTGATAATTATACTGTTTTAAAAATTAATAATTATATTTATTAGAATTTAATAACAAGCTGCTTGGTAAAAGATACTAGATGAGGAAAGTACGAATGTTGTTGCTGATGATCTTTCTTAGGAGTAAACTGAGCAGGATATTATGAACATTATTTTGTATGCAAACCTCTGTAGCAAAAAATTTAGCGTTGGCTGGTTCATATCTCATGGCAACAGTCAAGGTGCTGAACACTGTTTTCAGCATTACTAAAACCTCTTTTTTCTCAACTGAAATAATTTAACAAAAATTGTTTGCATTAAGAACAGAGATTATACATCAAACATTGACAAAATTATAGTAGGATTAAATATAGGAATCTGCATACATTTGTACCCTGCCCACTTATAAATAAGTCTACCAGTAGGTGCTACCTGCATATCTATTGTCACAGCTAGGGTGAAAAAGAAGATGGATACTACAGCCTTTGTACTGCTGTTACAAATATTTTAGTTTTTATGCTAACAAGAACAAAAAATAAATATACCTGAATCCCATGGGGCTTTAGGAGGGTCTGACAAACATCCTTCCATAGAAACTAATACGGACATGACGTACACAAAACCTCCAACTTTTCTAAACACTGTTCTGGTGCGGTGGCTTTCCCGAAGCACATTAAGTAAGGACTGAAATGAAAGTAACATTTTTCAACTTTATTCACCGTGAAGTGCAGAGAAACTTAATTTTATTTGGAAAATTACAAAACAATATAAATGTAATGTGTAATTTCAAATACCAACTATAAGTTTTAAGTGGACAATTGAAAATAATGACAAGTCACAGAAAATTATACAGTGCTAAATGTTTATCACACATTAGTAACAAATATAACTAAGGCATAAATCTGCTGGAAAATCAAAAAAGTTGGTAAAATTTTCCATGTACTCACTTTCAGTATGTGAGTTTTTAGTTCCAAATCAGTGACAGATGCAGTGGGCATAAGTCCTAACAGTGTGCCCATGTCATCGTCACCTCCAGGTGACAAAACCAGCTGTTGAACAATGTGCAGAGACTGTTGTCTACACTCTGGAAATGGTACCATATTATGGGCACAGCGAGCACCTCCACATTCCCTAAATACACCTGTATATCATAAAATTTATAATTAATACTCAAGTTTCAGAGAAATGACCTTTTTTTAAATAATTGCAACTAATTTTTTTTTTTAATTTTTTTATTTCTAGATAATGAATTTCAAAACAAACCAACCTGCATTAGCACCATTACCAGACAGCAGAACTGATAAAGCTTCCATTACCAGTAAACCAAGTTCTTGCTGTTCTTCTTCAATTGGAACTGATTCTGTTAAATCAAAGAGGATCAAGATCTTAAATTTTAGCCAAACATTTTTAACAAATGGAAAAAATTTATAAGGGGTAATAACAAACACAAATTATTTTTAAGATGGTCTTATTATTTAAATAAAAATGATCAATAGTCCATAAATATTATGTATAAATAGATGGGTTTTTTTATACTTAATTTTCTTTTATTTTTTACAAATTTACTTTATTACTAATTTACTTTAACACTATTACCACAAATTAGAATCTTAAATCATTTCAGAAGGATTCAAACCTGTGCTGCTGCTCTGTTCTTTTAAAAGAGCAGCATATCTATGGAGACAAGTTACCATTACTTCCAACATCCCAACTTCTCTGAAAACATCCCTGTAAACACTGTGATACCGCAGAATTCGCAGCATGGATTTCATACACAAAATACTGCATTCGATGGAACTAGACAAAAGAAAAGTTCCCTATCAAAACCTAAAATTACATTAAACAATAAATATTTTATAAATATTACAAAAAAATTATGATTTAGAATAAGAAAGTATGAATAACTAAATCAATAAATTAATAAATCATCAATAATACTGATTCAGGTGTAAAATGTACTTACTGTTGAGATTTAATGAGTATACTGACACTAATCAGTTCTTTACATGGCACAAAGTTAAGATTGAAGACTAGAAACTCCAACATCTCAAAAAATTTGATCTAAACAAAAAATTGAAACAATTTAGAATTAGCTGTTTTTTTTTTCTTAATATGTGTATGAAATATGGTTTAAAACATTATTAATACCTGAATATCTTCAGGTTTAAGATAAATCTTTTCAGCAAATTGAGATAGAGTGTGCTGTGTTTCTAGAATGAAGTAATTAGCATTGTCTTGATGATATATGCTGCTGATGACATCAAGAATAGTACTGCAAAGGTGACTTGTACTAGACTGAAATTATAAGAAAGTTATGAACACATTAAATTTTTAAAAATAACAAAGATATTTATCTAAACCTAACTATAAATACTCTCTATAACTTACTTTCAGAAAGACTGATTGCAACACCTGAAAAGCTTGTAAGTTTCTAACACTAACACCTAAAAGAAAGAAATGAGCACCACAATGTGTAAATAGCATAAAACAAATAGCTTAAATGTGTTAGAAACAAGACTTACTAAAAAGAAAAGCATAATTAAGTATTTGGGAAGCTTTTCAAACAATAATTAAAGAATGTAGTCATTAAGTTAAACATGGACAGAAATTTACTTTGAAGTTTTACATCTTTTTTTTTAAAAAGTAACCTTATACTTATAAAGAAAATAAATGTTGAATCTACCAGTGAAGTCAAGAGTTAGCTACCAACCTTTTCCAGAAGGACTTGGAATGATGAACCCTGGCATTTGAAATAAAGAACCTGTGTTGCTGTAACTTGGTTTCATTTCTGAAAACCCACAGGTGGTAAGAGAGCCCACTAGGAGAACTAAATTTCTTAATGCTTGAATAGATTCTTCAGCCAAATCCAGCTCTAGCCTGTAAGATTGCAAGTTGAAAAATAAGGCACTTTTTTTAATAGAAATTTGTAAAACTTGCAGAATACAAAAAAAAAAAACTTTGTATAAAACAAAAAAGATATTGCCTTCACACAATAACTTACTTCAATAAAAACTCTGAAAGAAAAACATAGCCTTGGCAAGAACGAAAATCATCCAGTAGTAACTGAGATACTTCACTTGAGTCTTTTAAGAAACAAAATACTGTAACAAACATTTCTACTAGTTCTAGTGGAGACAGGTCTTGTGCCCGTTGCATATTTTCAATACAATGCCGAACACATCCTTTTTCTGAAAAAAATGTAATATTTTTCAAATTTTATTTATCATGTCCTAAAATTGTTTTTGTATTTAAAAAAAAATACAAAATTGATAACATGTCATATCTAAAAAAAAATGTTATGGTTGATCTATAACTTACCATGAATGTAGTTGACCACGTGTGGTGTAAGCCCATGACGTGACAAAGTTACCAGTACTTCTCCGGCACTTTGTCTCCACATTATATTATGTTTTGGGCACCAGCTAGTTATAGCACTGAATAAAAGACTCAAATCATCTTTCCTGGCAAGTTCTTCTGCAGGTGATGTGTGATTACACAATCTGACCAAAACCTAAAAAAATAAGATTGATTCTTTTAGAAAATTAAAAGTATTAGCAAAATAATTCACTTTCAGCTTGAAAGTAAATAACATTTAATGTAATCCAAATAACTACATTAAAAATTATGTATTATTAAAAATTAATTTTAAAAAATTAAGAAATAAAAAAATTAAAAATATAAATTATCCTTTGTTATAGCGTGTAAATTAACTATTTTTGCTAATCTCTTTTAAGGATATTTTTCCCTTTAACTCAGAATTTCTTCAGACTTCCACCAATAGGACTCTAAATAATTTCTAGTAGTGCATGAGGTTTATAAGTAACACTTTTTCAGTAATTTACTGCATACTACTTTTTTCACTGTGGCTTAATTTACCTGAACAAATATCTTCTGCAATAATATTCTTTTTTCTTTAGGAGTAAACTGGCAACCAGGCAGCAACTTATCATCATTTTCTATTGGTGGTAGGTCAAAGAATAGGTACAAACACTTTACAAGAGTAGATGGCAGTGAGGCAGCAGTCATACAGTCAATAAGTGTATTGCCACCCAGCGATAGAAGATTGATGGCTGTTAGCAGCATCCAACCGTTTTCATTTTCTACTTGTGATTCCATTTCAAGCAGTTGAACAATAGCACAGCTTGCTGCCTCTGTATCAAATAGCAACCATAGTAACTCAAATCATAATAATTCTCTCTTGGTATGATAAATTACTTATATTTTTCCTAGCTTTTGCTTATGTTATAAACATATTATTAAAGGACAACTTTTGAAAGTTAAAGCTCTATCAAGGGTCAGTCAAATTTTCACTCTGAACATTATTTAAAGAAGAATTTAGTTTAATCACACAATCACTAAACTTAACCAAAAATTAAAGTCAGATTGTCTATGATATCAGACTTATTCAACAATTAGTGAACAGCCATATATACCACCAGCAGTAATATGAAATTTTCCAAATATGATTTTAATGATTTACCAGTAGATTGATTTGATGCTCTTCTCCTTATCTCTGTCACCATTAATTTAGACACATGACTGCAGAACTGAAGAATATCACTCCATTTATCTGTCATTTCACTGGACTGAGTGTTCTCAAAAACCTTTACAATATAAAAATATTGTGTCAAATAAAACACAGTGATGTGTAAAGCAAGATGATATACAACAATGTACGGTAAACTTGGTAAAGATGTTCTGAAAGTTAAGTCAATTTAAAATACTAAAATACTTAAAAATACTAAAATACATAACTTTATAAAATGCTGTTCAAATTATATAGAACGAGCCAACCCGCAGCATCTATTTAGTTGTTTTATTTTCTACTTTTCAGTAATTCATAATTTGTGAATTCGATAGTACCAACGCTGCCAGTGAAAATATTTGCTTTAAAACACTATCAGTAGCTCGTTAAGGACGATAACCCCCCCCCCCCCCCCCCCCCCAATGAAAGCAGCCTACTCTTAGTTACCTCCCCTAAGTTTAAAATAGTTTCAACCTAAATTATCTGCCCCTAATAGCCGTCACTAAACCCGGCTCTACGATTGTAAACATTTAGCGTGAACCACAGCTCACCAGACCATGGAGGGTTGGGGGGGGGGGGTCGTAGGGAGCGCGCTTACAGCTTGGTGTTTTCTATTGTCTCCAAGAAGAGAATTATATAATATATATATAGATAATTTATTTCAAACTATCGAAGTAATAAATATATCTTAATAATAATTGATATCTACAATCTTTTAGATATGTGAGAATCTTATGTAGTCTGCTCTTCCTGCATAGATTTTAGGGAATTTTGTATTAATTAGTTGACTGAAATAATTAACATTGATAGAGAGATACAGTAGCCTGAAAATTGAAAAAAAAATATTAAAATTATGTTATGTGCATATTGTTTGATTCTCTATTATCAAAATTTTAAAAATTATTTTTTTAGGTTTCTGCAATTTTATTAATACTAGGTTAAACCAGCAGATTATAAAGTGCTCAAAAGCAGAAAGCATGATACTAGAAGTCTAAGGGCTTTTTTTAGTTTTAGAAGCTCTCTAGGATATTATGGAATTTCCTGAGGATGCATGAACTCTATCTTTTAAATGCAGTTTATTATTTGGTTCAAGAAAATTTAAATTAACCATTTTTTGTAAATTTGTCAATACAACATGAGTTTCTATAACACTTTAACAGTTAGGCCTAATAAACAAAATAGGTTTTGATTAGTTTACTTCCAGTAAGATAAAAGATTAAGATTATTATTTTGACTTTACATTTACCTTAATGAAAAGAGGAAGCATACTGTACAACTTCTCTTCCTGATTCTTCTGGGAAGGTTTTAATTGCGGGTGTCTAAACTCTGTAAAAAGTTTCCGCAAATGCATAAGACCTAAGTTGCTGTCCTGGGAAGACTGAGATGAATCACTAATGGCCCGCTGGCCAAGCATTTTCTTGACAAAGCTCATGATGCTTTTACTCTGAAAACAATACATAGTTTTATTAAATTTCATTAAAAAAAATTTAAAATCATTTTTAAATTTATAAATATGTAAGGTTAGCTATGAATGAAAAATCTTTTAAATTTTAAATACAGTTGAGTACACTCAATGATCCCATGACTATGTAACAGATTTATAATAATGTATATAGATCTAGACCTATACACACATTCAGTTATTTCATAATTTTATGAGAGTATGGTTAGTACAGTTTATACATTAATTGAAGAAATTTTTTTCCTACCTAATTTGATTGCTCCTCTAATGAATCATGAGCTCATTAGTTTCTTTTAAAAAGCTTCTGTTAGCTTAAAAGTGTAGGCTAATAGAGCCTTTCAGTATCCTCGAGGTCTTGCATTGCTATTATTTTTGTCTTTAAAGAATGGTAGTTACTAGTAGTTAGGTCTTTTGTCCCTGGTATTTTTAACTAGTAATTAATGATATTTTTATTAGACATAGAACCTAGATCTAGGCCCTATTGATATTGTTGTGGCTATTCAACTTATTCAAAGTATTCATTATTCATAGACCTACTACTAGATCTACTACTGACTACTACTACTATTAAATAAAAATTTATTAAGAAAGTAGGGCCTAGAGACTTAAATTTTTAAGTAAGCCTACAAAAAAGTTGGGTATTCCATAATTTTAAAGAAATAGGCCTAGTTTAGGACTCTATTAAGACTATTATTATATCTACATATTTGCCACGGCTTATTATTATTTACACTAGTAACTAACTGAACTGTGACTAACAGACTGAGACTGAACACAAGCAGTAAAACAATACAGCTGAACTCAGTCAGAACTGGTGTTTTTGATTGACAGACTGTGACTGGCAACTTGCAGTTACATTGTAATGAAAAGCTTTCTACAGAAAATGCATTTTAGAATAGTATGGTTAAGAATTAAGAAAATCTTAGAGCTTAATACATATTTTACTATTTAATCATTGTCTTAGCAACAAAAGTAAAGTAAAATCATTGAATCACTTTACATTAAAACACTACGGATTATATTAATCGATTACATCCTCCATTGAACTTCCTGTGTAGATGGGTTTCCTAAACGTAAAAAGCGTAAAGGCGATTTTGTTCAAAGCAACCAGGGTAATGGTTAAAATAATAAAAATAAACAGTAGGCCTAAAGTTAAAAGAAAACAAGAAATAAATTAGTTATCAGTTATAGAGGAGAACTATATTTAGAATCTATATTTATTGAGACAAGAATTTTCTAAATATATAGGGCCTGTCTAAGTCGATATATGCATGTGTTTCTTTAGTTTGCGTGTTATTTTTATTGTAGTTAGTATGAGATCAGCCGAATGAGATCTGCAAATCTAGATTCCAATGTGAATGTAATAAAGGTCTAGATCTAGATCTACATATATATCTAGTCTATAATATCATAATATGCTTACATATTTTCCCTGTCCGGGGTGGGGGGGGGGACAGTAATGCATAATTTTTATTTTCCGTATAGAGAAAATATTGTAATCGTGCTAAAATTGAGACCGAGATTTTCACAAATCTCAACGTTTCGATCAAGACATAGCCCAAGCCAATGTTCAGTAGAACGTTCCAACTAAGATGTTTAAAACATGATGATGACGTGATGCGCTTTTTTCTGTTTGCGCTTTTTTCCGTTAGCGCTTTTTTCCGTTGCGCTTCTTTCTGGTCACCGTTTGTAAGCGAGGATTACAAAGGAAAAGAACGAAAAATTAACGATACTTGATGGGAATGATGGATTTAAGTGTTAGATTATTAAAGTGCTCATGGTCTAAATTTATGATTTAAAAAATTACTATTGAAAGTCTTTCAAAACAATTTTCATTTTATATACTTAGAATAATAATTTTCAATTACGAACATTACATTAAAAAAAAAATTTAAAGTGTATCAACGTTTATAAACTTTCTAAAATTGTGTCTGAAATGTTTTTGCATTTTGTCCTTTAGTTCTCATAACGTCCCTTGATTTGGAAAACACAGTCACTTCCCTTTTAAAAAAAACATTAAGTTAAATCGGGGGAAGAAAGAATTTACTTTTTATTACTTTGTTTTGGTGTTAGGGAAAAAAATAATTACATAATTAGCGGGGATTGATTAAGTGCAATGTCGTTGGTATTTTTAATACTGCCTTTTATTTATTCTATACATTGAACATACTGTTTACTAATTATTTTTTTTAATCAATAACATTTAATAAGCCAGGTCCTACAAATCCTATATGTTTATTTCTTTCCATTTACGGATAAGCTTGGAGTATTATAATTTTGTTCACTAAATTGAAACAGGCGCTTCCACCGGCGCACATGCACGGTTCGATTTGGCGCCCTGGGCTATCATGTGAGCGCTATGCTGCATAATTTCGTTTTAAACAGTGCACTAGACTCACTAGACTATGGGTAAGAAAGGTTATTATAGTCTTTAAGTTAATCAAATCCGGGCGTCCTCCGGCATCCCGACAGGGTGCTATTTGGCGCCCCGGGTCTTCCCGTGTTCGCTATTGTACCTACGTTCGCATAGTCGAGTTCAAAAGACTATGAATAAGTTGGGTACTATAGTCGTTTACTAAGTTGAATCAGGCGGTTACGTCGCACGTCGTCATGGTGCGATTTGGCGCCCTGGGCTAGACTGTGGATACTTTGAGTTTATCTTTGCGTTTGTGTTTTCTTTGTGTTTGAGTTTGGGTTTGTGGTTGTGTTTGCGTTTGGATTTGGGTTTGTTTTCGTTCGCTTTTTTTCTTTGCGTTTGTGTTTTTGTTTGCTTTTTTTGCGTTTGTGTTTTCTTTGTGTTTGTGGTTGTGTTTCTGTTTGTGTTTGTATTTGTGTTATGTTTGCGATGTTTTTTATGTGTTTTGGTTTTGTTTGGTTGTGGTTGGGTTTGTGTTTGCGTTTGGATTTGTTTTCGTTTGCTCTTTTGTTTGCGTTAGTGTTTGTGTTTTCTGTGTGTTTGTGTTTGTGGTTGGGTTTGTCTTTGCGTTTGTTTTTGTGTTTTCGTTTGTGTTTGTTTTGTTTTAGTGTTATGTTTGCGTTTTTTGTGTGTTTTGGTTGGTTGTGGTTAGGGTGGGCAATGCCGGGTAAATGCTGATTACTTAATTTAACACACAAGTTATGGTCCTTTACAGATACGTTTTTCAGATGCCAGTGCAGGGCCTGGCCGGCTAGTGTATATATATATATATATATATATATATATATATATATATATATATATATATATATATATATATATATATATATATATATATATATATATATATATATCAGTGTTTCTTCGAGGTATCTCATTGGTAGAAAGTCTACCGCCCCCCCCCCCCCCCCCCCCCCGAACGAAATGGAATTTTTATATAAAACATATACTTTTACCAGTGTCCGCCTCCCCCCCCCCCCTCCCGAAAATATCAAGCACCCCCCTTGCATGGAGAAAAAAAGTCTGGAAGAAACACACACACAACTATATATATATATATATATATATATATATATATATATATATATATATATATATATATATATATATCTTCGGGAGGGGGGAGGTGAAGGAAATATCTCCCCCCCCCTTCCCGCGGACGAAATGGAATTTATAAAGAAAATATATACTTTTAACAGTGTCCGACCCCCCCCCCCCCCCCCCCGTCATAAAATTAGTCTATGTGAACATTTGCTAGTGTCCATTATAACATTTACAAGTCCTTTATTATCTGTAAGATTACACTTACAAACTAGGAAATTTTCCCGTGTTTTATTTTTTATCGTTATCATAGTAGCGAACACATAACGGAAGTTTAGTACAATATTAAAAATCGTAACTAAGATCTACATGCAATTCTCATCACAGTGGTATACATTTCTAGAGGCTTAAGTGTTACGTGTTTAAGCCCTGAATGATAGGGATACAAGTCAGTATTTGGGGGGGGGGTATAAATAAAGCCCCCCCCCCCCTCTAAACTGCTTCACAACAGCCTTTTCTAAACATGGCATCAAATGGGCCAGTCAGAAAGGTCTTTGGTGCAAGTACAGTATCGATACAGCTCTCTGCTATAGGTCCCCAATCCAATGGCATGCGGCATAATGAATGATAATGGCTTCAACTTGACTACCGACATAATTCACATTAACCGTCCCGAAAGGGTTTTCGACAAAAGCTGTCGTCGCTCACTAATCTCGGGACGCAGAGTAATCAAACCGTCGTTGTTCAATAAGCGCTCATCAATAATCGCCCGCCGAAAATTAAGCTCCTTTCCAAATTAAATCAAGCTCTTCTTTTCTTATTAGACTCACTTTTCAAGTTTGTTTTATTTTAACTTCACGTTGATGTCAGTGGCCACCACGAGCGGGAGGGGGGGGGGGGAAGAAACAAGTCTGGCAGAAACACTGGTCGAGTTGAGTGCGGTATCAACGTACTCAGGGTTTTCATACAGCACATCCTTTGGCGTCAAGGCAATGTGGACAAACCCTAGCCCCAACAAATAAGATCATGATGCATTGCCGACATTGTTCATTTTTAATAACTTTGTAATCAGCCGAAAATGTTGATTTGTTATATGTAGTTGATCGTGCAAAAAATTGACTAATCCGAATGTTATCAAATTCAATTTTGATAACTGCCACATTTCTTACAGCACATAGATCTAGATCTAATATTAAATGAGTCTAATTTAGGATATTTTGCCCTGATGCCACAGGAATTTTACTAATCCTGAATCTATACTTTGTAAATTGCTAATCAGGTTTATCAAATTTTAAAAAAAAAAAAAACCTGTTCTCAGTATATGATCAAGGGTAATCTATTAAGTTTGAGAGCTTTCATGTAAAGCATAAATAGGTGTTAAATACCAATGAAGACCTGGATATTCTAGATAATCTAGATATTAAAACCTTTTGCGAATAGCCAAGTACCACTACTGTACAAATGTTAGTTTAAAGTGTAGGACCACTATTTTTAAAAATATAAAATATAGCAAAGTGTCACATATTACTCTGTTTATTGCATGATTTTAAGTAGAAAAAATATTCTCGAAGTAGACATTCATTCTCAAGCACCCAAAATAATAAAGACAACTTTACACTGGGGGAAAAATTTTTTAAAAATAAATGCCAGCTGGAATAAACATATTCAATGGACAGTAAATGCAGTGGAGATTCAAAAAGGCTAAAATGTACGTACAAAAATGTAAACAAAAATATTTTAATTTATTAACAGCTAAAACTCATTCTTTTAAAAATTTTACTGCACTGAAACAGACCACTTGCATTTTCACTTAACACATGCACTGGTTTCCAGGTTACTCAAAAAGCCATTTGTACACTTTAAAAAAAATCTCCAGTAAATGCTAATCTAGAAACAATTATCAGAAATATTTTCAATATAATACTACTGTGAATTGTACCCATGGGCATGGTATTGATCTGTACTAATTTATTGAAAGCTTCAAATTAAAATTACAATTTAAAGCAACAACACAATGTAAACATTATAAAAGTATATAAAATATGCAGAAATAAACCTTAAAGTGGCTGACTAAGTAGCAAATAAACATTTGCTATCTTACAATTTATACAAGGGAATGTTTCAAAAATCTTACATGTATACAATTTCAAGTGTAGGATAAAATTAAAACAGCAATGAAATTTTAACTTTACAACAAAGGATGGTCATGATTTATTTCCTGCATAGCTGTTACCTTGTATTTTAGATAGCACTTTACACTAATCAATGCCGACCAAAACACTGAGCATGTCAATGCATCTTATACTAAACTTTTGACCCAAAATAGTTGTAGAATTTTTAAGGGGGAGTAGTAGTTCAGGATAATTTTAGACCTAAAGATGACTAGACCATAGAAATTTACAATGAAAACAAACTTGAGATTCAATTATGCTTGAATAATGATAGCTAGAAAGAAAAAATCTGAGCAGGTCGACAAATATAAATCATTGACAATAAACAATTCATACGGGTATACACTGACTGCCCTCTGTAAATTAGGAGTATATCTGGAGCTAATTATTTAAAAAATTTAAGAACATGGAAACAAAGTCCCAACAGGCAAAACTTGTCCGAATGCTCCATGTGGTGAAAGCACAAATTAGTAATCACAATTTCTTATGAACAATCAGAAAATTTCAGTGAAAAATTGGTAAATTGTTGTGAAAATAGTAAAAAACCAGACCATGAATTCTTTCAGCAGGATGCAGCTAATGGTGAACAGACAAGTTAAAGCCCTAGTTTTCAAAGAAATTTTTAGATGTCTTAATGGACAGGATAGCTTATAATTAACATCTGACAGAAATTAAGTTTAGTTTTGTGCAAATGTACATTTTAAGACAATCTAATACCAAACATCCACAGAAGTTCACAAAAATTTGGTAAGGCTAAAAACACTAAAAAGCATAGCAGCTGTTAAGGACACAGAAAGTGGCAAGCTGTCTGCCTTGTTGCATACTTCATCAGTTTCACTTTTGCAGTGGCAGTACCATGATTTATAACGATATGTTCCAGTTCGTTCCAGACAATCTCCTAAACTTCCAAGAGTGGCACACTGACGAAAGACCCTTGTCTGATCAGCACCGTTGTAGTAAACTGTAAAAATAAAAAATTTAATTTCAAGTCTTCTAAAGGCTGAAATTTCAAGTCTTCTAAAGACTGAAATTTCAAGTCTTCTAAAGACTGAAATTTCAAGTCTTCTAAAGACTGAAATTTCAAGTCTTCTAAAGACTAAAATTTCAAGTCTTCTAAAGACTAAAATTTCAAGTTTTCTAAAGACTAAAATTTCAAGTCTTCTAAAGACAGAAATTTCAAGTCTTCTAAAGACAGAAATTTCAAGTCTTCTAAAGACAGAAATTTCAAGTCTTCTAAAGACAGAAATTTCAAGTCTTCTAAAGACAGAAATTTCAAGTCTTCTAAAGACAGAAATTTCAAGTCTTCTAAAGACAGAAATTTCAAGTCTTCTAAAGACAGAAATTTCAAGTCTTCTAAAGACAGAAATTTCAAGTTTTCTAAAGACAGAAATTTCAAGTTTTCTAAAGACAGAAATTACAAATTTTCTAAAGACTAAAATTTCAAGTTTTCTATAGACTGAAATTTCAAGTTTTCTAAAGACTAAAATTTCAAGGTTTCTAAAGACTTGAAATTTCAAGGTTTCTAAAGTTTTAACTATTATGATCAGCCCAAAATACAAACAGCACATATGTTGCTTACTCTGTTGCTCAATTTTCCTGCACATAGTTTGATTAGCCTCACATTCTACTATAGGTGTGGTTGGCCCAGGTGTGATACAAGATTGTGTTTTATTGAAACTGTTACAGCTGTAACATTTCAAAGATGCACCTAAAAAAAGAAATTTGTGAATGAAACCAAAATTAAAATATATCAATTGCACTAACTCCAACATCACTGCTAGGGTCATAATGGATTGGTTAAATGTCAGAAATCTGAAGTGTGATAGATTAATACAAAAGCAATCAAAGTAACAATTTATACAATTTCAGTACTAACCCTATATGTATATTGGTCCTAGATCTAATAAATTTAGAGACTAACTCGTTATTCATAAACAATTAAGGCTTAAAGACTACTTGAATTTAAAATGTGAATCAAGTCCAATCCGAACAAATTATACACCAATACATGGTTACCTAACTTTGACATAGCTAGACAGGGTCATAATTCACTAAACCATGTACAGTAATTGAAGGATATGCTTATGACTTTGAAAAAGGTGATGCTGTCCTTGAACAGAAAGTATAGACCACCTGTATAGTTTGATTGACTGCAACAGGAAACAGCTAATTTAATTAGCTTATTTTGGTGTTTGCCCTACCCTTTAGTACTATTTGTTGGTCCTTTATGAAATTAGTGAAGGTCTAGACAATGCTGAAGTAATACTTTAATGTTGAACTGAAAACTCAACATAGGTGAACAAAACTAAACATCTAGCCTACCATACATAATTTTTTAAGATCTAGATCTAGTTGTGTGTAGTGTGGTGTGTGTGTGTACAGCTCAATACTCAACAAACTTTGGAGTGGAAGCATTTTATTTAAAGGGCTGTTACTGTTAGTTATTTAAAAAGTGAATTCTAAAAATTGGTTTAGCATTTTTAGTGTTTAAGTGTTTAACAAATCCATCAATAATTGGATTAATTTGTCGGTGCTGGATGTTCTACACAACTGTTACTAAGCACTGAAGCAGCACTAAAATGATAAAATCATACGAGAAGTCTAAAATGTGTATGATATGCCTAGGCCTATAGATTTATAAATTGTTATAACTAAATCTATGTTGTATGGCTTGGATCTAATTTCTACATTCTAGATATTAGTCTATGAGTAGATATTAAGGACTAGAATAGTAGAGCTTAACAAAAGCACAACTTCTCACTTACTTTCACTACTCATCACAAGGGTAACAAGTTAGGATTAGACCTCTAGGTTACGAGGGTAAACGAGGGCTGATAAGTGAAGATACTTACATTCACCGACCATTAAAACAACCACGAGCAGCGTGGAAAGAACAAGTTGCTGTAGTTTCATGGTTAGGCCTGGGTCTTCTACACGTTCCACTACTTGTTGAAGTCCGGATTGACACTAAAAAGGGCCTAATGGAGAAGATAGGTCACCTTCAGTTGGTTATTCTTTCCTGCCAGGAGCGCCGTCTAAAGATCCTATTTATAGTCCGTTTTATGTTATTTTAACTGGGTTAGAAAGGTTGTTAGGCTGGAAACTAAAAATTGTAAAACATCTGAATCCAAAAAATAATATTTATCTATAAAATATTTCATTAAGCTTACTGATTACTGATTGTATAGTAAGTCAGATGGGTTTAATAATATAAGAATATAAACTGATTTACATTTTATAAAATCATTCGTTAAACAGGCTATAGCTAAATATGTCCTTCACCTACTTACCTAATCTCCTCCTCATTGGGTAAGCGCCGGGTAACAGTTTTTGTTGTAGCCTAGGAGAAAGAAGTTCGGTAGGATTAGGCTTGTCATCATAGTCAACAACCTGGGACTGACTTGATAGTGCATTGCTCAGACGAGAATCTGAAAATTGCGCATCATTGAAAGTGGCATTTCTTAAGTCATTAATGGGAGCAAGACATGCGCCATTCAACTACGGGCTACCCAGAGTTTCTTCAAGGCATCCCTTCGGGGGGGGGGGGGGGGGGGGGGGGGGGGGGGAGAAGCCGGGAGGGAGGAAAGCCCCCCCACCCCCCAAGAAAGTCTACAGCCCCCCCCCCAGTGCCGGCGCCAGGTTATTTAGCGCCCTAGGCAAAACTTATTAAAAACGCCCCCCCCCCCATACCCACCCCCGCAATTGGTTTTCGGGCCCCCTTATATATATATATATATATATATATATATATATATATATATATATATATATATATATATATATATATGTGTGTGTGTGTGTGTGTGTATGCTACTTTGTCGTTTATGTATTACTTCAAAATTCATCCGATTGCCACGAAACTTCCACGAAGTACACAACGACATATTTTAATTTTAAAAATCTGAGCGTCAGCGCCCTTGAAGTAGCGTGCAGTTGGGCGCCCCGAGTTGCCCCGCGGCTACTTTACTATCTGTGATCCGCTGACGGAGCGTCCTTCCCAGATGCTCAGGGGTAGTCTACTACTTGAATCAACGGTCAAATTGAACTATGGCAATGGCATTCGCTTTAAGAAGCGATCTACACTAGGGACTGTGTGGGCTACTACATTCAGTGACCAAACTTAAACAGAGGCGGTGCGTGATGTCTCCGCGGTAGTAAGTTAAACTGTTGGCTCCCACGAGCACAACGCCCCTGAACCAATTCAAGGCGGTCGCCGAGGGGTGTTCTTCATCAATGGCCGATGGGGGTGACACCAAGTTGAAAAGGTACTAAAATGTACTAAAAAACAATGCTATTTATAGTTCGATTAGAGTTTAACTATATATCCAATCCGTTCATACCCCAGACAAGGGAATGGGGGGTGACACAAAGACGAAAAGCCTAAATTCCTAAATACAACGAAGACACTGTACATTTCGTTGGATTGTGTGAAAACACAAAATTATTGTTTGTGTCCTCTTTTTGTGAGTGACCAGCTGATTAGGATCCTCATTTTACAGAGAGAGAGAGAGAATAATTGTTTTCAATACGCGGGTTGTTGTTGTTTGTTTCTTTTAAACTAATACGCATTTTGGTTTCATCAAAATAAAATAAACGTATCTAGCGAGCTGTGTTGCTAACAGTTTGTACTAGTCTGCTATAAAATACATCAGTGACGTCAACATTTTTGGACGCTATTCAGCGAACGCAGTCAAGCATCGCGGACTGGCAAAGGATGTGTGGCCTATACTTTGTTTCCTCCAAGGTTCTTTTTAATATTGACGTCAATAGAAATCTCCTCAGACTCAGTGTTTAAAAAACGTATTTCACAAAACTCTTATAACTAGGTCAGTGATAAAAAAAAAAAAAAATTTTCCACTCTAGAAACAGTGCATCTCAAAATGTAGGCTATGCGGTAGGCCTTTTGATAGAAATTTCATCGACTTTTCATCTTAGGGGGTTGTCGTCCATAAATGACGGGGGGGGGGGGGGGGGGGGGGGGGGGGGGGGAGAAGAGGGAGGGGGGGAGGGGTGACGGTGTGTTTCTTCCAGACTTTTTTATCGGGGGGGGGGGGGGCACTTGATATTTTCGGGGGGGGGGGGGTCAACATTTTTCGGGGTGGGGGGCGGACACTAGTAAAATTATATGTTTACTATATAAATCCCATCTCGTTCGCCCCCCCCCCCCCCGAAGAGATGCCTGAAAGAAACTCTGGTTGGGTGTGTGAGGAGGGGAGGGAAGTTCAGATGGTGTGACGTCACTTTTTTTTGCTGCATTATAAAAAAAAACAAGTTTTAGACGTTATTTCGCGTTTTAGAAAACGGTTTTAATAAATTGTAAGTGGTCATCTATAAATGACGTCACGCTTTTTTGACAATTTTTACCTCCCCTTGGGGGAAAATGCACGAGCAGTGTTTCTTCAAGGCCTCTCTTCGGGGGGGGGGGGGGGGGGGAAGGACGGGGGGGACACACGCACCTCTACCGTCCCCTTGCCCCCCCCCCCCCCCCGAACGAAATAGAATTTATACAGAAAATATGTACTTTTACCACTGTCCCCACCCTCCGAAAATTTAAAGCCCCCCCCCCCCCCCCGGGGGAAAAAGTCTGGCAGAAACAATGTGTACGAGGTGGTAGATAATCTAAGCGAGACAAGATCTTCAACTCTTCTACGTTAAAAGAGAAAAAAAACCAAATAAATAATATGTTGAAAATTACACGATGTTGGCGTTAATGAAAAGACACCCGCGATTTTTGAAGCTGGTTAATAACGTGCAATTTCAATTATCGCATTTATGTAAAATATATTTAAATAAAACAAAACTAAACTCTATTTTGTCGTTGTTTTTTCCTTTATTAAAATGTTTTTTTATTGGGGGGGGGGGGGGGGTGTCCCAAGTAACTTGACCAATAAAAAGGGTCACCATTCGAAAAAGTTTGAGAATCTGTTACCTAGACAAACCCACCAGATAAATATTGGGACGGCTGCTCTGATTGGTCTTACGAGTGTGTGAAATATGATCGCTGCGTATGTTGCTGGTGCTGTTCTTTATAAATTATATTGACATTTCCAATCGTTTATTGACATTTCCAATAGTTTATTTTCTACACACTACTAACGAAGCCAATTTATAATATGTTTATACTGACGAATGAATGACATCACTAAGCTGGTTATAAAGACAATACTACAACTGCAAACTGATAACATTAAATACACCCTAAACAGTTTAAACAACATAAACATCTGTAGTAGTTCAGCAATGTAGATCGCAACGACGTAAAAAGCGTCTGTGTTGTGGAAGAATTGCAGGCTATCATAGACAGTGTGAGATCTTCGCCAACAGATCATTGAACCGTTGAAGATCCTATGTCGACCTTTCAGTTTTAACTGTGGCGTCCTAGCTTCTAGATTATATGTGGTTTCAAGTTCAAGAAAGAAGTAATAGCTTACGCTATACACTAGATATATTGAAAGTCTAATTTAGAAAGTAAATTAGTTTTATTTTCTTACTTTTTAGTGCATTTAACAGCTTGTTGCTATGAAGGTTTTTAATGTTTGTTTTATTTTCTACTTTTTAGTGGTTCCTAATTTATGATGTCGACACGACTAAACAAAAATAATTGCTTTAAAACATCAATAGCTCGCGATATCTAAAAGACGATTATCTGCCCCGTGAAAAGGATATTTCTTAATCTTGTTACCTCAAGTTAGTTTCAAATCATTTAAAAACTATACTATCTCTGCCCCTAATAGCCTTCACTAGATCGACGGGGTCTACCACTGTAAACACTCTCGTGAACCACAGCTCAACAGACTATTAGGGTGATCGCCTCTTGCCTGTTATCTCCCCTACTGTTATTGAACATAGTAATCTATCAAGTGATTTAATTTGGTTACATCCAGAGGCGTAGCTAGGGGAGGGCGGGTGGAGCGGTAGCCGACCTTAAGGGGGCGCCAAAAGGGGTAGAGAAATTAATTTGGAAGCTCATTTTAAGCTGAAGCATCGAAGTATACACTGTCAAAGCTACGAAAAATAAACGACTACAAGGCTTCACACACTGATTTAGCAACTTTGTGACACCGAAATAGAAATTGTTTCAGGATTGTAACTGGTAAAAAGCGCCACAAATCTTTTCAACTAGGGGGGGGGGGGGCTTTTTCACAGATAGGAATAACTATATATAGATATGAGGTGGGGTGTGAAATTGATAGTCCGCCCGGGCGCCGTATTAGGTCGCTACGCCTCTGGTTATATCCCCTTAGTTTCGAAACTGTTTATCTAATTTTTAAAGATACCTGGAAAGAAACTGCAGTTCAATCGAACAACTGCTTTAAAATAAATTGTGCAGAGTTAAAGTCACGATGTTCATCAATAAAAGGTTATTAATACTAATAGTACAGATTTAGCATGGTTTTCAGTTTCTTATAGTCATTATCAGAGTTTCTTTCCAAGCATCTCGTCTGGAAGAAACACTGGTCACTATGTCACCTACCCCGTCAAGATTTGTCAGTTTGTAGTTGTAGGCCTACTTAATAGACTAATTAACCCTAATTAATCATTAATTGAACTGGTATAAAGCATGTTGTTCTTTATATTGCTTGTTGTCGCAGCTATAGACCTAAACGACATTACCTGCCCCTTACCTTTCGCAGATTTTAAAAAATTACTTTTAAGCGAAGAACGGCCGGACAGATGTCACATGGATGATTGAGAGATCGTGTGTAGCTTAGTTTGTCGTCTTCTCTCACTTTAGTTATTAAAAAGTTTAATTGCATTTTTAGTTTACTCACAAGTTTAATAATTAGAAGAACAATTGCGGTGTCATCGGGAATTTAGTTTTAGCAGCTTATTTAGAATGTAATTATTGTAATGTGAATCCAGGGTTTTCTTTCAATTTCGAAGTGGTTTTATAAGCAGTTAGGTAAATCATATTGCCTCTTCATGAATAGGAAGCTTCTTTCTGCTTATTGGGCAAGTGGTCATCGCCTACTCAGAAATTAATCTGGCATTGTAAGTTTGATTTATCATGCTCTTCTGGTATTTTTTTTTACAAGTGTAAGCCTTCATTAGCATACTATCTGCAACGTTAGTGTGCTTACATAGCATCTCTTTTAATGTAACTTACCTTCAGTTACAACTAGGTCTATACTTTTCTAAAAGCAAAATTAGCTTGGGTAGTCAATATTACCATGCCAGGATATGTTATTCCAATCAGTGTGTAAAAGATAAAACAACCTTCAAGATACTTCTACCAGCTTTAGTAGCTGTTCCAGGCTAAAACTAGTTAAAGAAAGATTTAAGTATACATTAATGGAAGAGAAATATACAGCATGACAGTTTGTCGCACAATGACTGTTAGCACTGGTTACATAGCCAACTTGTTCTTAAAAATTGCAACATTGCATTATTTGTATGGGCCTGACTTGTTAGCAGCACTGTCGTGACTAACCTGTAGATTTTTTAAAAATTTAAACTCTTTATACAACACTTGATTTTCTATTATAGTATAGTGTGTAAGTGCAACACAGACTTTATACAGCAGCTGTCCAGGAGTTTTTAAAATTAGTTTTACTTGGTCATTTAAGTAAATAAATTATAGGCCAGCTTTTAAAAAAATAAATTGTAGTCATAATATAAAAACAAACCTGAATAAACCGGGAGTGATCTCCCCTAAACTTTCTCGAATATTCTTATATAAAATAACAGGGAATGGGAACTCGGGCTATAGACATGATTTTTAATCCATTTTAAATACTTAAAGTTTTAAAAATAGAATAAAATCTCGTAGACAAATTAATTGCACACCAAGTGAACGCGAAATAAAAAAGCGCATAATAGTGCGCAATATTATTATTACTTTTAAAATTTACATTAGTTTTTTGAGAAATCGGAAGTAGCGTAAAGTACTACTTCCAGTCAACGGAAATGACTCAAAATTTAATAGAAGGTAGAGAATTAGATCTTTTACTTACGTATGAAATTTCATTTATCTATCTGAAATAGTACTCAAGTTATAGGCTTTTGAAAAATTCAAAGTAGGAAAAGTACCACTTCCGGTTATCGGAAATCGCTCAAAAGTTGATACGGATCTACGATTTTGATTAAATACTTATATATGAAATTTCATCAACCTAGCTGTAACGGTACTCAAGTTATCGTGTTTACACACGGACACACACACAGACATACGGACAAGATTGCAAAATTATGTTTTTCCGTATCAGTGAGATGCAAAACGTCGAGATTTGCAAAAATCTCGATTTTTTTTTTTGCACGATTACAAGACTTTCTCTATACTTCGTATATACGAGAAAGTAAAAATGTGAGTCCTTCTGTTAGCTAATATTTAGCTCTAATACTAAATTAGCACCCAATCACAAGTTGAACACATATGATACTAGATCTAAGCATAGATAGAGCTTTACCAGGTAGTTTCCTTTAAATAAATTAGATTTATAAATCAGACAGAAGATTAACTTTGAAAAAAATGTACACAAAACAGTTGCAAATTTCAAGGTATTAGTTTTACTTAAACACATGGATAAAGAAAAGAAGGCTGAGACAGTAAGGGAGAAGTCTCAGTGAATATATTTTTACTGTAAGTAGATAATACATAGAAATTTCAAGATGAGCAATGTCCATTAAAAAAATATTAAATGACAGAACTGTCAAATACTGAAACTGAGTGAATTACTAAATCCTATTTCAATGGTTAAAATTACTAGAATCAGTTTATAAAATAAAAAGTAAGTTATACCCTGAAGGCAAAACAACACTTTAGTTTACTTTCTGGAAATGAAATTCTTTTTAACAGTGCATCATTAGCATCCATCCTTACAAAAATAAGGTCAAGTGACTAAGCAAAAGAAATGTGATTTAATAAATTTTTAACACAAAATTTACAATTATGGATACATGCATGATATACAACAATGTTAGACATCTGACAAAATGATGGAAAAAGGTCAATTATTGAATAATTTCAGGGGGAAAATAAATAAAAAGAAAATCTATACAAGGCCAATATGACATAATGGTGCATTAACTACAATAAATCTGTACACAAAGCAGGTGCTTTTAATGACAGTTAACCCTTTTTTTTAATTATTTGAATATTAAATATAACTTTGGGAAAATAAAAAAAGCATTCACACTCACACATCCATTAAGGTCCAAGGGGGTGAAAAATTTAGGTATGGAGGAAATAAATGCAAATATTGAACTTTGAACATTACAAATATTTGAAGACCATGTTGGTTGTTGAAAAAAAAGTAGATCAACCCAAATTTTATTTATTTATTGAAAGAATGTATATATTTACACAATTTTTAATAAAGGCTATATTTTTGCAAGTATCTTATATTCTGGTTCTGAACTTGTATAGAATATTACAAAACTGTCATAAACAGCAAAAGTAATTGTTTTAAAAACTGTTAGCAAAACTGATGGCATATTAAGAAGTATTTTTATTAAAAGCATTTTCTAAATGTAAGTCTTAGATTGAAGAAAAACTTCAAGAATATTTTTTAAAAACTAATTATCATAAGCATAATGCAATTTATTTATTTATAAATTTTTTAACTTTATAAAAGCAAGCAAATTTTGAAACAGGTTTAGGCAACCTTCTTTATGAAGTATGATTAATATCACCAGTTTTGCATAAATATTTGTTCTCTACACAACAGGCTATTTTTTTGTTAGAACAAGCCATCCTCAATTAAGAAAAGCATTTCTTTAAAAAGTATCCTGAGATTTTCAAAAGCCTTTTTCTCCATTGTGCTGTACAAAGAAAACACTTAATTTATGAACCAAAACACATTCTCATCTTAATGACTTCAAATATGAATAAACACAAGTACAAGGGAATGTAGTGTATGATTAAAAATAAATACAGGTATTAAAATTGCACTCAAATTGTGTCTTACCAACTTTCACTTTGTAATTTAATATTGGTGAAGTTTTCTGATTAAAAAATGTATTTATACATGTCCACTTGTATTATAAAAAATAAAATGATCACTGTTCTGTATTTGTAATCTAACTAGTAGGTAAATAGTAATAAATAGTTACAAATACAATTTATTTAAAATTATATCAACATACACAATTGTAAAATATTTTGTAGCATTCCTCCATATTCTTTTACAAGAATATGTTAAAAATGTATGTGGTTGTCCATTATTTAAAATTGTACTCAACATTTGCTTTATTCCTAACTTAAACACTAGAAAATTAAAACAGGGAACAACATACTGTTATGGTATACATTGTATGTTCAGGAAAAACATTTATAAAAACTATAAGATGAATGTATTAATTTGTAATAGGGAGAGAAAAAGTTAAATAAAACACTACCGCTGACTATAAAAACGTATATTATAGGAAAAAGTGAACAAGAAAAATTTGGTTTACACAAGTGTAAGAGTAGAAGTACTAGCCACTGAAATAAAATGTAGTATGAAAATTGGAGGAAAAAAGGGGAGAGCAATACAACAGCACATGAGGTATATCACATTAGAAAATAAAAGCTAGATTGATTATGCATTAGCAATTCTATTGTTAAGATGCATTGTGTCTGTGTGTTTAAAAAAAAATACAACACAAGATATAGCAACAAGTTTTTCCCATTTATAAATATTTTAAACATGGACAGGTGAGGAGATACAACAGGAGTGCATAATTGTAAAAAGAAGAAATGGAGAATATCACATAATAACGCCTTCATAGGCAGAAAATCTGCTATTACATTAACAATACTTGCACACATAAGTTTTAAGATGGAAAATGTATTTTTAAAAAAACCAATCAACAACCATTTTATGCATGTAAAATCAATTACTTCTTCTGAAACAATGGTGATATCAGCAAAGATAATCAGCTTTCTGAAGCTACAATGGCATAAATAATTTTCTTTGCAATAGAAAAATGTGTGACATGAACTTTAAAAAGAAATTATTTTAAAAATAATTCCTGTCAACTCATATATTCTTAGATCACACTAAGCATTTAGTTTCATACCTTCAGTAGCCCCTCTACTAACTGTAAACTCTTTTTAAGATAAAATAGTTCAATTGGTTGATTGAAAATTATAGTGATGTTATAACTTTGTTTATAGTTTTACCAATGGATATTATCACATGAGATCATTTAATTTAATATCTTAAAAAAATAAATACCTATTGCCTAGACCCACCAACTTGCACATTGAAAAAAACAAAGAATCTTGAAGAGACAAGAATAGATAATGTAATCTCATTTATATCTGTAAAGTAATTTAAACATTTCAAGCAGAGAGAATTTAAAACTTAATAAAACAGATACAGTTAGAAAAGGGACTACTTCAAAACACTATTACAATTAAAGAAAAGAAAAACAGCTGACAAAAAATAAAAAGAAAAGAACCTTATGTTTACAACTGACTAGATTAAAAAATGCAAAATAATCTATTTATATATTGCTAATTACATGATCAGATCTAAATTATGTAAAACAAAACCAATTCATAAAACTTCAAAGATACCTTAGAACTTTAATTCCTCAATTTGTTTTCTTAGATAAGTTGTTTAATAGTAAACTAATCACTTACAGAAAGGGAAAGAAGTAATAGTTTTTAAAATTTGCTTAAGACTCCTACTGTATCGGACACTTAAAACTCTTTGCAATATAGAAAAATGGATATAAAAATAATTCCACACAAATAAAGCGATAGCAACTGACAAAAATATCTTTACACCACGTTAAAATAGTTACATTTTATTCACACATTTTTTGTAACTCTTCAACAATCATAGAAAATTATCTGCTTTTCTTTTACTTTAGCATAAAATATAATGTGAGAATCACCAAGAAATTGTAACACATAATTTAGTAACATGATTAGTTGGATAGGCCTACTTCATTGATAAAAGTTCATTATACTGCTTATACAAAACCTATTTGAAAAACCAAGATGCAGCTTCATTTACAGATGCAAATTAATTTTTGTTACTGAACAAAAGTAGGAGATGATGACAAAATGGAAATAATTTCTATTAAATGTTGACCTTCATTTTCAAGCTAAAATAGTCATGCACCATTAGTGTGATAGTAATACTTAACTTTTCATACCTTTGAAACTACTTTTCACCATTGAACTAATAAAACAGCTACATTTCTTTTTGACAAAATGTAACTGTTTTCAACTATCACACATTATAAATGTGCATGGAACCTTTCTATGATCACCAAAAGTATTCTTTAAATTGTAACTTTTAAGGCTTAAAATACTTTTATATAAAAGCCAGATCTTAGTGCAAACAATCATTTCATTTTATCATTGCAGTTAAATGACAAGTTAAGAAAACACTCATTCTTTCACAATATCATGATCAAGCAGAACAAAAACATCACAATAATTATTTAAAAAGATAAATTTGAGGGTGTAAAACAGTAGTTAAGACTTTGAATGTTCTTTGTTATTTGAATTGACAGCATCTTTTCTAGGGGGCATTCTTTCATTCATCTTATCTAGGCATTTAGCTTCCTCAAAACCACTAATTTTGTGATTGGGTGAAAATCCACTCAGTGCTGAAAAGACAAACATGTAGAATGCAGATTTGTATAACAAAACTGAACAGTTCTTAAAATTACTAACACCAGAGGTGAAAACACATTTTAGGAAGATAGTTTTAAATTGTCACTACCATTTTTAAAATCTAAGAAACACAAGCTTACCACTGCTAAGTGTATCTTTGCCACCAGACAAAGCTCCTAAAGGAAGAAGTCCATTGGGAGTCAAACCTTTTAGCTGCAGTACACTTTCACTTTCCTCTCTAATTTGTGGTAGAGAGCAAAAACAAAGTAAATTAACTTCATGTACAAAAAGAAAGAAAACCTATTTGGGATAAGAAAACCCTGAAAACAAAAAACCTATTGCAAAGTAAAATGCTTTTCAGTTGATTGGAAAATATTCTAAAATGTTCAATGCAATATAATAGTTTAAATAAAGATTAAAAACAAGTTAATAAAAAGTCTAGTGACAATTTAAGCGTAATTTCCTTAATTTTTTGTGACCGAACGAAAGGATATGTTTGAAAACTTTCTTCGGCAATATTGTTCTAAATTATGGCAGGAATCGATTGGTAAATGTTTCAAGTCGCTAAGTGGTCTGGTTGCCGAGATATGGGCCAAAAACTGCATTTTTTTCGAGGTTTTTTGGCTTTTCCGGGAAATTCAGGAAGGAATTCCGGGAATTTTTTTGGCCCACAATCATCCTCGGAACTTGCTTAACATATTTGCTTTAGGAACTAGTCCTCGATATTGCTTCGTTGAGGAGGAGATACGACTTAAAGCTGCGGACACACATCCATACATCCAGAAATAACGAATTAATAATAGCAATTGTCAGTATGGAAATTGCGCTAAAAAACGGGAGTCACATTTTAGAAATGTTATACGGTTGTCTATTAACCCAACTTCAACTTATTTCCCATTTTATAATTAGTAAAAGCTTAGTGTAAATTTCATCAGTCAATAGTATAGTTATCATATTTCCTTTCAATTCCTCATATTTAGTAATCTGGTATACTTTTTTTTAAAGTTCAAAAGGAAATTTGATTGAAGTAATAAAAAGGCCTACACATGAAACATAAGTTCATGCATCAAAATCTAGTCCTTATGATTCATCTAAAGGTGACCCAGTTACAAATCTAATAGTTGTGCTACACTGGGTGAGTATACAATTGTTACTGATGCCTTCTACTACTTTGGTGAAAGAAGATTTAGGTTAATGATGAAACAGTCCATTCAGTATGAAAGATTATCAGCTTTCTAAATTTATTGCAAAAAAAAATATGAATAAATAAAAAAAAAATGAATAAATAAAATAAAAACAATTTTAAGTCCAATAACAATAATAATAAAAGCAAAGTTGGATTTAAAAGTTTGTTCTACCTCAACAAAAAGGCTTTCATGCTTATGATTAATGCAAAAACTGCTTTAAAGAAATTTAATGACAGTGCCAAGGCGATGCGATATCTTCCAATACTTCACTATACATTTTTAAATCAAGGTATTTTGAGTATTAATAGCTCTTCTTGATAATTTAAAAAAAAAACTACTAATATGAATTTAAAGCAATTATAAAGCTGAATACCTCAAAACTGTGAACACTCTTGCCATTTTCCCAATAGCTCTGATTTTGTTCCGAATCACTTCCTTCCTTGCAGCTACTGAAATAAATACAAAAATGAATTATACAAACCTGAAACGTTCGAACATATTTTCTCTTAGATATACAATTGAGTATGAAAATGATCATGTTGACATTATGATCTTTGTAAGCTTATTTGAATATCAATACTATTTAAAATAAAAGTCACATTTTTCAAAACATCTTAAAATGTGATCAAATGATGACTTAGTTTGAATATGCAGAGACCAACTTAGCACAGTTACTTTAAATTTTTAAGTGTGCGTAACCTAAGTTTAATTTTACCAATGTCAATCAACTTTTAACCTCAATTATTCTTAATAATAATAATAAGAATATATTAAAAATTATTCTGATTATTGCCAACAAAGAACTACATTTCCATTTATAGGTTAGAGACTTCTGAAAGCGTAAAGGAAAAGTAAAACCTAGACAACTTAGATTTTAAAAATTTAATCACATAAATGGTATCAGAGACAATTTTTGCCTTCCATATACAAATGCTGTTTAAAATGTTACATGCTAAGTAGCTTATAATATACTTGTTATAGATATCATGCTTAATTGAATTAAACAGTAGTACAAAAGAGCAATGGCCAATTTAGTATTTTAACTGCAACTGTAAATTACACATTATGTGAAAGACCCAAATAATTTAGATCAATTTTTTAAAAAGCATAATACGCATAACTGCTAATACACAAATTCTTTCATCAGAAAGCAAAATGCCTCAAAAATATGTCTTCACCTAAAACTAAACAACAAAAAAAAAAAAAAATTTTATTGTACTGCTGTGAAAATGGAAATAAATTAACAATAGTGGGAACCATAAATAAAAGACAAAAACCATACATTTAACAAATAAATATTACACATATACTAAGTATGCAACAATTTTTAAAAATTGCAATAAAACTTTCTAGAACTAAAACACTATAAGACATTTAGATTGCTGGTCAAATAACTAAAACTGATTTTTTCTTGGGCGAATTATTTCTTAGAAAGCAAATACTGTTAGCTAAGAAATTGAAAATCAAATGTTATTCATTTTAAGAAAATAATGTGTCAATTTTTAACTGATTTATCTACCCAAGATACGACAATTTTTGTACCATTTTAAGGGTAATAGCAAAAATGATATACTTAAAAAATGAAAATACAAAATGCTGACATTGTGTGACATAATCACCTCATAATAGTAATAATGAAATGATTGTGATGAATGTAAATATTAACTGTTAATGAATGCTGTAGTTCTGCTAAGACAAAATATTTCAAAAGACAAAATTTACTTAAGAGTAACACCCAAACACTATTTTATAAATGTTATTGTAGCTTCAAAAAGTCTCAAAAGAGGAGTTGTAAACAATGGTACTTGAATCTGTCACTTAAGTTTTTATTACAAAGCAAAGTTAAGGTTTTTAAAACATGGTTAAGCATCACAATGAATCTGTGATTAACACATTCAATGTATCTGCTCTAGAAAAAAATAATAAAATAATTGGTAATAAGAGACTTTGGATATTTAAAGGAGGCCCTACGTTCCTGGAAAAATGATCATATAGTTTTATAAAACAAATAGTTGTACTAATAAACAAATATAAAATTTAAAAAAATTAACAAAATAAAGATAACAAAAGTAGCTAAATCCAAAACTTTATTAGCATGTTTTTTAGCATAGCTTTATTAAAAGAGTGTTGAAATTAACTTGCAACTGCAATTCGAAAATATTTCCATTCATCTGCTGGTAGATGCAGCAAGAAAAATCTTGTTGTGTACAAAAACTCAGAAACTTATCCACTTCCTGGCAAATTTTGGAAATTAATGTCTCAGTAAGCAGTAGTTTGGTCAACATTTAAATAGACTAGAGTCATTACCAATGTTTAAAATAAAAGTGATGGACATAAGTGTTATAGAGAGGTTTTCTGCACATGAAAGCTAAGTAGGTTTATTGAAAAAAATAATTTGGGTGTAATTTGAATCAGCAAGTTGTAAAATATCTGCTGCCAAATGGCTCTTGTTCCAAAGGTAAGTAGTGAATTTTTAATTTATTTATTAGTTTTGTTTTTTTCATGACTTCTTTTCCATTTACTTGCTTACATTTTGAAAATATAAACATATAAGAATACATCTGGTAAAAGAATAATTTTTAACTCAAAATATTTGTGACGAATTAATGAGTTAATTTTGTTGACCTGATTTGAAATATTTTATGAGAATGATATTAAAGGGGTAGGCTCCAGTAAAAAAACCCCACTTTTAATACTAGAGAGCAAAAATTGGTGGGAAAATTTTGGTACCCATGACAACATCTTCAGAGGATTTCCACTATTCATATAGTAGGCCTATACCATATTTTTGGGTACTCAGCTTAAAAAATTAAAGTGCAGATCTACAAACTAATTTATTATGAATTTTCAAATTGTGGGCCCACTAAAAATGCTAACTTTAATACCCCAAAATTCCCCAAATTTTAGTGTTTTTAACACAATCAAAATTTGAAAATTCATAGTAAATTTAAAGATATACACTTAAGACTTTTTGCATAGTATCCCAAAATATGGTAGAAGATTGTGAATTCATTGTTTATTGGGCTTAAAATACAATATTTTATGAATGCTGGAAATCATATGAAGAAGTTAATTTATCAAGATGGCAGCCGTTGTCATAGTTACCAAAATTTTCCCACCAATTATTAAAATGGAAACACGTACGCGGATAGAGAAATTATTGTTTGCTCATGAGTATTAAACGTTTTTTTTTAAACAGAGCTTACCCCCTCAAGCAGGAAAACTGCATTAGATTTAGTACAGAATAATGGCTGGGCTAAAACACCTTGAAAAAAAAAGAGGAAAGAACCATAAATTATCTGGACATACTGCTTGCTTCAAATGTTAAAAATGTCAGCTAAGTTCTAAGACTTAAAAATAAACAAAATAAAAATAGTCCTTCAAACACAAGCCCTTTGCAAAGAAAAGGTGGTCTTGGAATTATAGGAAAATCTTTTCATGACTCATGATTATGAGTTGTTTTCTGCTTGATCACCCAATTTTGATGCAAAGATTTTTTTATTTTCAAGAAGGTCCCAGTAATAAGTGGAAAGCACTGGCTCAGGCTGAACTCAAAAAAGTGTTTCTTTTAAACCAGCTGCATTTTTAAAATTAGTAATGGATAACTGATTTTGAACAAAATTATTCCAATCAACATGATGACCATCTGTGCTTGTCCACTTCAAAAAGCCATGGTACAACATATACTCATATTTTGATTTCATATTATTGTTAAAAGATAATTAACTTGAAAAATACCATGACTGGTACAAATGGAAAGGATAAATCTTAAAATTTAAGTCTTATTATAGTTATACAAGTACACAATATACCAAGTTGCTGGATTGATCAATAAAGAGGTCATGTAAGCTAGATAGTTTCAAAGACATCAAAAATAAAAATACATCTCAAGCTACAATTATTCAAAATTTACTAGTAAGAAACTAATTTTTTCTTTTGTTGTTTAATCTATCGATATATATATACGAGAAAAATGGCCCGTTGAGGAAGGATACAACGGGCGCTAGGCTGATAGTGCTGTCTCTTTTCTCTAAACTAAAACCACCCCACCCCCCAAACACACCGCCCCCCCACCCCACCCCCCAAAAAACATGTCTACCGTCCCATTCAACGAAATATAATTATATACTTTTTCCAGTGTCCGCCCCCTCCCCGAAAATTTCAAGTACCCCCACCCCTCTCCGGGGAGGAAAAAGTCTGAAAGAAACACTGGTGTCGCGCTTAGCCACTACCCGAAGAATTGCATTAAAGAAATTGCAAGAAAACCACTTTTTAGATTAGACACATTAATTAGGCGGTAATTTTATTATAGAGTATCGATGAAGAAATTTCTTTTGAATTAGGGATGGGGGGCCTCAGACGTTCTTACGCGGGGGTGGGGCTTCGCCCCTACCCGAAGAATTGTATGAAAGAAACTCTTCACGCAAACCACTTAGATAAGACAAAATTTCCTTTTTATTCAATGTTTACTCGAGAATCAATGACGTCATATTACTGTGTGCACTCTCCGGTGTGAGATTATTTTCTACTCTGTGCTAAATGTGACGACGTCATACTTCGTTTTTCGTTTCACTGTGAAAGTTTTTAATTTCCTTGTGTTTTCTCCAGAGCGTTCTTGTCAGATAGACAGACAGAGCGTTCTTGTCAGATAGATACACAGACAGCGAAACTATTATTATAGATATAAAGCAATGTATTCCTTTCATCTGATTGCCATAAAACTTTGGGAAGTTGTTAAAAACACTCCTGGGGAGGTTTCTGCCATTTTTTCTTCAAATTTGCAGGGGTGACGCCCCTGCAGGACACGATTTGTTTTTTCTATATATATGATATATAAAAATTAAGCCTATTGCAGTTTGACACCATTCATCCGATCGCCATCAAACTTTGGGCAGTTGATTAGAACACCCCAGGGGAGGTTTCTATAAAAAAAATCTTTTTAATTTTGCAAGACAGCGCCTGGGAGGGTGCGATTTTTCTCTATATATGGTACATTAAAAAAATGAAAGTCTGATGCGATTCAAAACAGTTTATCCAAGTGCGATGAAACTTTGGGGAGTTGATGATAATACTCCCGAGGAAAAAAATTCAATTTTGTACTGGCAGCCCCCGGCAGGGTGCAAATTGGCGCCTGGTCTTTCCCTTGGGTGCTATGGCACCTACGTTAATTTTTAACAGTGAGATAGACTATGGATAAGATGTGGGGTTATAGCTATTTACTTTATTGGATCGGGTACGTTTGACGGCGCCCTGGGCTAGCCTGTGAGCGCTAAGGTTCCTACGTTCCTTTCAAACATTGCGAAAGACTATGCATAAGATTGGGTTGGATTTTAGAGTCATTCACTATAACATTATTAGGCGTGCCCCCCCCCCCCCCGACTTTTTTAGGTGGTAGTGTAGGTAAATCCGTGCCCCGATAAATATGATCTAAGTGGAGGCATTGCTTACATTTAAATAACTCACCACCAGGGTGCAATTTGGCGCTCTGGGTTATAATGTGAGCGCTATGGTACCTACGTACGTTTTAAATAGTGCGATAGACTATGACTAAGATGAGGCGTTTAGTCGTTCACTAAGTTGAATCAGGCATGTTCGCAGGCGAACGACAGGGTGCAATTTGGCACCCCAGGCTATCCCGGTAGAACTATGGCGCATGTTTGTTTTAAAGAGTGTGATGGAATATGGATAAGAAGCAGTATTATAGTCATTCACTATAGTGAATCAGGCTTTCCTGGGACTTTTTAAAACCCTGTAGCAACGTGCTAGGACAGGCACGCTAGTTTTTTAAAAAATAAGAATTATAGGACAGGCACGCTAGTTTTTAAAAAAATAGGAATTAGAATAATGTAAAAAAAAAAACAACCTAGTATATGTCATTTTAAAATGTGAATAAGTATTTAATCATATAAACCTACTAAGTTTAAAAATCTTGACAATGGATCAACACATGTACATAACAATCTGGCCTACTTCAGGCAAATTAACAATACTAAGAAAACTGATAATTAAGAGATCAGGGGAAAAAATAATTGGAGTATATAATGAATTTTTTAAAAAGTGATCTGAAAAGCCACTCATGAGAGATTCTTAACTTATCTGGTATCAAAAACTTGTCCTTACTAGTTTTAACTTTGTAGCAAATCAGTTAATAGTTTCAAAATAGTTGCACACAAATAAAACTAGAGAATAGAATTGTACAGAATATATGGATAGTCTGCAAATTAATAAAACAATCCAAAATAAATCTACATCAGTAGACCAACTACACAATTAAAAGCTAAAGCTATTAAGTTAACTGGAGATTAAAATAAAAACTAATTTTAAAAAAATCTAAAATGTGTCCAACAATAGCACGACTTATTAGGAAATAATGGGGGAAAAAGGTAACAGCTACTCTAAGACTGCTATAAAACAATAAGAAAGCACTCTACTCACACTGTTAAATTTGTTACTGGTCAAGTTTTTTTTTAAAATGCTGATCTAGTTTTTAGAAGTGTACTATTCTCATATTTTAATTATATTATCATATAAAACAAGAGGCACCGACGGATACAAAATTTATCTAATTACTGCTGATGAAATGTTATTTCCAAGACATAATTAACTTTAAACATGCTTTTCCCCCCTCCATATAAATTGCTTACAGCCATGCAGTTATTTTTTTAAAAATTGGCTTTGCTACATAAAGTAGCTCTGTTAAGTAAGCATTAAAAACTATACTATGACACAAAAAGCCATTCCCTTCAACAATTTCAAACCAACATATTGCACACTGTAATTATTTGTCACATCTGAAGAAAATAATACTTTAAACTTAATTGTTATGCATTTTTTTGTTATCTAGTAATGTAAAATGCTGCACTGTATGTTTAACTAATATATTATGATTTTAAAATGTTACTGTAATTAGAAAATTAACCATGGCCTGAAAGCACCACAAATGGACAACATGTCAATCGAATCAAGATGCCATAAGGAAGACTTAAAACAAAACTTATACTGTTAATTACACAAGTACATTAGTAGCAGCGTAAGTATTTTTAAAAAAATCTACACTATAACCACAGGGGCCATTAACAATATGCACACTAGTTTAGAGGGAGGAAAAACAGCTGGCACACGACAGATTAGAAGTTTAGAATATACTGTTTTCAACTCCTTAAATTTAAGCAATTTGATTTCTTGGTGAGTGGAGCAACCCCACACCACCATCTTTATAATTAAAGCATGATTAATACTAAAATTAGACAGTATTAATCAAAAATAAGGAAGGAGCTGGTACAGTCACAAGAGGCGTGCACCAACAAATTTTGCTTACTAAGGTCAAAATTTGCCTGAGATTTGCTCTTGTTTGCACCGTCACCTTTGGAAGCAATACAAAAACAAAAAGAAGATATGTATCAGTGAAAGACCTTGGATAAAAGAAAACATCTCTTTTTTTCAATTGTTGATTAAAAAAAAATAATTCATTTATCATAAATGGCTTACTATTTGCAGAAGCACTTACAAGATGTAGAAAAATTTTGTAATAATTTAAAAAGACAAGTTGGAGCTGTTTTCTTTAAGTGCTGCAAAACAATGTGGGCATAAAGTACTTTTGTAACAAAAATATGGACAATTTATGAACAAATATGGAAATAGGCAACCCCTTCAAGTAATAAAATACTAAAAGCAACAAAATGCCCAGGTGTACATGCTGTCTAATAGTGTACACAAATGCAGCTGACTTAAAATGCTTTTATTATAGGTAGTGTGAGCTTCTTCACAGACAAAAAACCCTACCAAATGGATGAGTCAAAGCATAGTGTTATTGATACAAAAATGATACAAGATTAGTTTATACTTTAATACCATACAAACATACATATTAAGAATGTATAAAAGTAGGTATATGTACACAAATTATGTGAACATACATACATTTTATACATACTTATTTAAGTGGATTTCTTTTATTATAGAAAGAAAATTTTGGTTCAATGGCTAGAACTGTCATTAGTAAAATAGAATGTAAAAAGCTTCAAACATGACAATGGTTTTAATACTTTAAAAAAAAAACATAACATGAACCAAATAGTAACTTTCATGCAGAAATCAACTCTTAAATTATGTAACTGAAAAAAATTTAATTCCACAAAAGAAACAATATTTAAAACAAATCTTAAGCTTAAAAAATCCTGAATGATTGAACGATCTACACATTATTTTCTTAAAAGCTTTTGTAACGGAAACACAATTTTACTGTAAACTGAGAGTTATAATTAAAAAACAAAAAACAACCTAGTATAAATGTTTCGCCCTAGAGAAATTTACAACACAATAAAGCTAACAACCTGTGATTTTCAACAAAGGATAAGAATACTTGGAAAGAGAATGTCTATTATGTATTTACTAATACTAAGGAACCATGCATTATAAATGAATTCCAAGACAAGGTTAATTATCACTTTTTCCATGGTCTATGTAATCAGTATAGGTTACACAAGTGTCATTAAAAACTTAATTTAGTTTTTTCTATAGATTATTTTTTTACCCACAATGCAATATTTTTGGTTTCTCAAGGGGGTATACTGTTTTGATCTTGATTTATTAAGCACTTGATGTTGAAAAAGTATATTTTTAACATAACAAGGCATAGTGGAGAACTGGCGAATAGAGGATTGATGTTTATTAACAAAGAAAAGCATTTACTTTAATCCAACAACATGGAAAACATTCTCTACCAAATGAAAAATTTCCTCTAAATGTAAGAGGAAGGGAAAGAAGAAGAAACAAGGTTTAAGTCTTCAAAATAAAGCACAAAAAAAAAATAAAAAATAAAAAAATAGAATGCTGATCTACAGTATTATATTTCAACCACACTTACCTTCCATAGAGTCCTGTTCTCCTTCAGCAACAAGTTCATCATCAGAGCATATGTTGAGTATATTCACCAGCATTTCAGTGACTGAAAAAAAAAACAACAGCCATTTCTTTTTAAATAAGCAAAAGCTATAGTTAACACTAAAGTTCACTGAAATTCAAAAGCTACTTTAAATACGATTTTTAAAATAAACAATTGTACTTTGTTCATAGCTTACTAGCATAACACTACTGACTCAGTTTCAGGCAAAAAGGCTAAGGCAATATTTTAATAGGCTATCATCAATGTGTTTCATGTCATTTCATACACGCCACCTTTTTTCTCAGTCTGGGTTACTTAAATGTAAAAAAAACAGGCACTAAATTTGTTAGATCATAGTGTTGTAGTGCAGGTTTGTCCACACTATTGACTAGTCACTCTTGGGCATGCGGTATGAAAGCCATGAGTGCACTTTATATCACCCTCTGTAATAGTGAATGTTGTATGCTGTTGAGTATGTCCCCAATATTAGGTGGTTTTTACAACAAACATAGGAACAACAGTGCTCATAGGGGAGCCTGGGACACCAAATCACATCTTGCCTGGGTGCCCCTTTAAATTAAACTTTTCCCCCTACAGAAACCTTCAAGGAGTATTCTCAACTTCCCAAAGTTTCATGCTGCTCATTTGAAAGATGTAGTAAGGCATAAAGAACATTTAAACATATATAGATATTAATTTAGATTTTTACCTTTTTCACCCACAAAAGGTAAGGACCAAGTAAACACATCCATGAAATTCGGTAGCCAATATGGGTGTGGAGAGCAATTAAACTGTCTAATATTCATCACATTATTTTCATATTTCAGAATAGCAGCTAAAATAAAAGATAAATAACAAAATTGAATATGTCAAGTTAAAAACAGTAACTATAAAAACACGTATAGGGGAGAAAACTAACTTGTAAAAACATTTAAAGAATTAAAATGTACCTTTATTGTTGTAAACATCTAGGTAATTAGGTGCTGAAAAAATTGTTATCAAAGATGGAAAACCTGTAGTTTGACTTTTTCTATACATCCTATACCTGTAGACAATGGTAAAAAAAATAAATGTGTAATACTGATAGCACTGACTAAAACTTATTTTTTTTTACAAAGAACTTAAGCCAATTGTATTATTCACAAAACCATCCAGAAAACTACGATAATGCTGAAGCGACAGTTTGCGCGAAAACAATTGTAAAAATTTGTCCAAAACTTGAATTGGTAAAAAAATCTTGCACATTCTTGTACTATATTTGCATTAGTAGCGAGGGGGGTGTGTGTGTTGCATTTGGTCACATTAGCAGTAAATGAGTAAAATGTACATTTTTAAAAATATGGTGGAAAATTATTGAATGTTCTTTTAGAAATGGCAGATCTTATCTTCAGGATTCAACAATACAAAGGGTCTATATACTGAGAAGTGGTACTAAGTGATCTTATATCTTATAGTAAAGCGTTTGGCTTCTCACTTCTGACTAGTAACTGTAGGATGTCCTGGAATCCACCTAGATTTGATGGGTACCTGACTTAGATGGGGAAAGTGAAGGTGGCTGGGCATAATCCCTTACTATGCAGACATAAAAAAATGAATGGACTAAAGAAGAACTTTACTTATTTATTAAGAAGTAATCTAACCATCTTCAGTTGGTCCCATCACTATAGAGTAACTCTATCTACAATAATGTCTTAATAAAATGATTATTAAATCTATCGTATAAAAATGTAAATAATTTTCATATGTGGTAACAATTGGATTTTAAAAAAAAAAGAATTAATGAAAATATTCAATTTACCCTGCATCTTGTGCTTCATGTGCCCGTATTATGGACAACAAATTATTCTGTTGCAAGAAATCACAACATGCTGCATAGCTGTAAAATATAATTAATATCATATAATATAATTAATATCAAATAGCAGAAAATGTTAGATGTTACCCATTAGAGTATTTCCAAAAATAACTGAAATGTGTACTTTAATATTTAGATATAATTGGGGAATATTTACATTAATTACAGTATCACACATAATTAAAGATCGCGGCTATAGTGGGTGAGCATGGATAATTATAGAAAAAATTGTTTATGAAGCCTCTGAACAACAGCTGTATTTTTTAATAGGATAATTTTTATGGGCTCTAATTTTAAACAGCATTATGTCCTAACCCTAACTGCTTATGTTAAAAAGACAGGTGTTTGGCTAAAATTATTATGGCCTTATATTAATTTAAGAGGTGAAAAAAATTCATGACTATCACATGAACTATCTAAAACTAAGACCGCAAGAAGAGAAATCCCCTAATTCAAAAGGGTAGCGCTAAATGTATCATTTGTCATGGCGTTTGGCATTAAAATCTTACATTTAGCCAATATGACACTTAACCAACTTAATTTGTGGCTATTTTTTTTACATTTACACCATGAAAATCAAGCCTCCCCTTTTTCTGTGTACTTCATCCCTCAGAAATATAGCTAACATTTTTTTAAAAATTGTTACTTTAAAATAACACTGAAAGTGCTTTTCAAATGCAATGTTGTTTAACAGTTTTTTTTAAAAAGTTACCGTCATATTTAAAAAAAAAAGTACTTTGTGCAGTTGTTTAACTCTTATTTACTAACTAATGATTGTGTAATTTGACATGGCATCTAAATTTTTTCCTGTAGAATACATAATAGCTTAGAAATTAATTAACTTTGGTACAGGGAGGGGCAGTCTAGTCCTCATAGTCACATTTAGAGAGGATTTCAAAATAAATTTTAAGCAGAAAGCAGGGAAAAACAGTCGGAGGGGTAGCTAACAATGGTAGTTTAACCAAAAGTGAATTAAAAATACAAGATTTAAAATTCAAATTTTGAAAAGTTTGGAAATCCGCAGAAATTTGGAAGTCACATTCCTGCAAGATGTATCTAAAAATCTATATACGAAGAACTGAAGCAATTATGTTGTGCAAGTTAAATATTATAGACAGAAATTTTCAAAGTTCTTGACAGATAAGTAGAACAAAGTTGAGTAAAGTTATACTATCAGTGATGTTTTTTTTATCAATACAAAAATTACATAAACAACAATTAGTCATTGCAATAATACAAGGTACTATTTACCTGTAGAAATATGAGCAACCTCTAACAGTGTTGTGCGTAAAGTGTTCTGAAGACTTTTCATTACCAAAATCCTCCAAAGGATCAGACCATAACAAATCACACATAGGCCCAAATGCTGGTGGCTCCTTAAATCTATCCAGCTAAAGAGAACAATTAAAAGTACCATTGTCATAAATGCAAATAAGTAAATTGAATTGAGCACTTTAAAAATATATATTTCTTCAATGAATATGGTGAGTTACCAAAAAGTCAAACCAGTTTATAAAACTGAAGTCAAATAGGCTTGAAAAGTCTATATAATCATACAAAATATTTGAAAAAAATCTTTTTAAAAATATGGTAAGCATAAATTTTTAGTTACAATTGTAAAAATTAAAGTCATTTGGGAACCATCGATTACACTCATTTTTATTTTTGAATTGAATACAAGTTGTTGAAAAGCAGTTTAGAATTATTTAATCAATTTAAATATTTTTAAAAACCATCATCAAACTCTACTAGAAGTCAACCGGAATGGACAGGGAGGGTAAAACCAAGAAAGTCAAAATAATTGTTTTCTGTGATAAAATACACAATAGTGGTCTATGGTGCAGACATGCGACAATTTTTTATTTTAACATTAAGCTAATTTAAACTCTAATCTAGTCTAGTTGTACTCTTGTTTTCAATTTTAAATCACACCTTATATTCTTTTAAAGATTGGCAAGGTAAAAAATGTTAGTCTTCAACTGTTAAGTGCCTAGATTTAGATTAATTGTAATTTGAAAGTTTTGATAGAAAATGAAGTCACACCTCAGCCAACAAACAACAGCCCCATAAATGTTATAAAATAGAAAAAAAAAGTTTCTTTTACATTGGATGTAAATAAACTGGGGGGGGGGGGGGGGGGGGAAAGAAGAGGAAGAAGAGGGAGGAAAGAAGGAAGAGAGGTGTGGTTTTTATAGGCTACTGTTAACTTTAAAAAAAAGTAAGCTGATATTAAGCAGTATTTAGATGTAGCCTAGAGACTAGTTATATATAACTAGAGTCCTATTAAACACTAAACCTATGCTTGTAGGTATGATACTGTGTACACTGTCAATGGACATTTTGATTATTTTTTACTTAGTAAAGTAGCATCTTTTTGGCTTCAAATTCTTTTTTTAGGTTTGACTGTTTATATACAGTTTATGTGCTGGTAGGATGGGCGGCTGCTAACAGTATAACTTTCTGTACTCATTGAATGTATTTTAATGTGATTAATAAGTCGCAAGGTCTACTTGGGTTCATGACTTTTATTTCTGTTTATTTAATCACTCCAGAAGAGTTGCTATTTTTGTTAGAGTTCATCCATAAAGGACGTCACGCCGTTAGAAACAGAATTTAAGCCGTTGCTTAGTAGATTTTTTTTGTGTGGGAACCCTGTAAACTATACATTTTAGAAAAAAAATGAGCACTGTTGTGACAATTTCACATTTTACATGCAGGATACGAGTTTTATGTCAGTTTTAAGATGCAAACACTTCAATGTTAAAATAAACTTGGACATCCATATGGACATCTCCCCACATCCATAAAAGTCATTTTTCTCAACCCTCCCCCCTCTGTGTGGATGCTTTAAATAGATGACCCCTTGATAAAACCGGAAGTACTTATTGCACAAATGTTATAAAATATTCAATGTTTGTTGAAAAATAGTTTTCTTGCAACAAAAATTAGGAACCAGCTTTTCAAGCCTATTGCACACAATTTAGTTACAAGATTTGCATGCAGAAATTGTAAACTAAATTAAAAATCCACCAAGCTTCAGAAAAGATTCAAAACAGTGCAAAAATTCAAAGCACTACAGTTGACAGGAATATTTGTTTAAAAATTACTAAATCATATACCTTACGAATATCATCTAAAGTGTGAATTTCAGGCGAAAGTCCTCCGTGGACACATAGAAACTGTTGATTCATCAGAGCAGACAGTGGCAGACAATCAAAGGCCTCCATGCAAGCATCATATACCCTTTCTGTGTATTTTATTTTACCTGAAATTAACCAATGTGGAATTTAGAAGAGTGTATTTACCCATTGCTATATTACAATGTACATGATATAACCATTGTGTTAATAAACAAGCAAGCAGCAAACAAGAAATGTACTTACATTCTTGCTTAAATGTAAAATACTCAGTAAGATGCCTACATTCATGATTGCCTCTTAACAGGAAGAATGTGGTTGGATACAAGATTTTTAAAGCCCACAAGTAAAGTACACACTGAAAAATAGTTTGTGTAGTTTTCAATGTATAACATAATTCTCAACTTCTAATATAAATTCTTGTGGTAAGGAAGTTAACAAAAAAATTGTAAAAATATGATGCACACTAAACACACCTCTATGCTAAAATAACCTCTGTCTACATAGTCTCCCAAAAAAAGGTATCTGGTAGATGCAGGAGGACCACCGACTTCAAACAGCTTCATCAAATCAAAGAACTGTCCATGAATGTCACCACATACTGAAATTGAAAATAAGGTTAATATTTTTAGAATACAATAATTTCTAGGCTTTTAATAAAAGTAGCGACTTAAGCACCGATACACTGTTCTGCAACATCTCCCTGTTTAAAAAGTTTTTTTATAGGTCAAAATGTCAACAGTAAATAACTAGTTGACCCAGGTGATCTGCTTTTCATGTCAAATCAGTGTCAGAGACTGAGTCAACTGCGTTTCAATCAGCAGATTTTAATTCTATATAAAAATATTTTCATTCTGTTTGGTGGCTTCCGTCAAATTTTCACAAAAAAAAAAACAAATTGTACAACATAATCAATGTGAAGACATACTGTAATATTGATAAGATAAAATAGTTTTTTAATTAACAAGTATTTGAGTTCTCTATAGCTTTTGCCTGTTTAGAAATGCTAAAATGTGTTATTGCTTTAAGAAATCAGATCCTACATAAATGTACAGGCAGCCAACATTTTCAAAACAAAAAGTTTAACACAAGTTAATGATAATTAAAATTTCATGTTTTGTAGTTTTTTTAAATCATTGGAAAAAAGCCTTTATTCTTCTGTGACTAAAGCTGTACAATGTTTTAGTATGTGTATGTATATATATAAATATAAATATATATATATAGTAGTGAATGTTATATAAAATATGAAAACTTAAAAAAATTGTGCTTTCACTTGATGGATAGGGCAATTTAATTACTGTTATCATTTTCAACAAGAACACATTTTTTAAAATTAATAATTTGTAATAATTTGTTTAAAACAATAGGTGTGAGTTGAAAAAAGTTTTTAGAAGTTTTGAGAAAAAGTTTCTTAGGTATGCTTATAATAGAAAAAACTCTAGTCCTAAAATGTAAAATTTCTAGAGCAGAATACTGTTTTCACAATTATTATAACTGTTTTCAGTAAGTACTTTTTAAAATTTGTTACTTAAGTTTTTTTTATATAGGCCTAGAAGTTTTATTTTTAAAAATTAGTTAATCTATTTAATTACTACACCACATTTCACGTGAGACTGCCAAAAAGAGATATTTTATAAGTAACATATACAAGGATGAGAAAAATGCTTTAACTCAACTAAACTCTTACCAGTCACAGGTGCTTCTATGTCAATCATGGTCTTCTCCTGTCGCAAAAGAGCTGCACCTTCATTGATAATACGTAAAGCTACATCCTCTGTTACACGTCCTTCTAAGATAAAATGTTGCTTAAGAATATCTGGTCTTGGTTTTCCTTTGGCATCAAATGCTTCACTCATACTAACCCTATGACTTGGTGGAAAAGGAACACCTGAAGTATTTTTAAAAACAAAAATCAAAACAGATATAAATGACAGCACATATTCTGGGGTAGAAAAAACTGAAATCTGTATTGTATTATCCAGCATTTATTAAAAATCTTATGTACAGGGTTCGTACTACTTTTTGAAAATGAAATTCCAGACTTTTCCCAGACATTTTCCAGACTTTTTTGGAAAACTTCCACACTTTATACAGATAATGTGTTCGCGAATAATTTATAAAAATGATGCAACATTTGTACTCTCCTTGTAATTACTTATACTAAATTGACATTTATTTTAGGCAGTTGAGCTATATTCATATTGAACTTTCTTTAGCCAAATTGACAGAAAATCACTTTTCCTACTCCACTCCACCTAAAATTTTAATAATTAAAATAATTGATTAAAATGATGCAACTATTTTGTTTCCAACATTAGACATATAATCTGTTCATGATCTCATTGCCAATGTTTTCAATTGGTCTTGCATAATAGTGAGAGTTAATTACTTTTAATAATAATAATGATGTAATGTATTAATTAACTCCGCCATTGTCTGGTCCCAAGTCCAGAATGGGAAAGAGGAGGGTTTTGGGTTTGGGCTAGCAACCCACCATGTAAAAACAAACAAAAACGCTACAGAAACGGCAACAGATCTAAATCAAACCATCATGGGAGAGAAACCGAGGATCGAGGCAGCTTTGCCTGATAGGCTACTGGCAAAACCTGGCATAAACTAAAGTGGCTCGCCCAAGACAGGGTGGAATGGCGGAGATTTGTTGCTGCCCTATACTCCACAGGGAGTGTTGAGGATTAAGTAAGTAAGTAAGTAATGTATTAATTTAGCTCTGCTCTTGTTGAGTAGCCTAATATAGGCTACTTGTAAAGAAATATTTGGACAAAAAAGAAAAAAAAAACATTCTGCAGGCTGTAACCACATCATTCACTGTTTATGCTTATAGCTAAGAAGCGGGTCTGCAATAAAAACAAAATGCCGGTATCCTCCTCCCCCTCACAACCACAAGACACGGTGTAGGGGTCACTATGAGGTCATGGTAGTCAAGACTTCAGTATGCCTGTTTAATAGCATGAATTGTGACGTGACTTACACCCCCCTCCCTCACCCTCCTTACCAAGCAGTACCAACTACGCACTTGAGGTCACGGTGAGTTCATTCAAGTGACCGTAATTACAAGGAGGGGCAGGGTACTCAAGCTTTAATCGTCAGCATTTGCAAAGATTTCAAAAACAGTTTAACAGAAGGGGTCATCCATTTATGAGGTCCACATGGGGGAGGGGGGTGGGGGTGTGTGTGTGTGTAAAATAAAAAAAAGACTTTTGTGGACTGGGGCCCATGCGGACATCCTCAGGTTACACTTAACATCGAAGTGCTTACATTCTAAAACAAACATAAAACGTGTATCCTGTGTATAGAAAGTAAAATTAAGACGACTGTGCTGCAGAGTTTCTTCCAGGCATCTCGAAATGAAATTTATATAGGAAAATACACCCCCCCTCCCCGGAGAGTCTGGAAGAAACACTGCTGTGCTGGTGTTTTAAAAACCCATCACATCGTGTAAACAAAACACTGTATTTAGGTGTACCCTAACATTATTGCAAGAGCGTGTCGTCACACTTTCTGAAACGCTCCTCCCGACTTTCCGGAGTGTTGTTACGTCATTTATGGACGACTCCTAAATATAAATAGAGTGGTCTAGCAGTAGAGAGAGGGACTGCTAACCTGTAAGTCTCGAGTTCGAAATCCGGGTTCAAGTCAGTACACCGTCCCTGACTCAACCAACTCTGATGGGTACCTCACTCACGTTAGGGAGAGTAAAGGCGGCTGGGCATAGTGCTGACCACACTATCTCTTCACCTTCATATTCCGAGGTTACAGAAACAAGTGAACTCTACTTCACTTGCCCCATAGACCGTCAGGTTTGAAAGGGAAACCTTTTAATACAAATAGTACCTCTTTGGTAAGCGACCATCCAACGAAAGTGAACGTGTGTGGATGGGGTGGGTGGGGGGGGGGGGGGGTCTAAAATCTGAATTTTTTTTTGGACGTCATAAATGGATGACCCTTAACCCACGAACTGTCAAGTGCAACTGTTCTGTGGCGTTCGGGCATTTTTAGAGTTTTTTGTATGCTTGATAAAATTGTCAAAATTTAATATTGAATGAAATCAGAGACCCCTACATGTATACATTTTCTGAAAGTATATTGGACAAGGAATCTTTTGATACACAAATAGTTTGTTTTTATTTTGTGTATGTTGATAGTGACCTTGACATTTACAAGAAGAGTAAAATTTGACTACTCAACTTCTGTATTCAACCCTCCCTAAAACCCCCCAAAAAAATTCCAAGTCTCATAGAAACTACATTTTTAGATACTAGAAGTCATTAGTTTTAGATAATACATAGTTTTATAAACTAATGTTGAAAAGCGATTTTGTATGAATTATTTCATTCATGACTTTTACTTTGCGATCATTCAAAGAATTACAGTAAAAAGGCATGCATTTTCATTATTATCTAGTTTTTTATTAAAATATCTTATTACTGAAATGAAGACCACAAACATGAATGTCTAGTCATCTCTTTATTTTCTCACTGTATTTAATCATATAAAGAAGATCTAAGGCTATTTTCTAATCTAGATTGACGATCTGCGGCTTTAGACCAACATTTTCATAGTAAAAATACTGAGAAAATATTCACTCCCGTTTTTAATACGAAAATCAAACTTCATGTACAAACAGAAAGCATTCCAATACCGGAAACAGGAAGGAAATTCATTTTTTAATAGTTACTTCCCCTTAACCAACGTACATTTATTCATCCGCATTTTTAACCTCGATTTTAATAACGGCCGATTTAGTCGGCCGTAACACCACAGAAAGGGGAATTACGGCCGATCATCGGCCGTAATGACAGTTCGTGGGTTAACTGATAATTTATATCTGAACTACCACTCACACACCTCCCCCATAATTTCTGTTATGACTGCCTGCATGTAAACTCAATAAAAAATGGGAAAATCAAGTCTTTTAGTCTAACAATTCTGAAGGCGACAATTCTTTCATTAAATGGCAATTTTAAATACTCGCACACAATCACACGGTCAGTCGCGCCACAAAATATCTCTTCCCTTCCCCTCCTCTCCTTTTGTCGTAGCAACTGAACATCCTTTTTTTTTCCTGCAAACTAACGAAAAATGTCACAACAGTGTAGATTATGTAAATTTTTAAAATTTAAAGTACTGAAAAAAAAAAAATGTGCTAATTGATTTGATAAAGAGCAATATGGTAGGTAAAACACAGATATTTTAAATACTGGCTATTATTTATTGTATACACTGAACCTACTGTTTACTAATTATTATTCTATCTTTCGGTTTGCATACAAGCTGGGGGTATTATAGTCGTTCACTGAATCGGGCGCGTCCGCCAGTGCTCGTGCACAGTGCGATTTGGCGCTACGGGCTAGGCTGTGAGCACTATGCGTTTATTTTTGCATTTTAGTTGTGTTTGTTATGAGTGTTGTGTTTATGTTTTCATTTGTATTTTTATTAGGCCCTATCGTTTGTTTTTTCTTTTGTGTTAATATGTTGCGTTTGTGTTTTCATTTGTATTGTGTTTGTTTTCTTTTGGATTTGTGTTTTCTTTTGGGGTTGTGTTTTGTTGTTTTGTGTTGTTCTGTTCCCAAGTTGGTATATTTAAAAAAAGTGTTACTGTGGCGGAGCATGGGTATGCAGCTAGTGGACTTATAAATGGACATATTTGCTACCAATTCTAATGTTTCTGTATAAAACATTTAAATAACAGTTCAATTACTATTCAAAGTGAGAGTTAGGGAGGTTTCAGGTCGAGGCGCATAGTCGGGCCAGGCAGAGTTACTCTATCTCTCTTGAGTCTACTTTAACTTTACTTTAGGATTTAGGACACACTAGTCAAGATCTAGACATCTAAATCTAGATTTTTAATTTTAAAGCTAGAGTTACAATCTCATCTCTATATTTTAGAACTAATCGAATTTCTAGATGTCTCCGTCTTACTTCAAAGATCTAGAATCTAGATTCTAGAATCTGTTACTTTTAATTCTAAATTTATTTATTTTGATTTTTCGATTGCGATTTAGCAAAACCCAATGTAATCTCTGAACTAAGTGAGGTTATTTCCAAAATATAAGCATGCATTTTTAATAATAATAACAAAGGCATATATCTTAAGGTCAATAGTAGTGTCTAGCTTGTGAGCGGTCAACCGTACGATATGTTACATGGAAATTCTCACAATCTAACAAGCACTGATATGCTAATGATGGCTGACATAACATAACATAAAATGGCGGTTTTAAGATGGCTTCGGTATAAGGGAGCGAAACCACTTACTTTTGATGATCCTTTCGGTTGTAGACATTTTACTATCTGTTGTGGCCATCTTAAGGCTCACGAGCACCTAATATTATTAATAGTGCCTCCGATGGCACCGATATATTGCGATTGGAACCGATAGTTTTTCTATATTCAGACCTCAATATGGCGTACACAACACAACATTTGCATATTGTCAGGGTCTTTTGCGCATTGTTTTGCGCAACCGTGCCATCGCCCTGGGAATCTTCGAAGGAGGAAATGACCTCCTACAACAAGCAGCAGTAGCTAACAGCACCTGGTAAATTCGAAGAATAAAGCCTAGAATATTTTCTTTACAAAATATATAAGCCCTGTGAATACAGATGGGATATCTCCATAGCCCACTTCTTTCCCCTCTCTGTCATAGGTATAAGTTCCTCAATTTATCCTAAAAAAATTATCACCCTCAGTGTAGCCTACTTTTCAAATAGAGCGTTAACAAGTAGGCCTATACGGGTTACGTTAACGTAAGTCCGTGTCTCTACTGCAATCCCCTCCTCCCAGTTTGGAAATTAACTGCCATAAGTATATTATGTGAAAGGCCTTACAAGTTTAATACCGCGTTTACATTAGGGTGCTAAAATGTAGATCCATATTTACAAGAAATAAATAATTAACAGCAGTGGCGTAGCAAGGTCGGGTGCGTCACTTAAGGGTTCACCCCCCCCCCGGAAAAAAATTATATATATATATATATATATATATATATATATATATATATATATATATATATATATATATATATATATATATATATATATATATATTAATATATATAAGCCCTATATATATTTTATATATATATATGTATATATATATATATATATATATATATTAATATATATAAGCCCTATATATATTATATATATATATATATATATATATATATATATATATATATATATATATATATATATATATATAACGATTTTTATCTCTAGTCTGTTATAAATACAGCTTGATGTAGCATGTTTTCTCTATCACTAGCATGTTTACGTCATGGTGTCCGATGTGTGTCCGCAGCTTTAAGTCGTATCTCCTCCTCAACGAAGCAATATCGAGGACTAGTTCCTAAGCAAATATGTTAAGCAAGTTCCGAGGATGATTGTGGGCCAAAAAAAATCCCGGAATTCCTTCCTGGATTTCCCGGAAAAGCCAAAAAACCTCGAAAAAATGCAGTTTTTGGTCCATATCTCGGCAACCAGACCACTTAGCGACTTGAAACATTTACCAATCGATTCCTGCCATAATTTAGAACAATATTGCCGAAGAAAGTTTTCAAAAATATCCTTTCGTTCGGTCACAAAAAATTAATTAAGGAAATTGCGCTTAAATTGTCACTAGACTTTTTATTAACTTGTTTTTTGGTGAACTGTCTCTATTTTTAAACATTTGCATTAGAATTAAATCTCTCACTAATGACTAAATTAATGGAGATTTCAACAACAAATTTGATGAAAATCCTATCAAAGTTGTCTTACAATCAGATATGAAATTGAGAATTTGAAGCTCACTTGCTTTTTTTATTTTTTTAGAGACTTTAATAGAGATTCAGCAACAAACCCAACTTCAATTGAATGACTTGTCAATGTCAAGAGATAATCAGAATCAGTGACATTAAATGACAGTATGTCGCTAGTTGTTTTTAAGTCATCTAGCTTACTTTCCTTCACAAAATGCTGGAGAATTCCAAATGTCAAGTGATGTAGGTCATTATACATAAAAGGAAGCATTGGTTCGTCTGTCTGATAGTCCTTTAAAAAGGACTCTGCACACATATAGAAAAAAAAAACCTAGCTATGCTTGTAGAAATTATCCTGCTTAATGTCGTAAATGACCTCACGCTTTTTAAAAGATTTTTACCTCCCTCCTCCCCTCCGTCACACATCATCACAAAAAGCCAGACCCCGCCCTCTAAAATGACGTCACACCTCAGCCTATACCCCCCCCCCTCATAATTGCAGTTGAATTTTTCTTAGAATACGATTTTTTCCCAAAATCTTATCTGAACTCTGTCGAAATAGAGTATTTTAATCCAGTGGCGTAGCGAGGTCGGGTGTCACCCGGTGCGGCACTTAATAGTGTCACCCCCCAGAGGCGTAGCGACCCTTCCCGGGGACAAATTTCCGATTTGCACCCCCCCCCCTCAAACTTTCGATTTGCACCCCCGTCACGTTTTTCTCTTTATATTTTGCTATTTTTTGCCTTGGTGTCACCCCCCTAAATGGTGTCACCCGGTGCGGTCCGCACCCCCGCCCCCCCCCCTCGCTACGCCCCTGTTTTAATCAATTCCTTTTACAATTTATTAAAACAGTTTTCTAAAACGCTAAAATTCGTTTTCTAACATAGCTTTTAAATAATGCCAAAGTGTGATGTCACACCATCTGACCCCCCCCCTCCCCTCATCACACACCGTCAGACAATAACGGATCCCCCTCCCCTTACGAGTGTGACGTCATTTACGGGATGACCCCCAATGTCCCCACCTATGATTTACATGATGACGTAAAGAAATATCGTGGAAGTATAAAGTAAGTTCATATCGCGGAATAACAGAATTAAGTTGTTTTTTTAAACTATTTCACAAGTAACCACGCAGGTAATACTCATGTCAGAGATGTAGCCGCCCGACAAAGTGAAAAGCGGATTTTTTTTTTACAAGCGGATGGGAGGGGGCAGTGACAGCGGCAATTTTCTCAAACACGGTACTCCGAGGCTTCTTAAACATTTCAAGAACGTTTTACTCATTACCACAGTAAAAAAAAACAATCAGATCTAGACCCTGCTAGATGGTGTAATTAAATTATAGCAGACCTACATATTTTGTTCAATGGCCTAAAACGACGCAGATCTAGTTTTTGTTTTCTCTTAAATCTAGCAGTAAGCCCAATATTAAAGACGAGCCGATCCGCAGCGTATCATACGCCGCTATTTAGTTGTTTTATTTTCTACTTTTCAGTAATTCATAATTTGTAAATTCGACAGTACCAATGCTGCCACTGAAAATATTTGCTTTAAAACACTACCCCCCCCCCCCACTTTCCCCTAACCCCGACCCTACACCCCCCCCCCCCCCCGTGAAGTGAAAGCAGCCTCCTCTTAGTTATTTCTTAGTTACCTCCTGTAAGTTTAAAATCGAACTAAATTATCTGCCCCTAATAGAAACCCGGCTGTACGGCTCTTCGATTTGTAAACATTTAGCTTTGTAAAAATTTAGAGTGAACACCGCTCACCAGACAATGTTGGGGTGGGGTGGGGGGTGGTAGTGATAGTGATAGAGAGAAAGAGAGGGGACTGCAAGGAGGCGCTTGCAGCTTGTTTTCTAACTGATCCCAGAAGAGAATTATATATACGAGCCGACCCGCTGCGTAACATACGCCGCTATTTAGTTGTTTTTTTTCTACTTTTCAGTAATTTATAATTTGTGAATTCGACAGTACCAATGCTGCCATTGAAAATATTTGCTTAAAAACACTAACCCCTCCCCCCCCCCCCCCCCCACGTGAAAGCAGCCTCCTCTTAGTTACCTCCTCTAAGTTTAAAATCGTTTCAAACTCAATTATCTGCCCCTAATAGCCGTCACCAAACCCGTCTCTATGATTGTAAAATGTAAACAGAGTGAACACCGCTCTGTCCGCTCACCAGATCATGTGGGGGTGGGGGTGGTAGTGATAGTGATAGAGAGGAAGAGAGGGGACTGCAAAGGCGCGCTTGCAGCTTGTTTTCTAACGGCTCCCAGAAGAGAATTATATATATAGATAGATAACCACGTTAAATAAAATTAGATAACAGTGCTTGTAGAACTGCCTTGACCGTGAGACACGACTGTGCTCGTGTGGTCTCGTGCCGTAGGTCTTACTGTCAGCGCGACCTTGAAGAAGCGGGTGAAAGGTGGTAAAAAGTGTCCGTAAAGTTGAGTGAAAACAGCACAATTCTGTGTCATAAATAAAATAGTCCTTCAAATTATTTTTCTTTTCTTTTGATAATGCAAATTTTTTTTTTTACATCGGTGCAAAATCTTTCCTTTTTACTTTCTCGTATATACGAAGTATAGAGAAAGTATTGTAATCATGCACAAAAATCACTTGAAATTTTAACTATTTTCACCGTATTATACCTCAGTCCTTCATCACATCCGAAGTATAAAGGACTTATTTTAATCGGGCAAAAATTATCAATCCAGATTTATCAAAATTAAGAGGTTTTATGCGTAATCCAGTCTGAAAAACTGGGCTTTGCAATTCTGTCCGTATGTCTGTGTGTCTGTCTGTCTGTGTGTGTATCCGTGTGTAAACACGATAACTTGAGTACCGTTACAGCTAGGTTGATGAAATTTCATATATAATATTTTATAAAAATCGTAGATCCGTATCAACTTTTGAGCAATTTCCGATAACCTGTTTATTTATTTTTTTGCACGATTACAAGACTTTCTCTATACTACGTATATAAAGTAAAAAGAAGAAAAATTAAAAGAGCTTAGAGCAATGGTTCTTAACCTGGGTTCGATCGAACCCAAGTGTTCGGTATGTAAGTCTCAGAGCTTCGGCGGAGACACACCCGATATATGCTTAAGAGTGTAGTTAGTATAAGGTGCAAGCTTATTTAGTCTACTTTTGGTTGTGTCTTTGGATCAATTTCGATAATAGTGTATTATAGTTTTAAATTATCAGTTAGGTTGAACAAAGTGAAAAAGCATCACCTGTTTTCGTGTTGTACCATTTTTTACATCGTTTAGGAGTTCAAGTGGCCTCAACTATATGAAAATTGCAATATTGTTATGAAACAAGCAATTAAAAAATTATCTACTCGGTACAATATACTAATGTTTTTAGCTCTTAAAATTTCGGCAAGAGTATCGTCTTCCGCCCACCCGCTCCGACCCAGTGTTTTTATTCCAGACTTTTTTCTCCGGGGGGGGGGGGGGGGGCGGTGGGCGATGAACATTTCCCGGGGTGGGGGGGGCGGACCAGAGTTTCTTCCAGGCATCTCTTCGGGGTAAGCCCCCCCCCCCCCCCCCCCGAAATTTTTTTACCCGCCCCCCCCCCCCCGAACGAAATGAAGTTTATATAATTTATATAGAAAATATATACTTTTAACAGTGTCCGCCCCCCGAAGAAAGTCTACCGCCCCCCCCCCCCCCGAAAATTTCAAGTGCCCCCCCCCCCCCCCTGAGAAAAAAGTCTGGAAGAAACACTGGGGCGGACACTATTAAAAGTATATGTTTGCTATATAAATTTCATCTCGTTCGGGGGGGGGGGGGGTTGCGTAGACCCTTCCCCACCCTTCCCCCCCCCCCCCCCCCGAAGAGATGCCTGGAAGAAACTCTGCTCCGACCGTATATTATTTTACTGATCGGATAGCGATTCAAGAATCCACGATATTTATTTCTTATTAATACAGTGATCCTGGCAAGATGTAATGCAATCAAGTAAAAGTATCTGATCTCTAACGATGAAGATGAGAGAATCGTACAATTTTTTAAAAAAGAACGTCGCGTAATTTCTCAATAAAACTGTACATTACGCGTTAATACACTTGGTTTATATTCTAAGTGTTAAAAGAGTTATCTACTCATCAATCAAGTACAAATACTTTGCGATTTTTGTTCGCGCAAAAAGCGCCCCCCCCCCCCCCCCCCCTCGCACACCTCCCACCCATCTTGGACAATGTTTGTAGAGCGGGTTTTAACGAAACTATCTTTCTAACTTTTTAAAAAAAAATGTTACACAATCGTACAATGCACTTTAGAACAATTAGTTTCTTTTCTAAGTGCTAAAGGTTGTTTACTCAAAATCCAGTGTAATTTTGCGATTTTAGTTAGCCTAAAAGCGCACACGCCCCCCCCCCCCCCCCCGCACCATCTTGATAATAGTCACTAACGTATTTTACGGTTAAACAATCGTAAATAACGTTTTAATACAATTGGTTGTTTTTATAAGCGGTAACGTTTATCGACTCACCAATCTTGTGTAAACTATTCCGATTTTAGTCTCTCTCCCCCCCCCCCCCATCTAGGAAAAGATGGAAAGCGGTTTTGCCGGTCACTGTTTCTTAAGAGTATATGTTTTACAGTTAATAATCAAGGTAGAAAACAGTTCAATCATTATGTAAGGGCGTGTAACCATTACATTTCTTAACTTAGACTGTTTATAATTCAAAACTGAAGCATAAAATCAGCTTTTAAATTTTTCCCCCACCCCTTTTGGTGGACGCCCCCCCCCAGCTACGCCTCTGGAACCGACATTGCTGACATTAAGGAAGATGGTTTCTTGGGGATGGACTTCCTAATGAAACACGAGTTTCAATTTTCTGCCAAAAAATGGTTTATACCTCAATGGTAGATGGGTCCCGACACAGACCAGAGGCAGAGAAAAGATGTTCAAAGTACAAGACCATCAATGGCGGCCCAACTTCTACAACCTAAACGACGCAGTTCCAAGAAGCACACAAAATACACATAGAGTCGCACCAGTTGCAGCAATATTGAAAGCTTCTATTACAGACCAGAAACATGATTGACTCTATCTGCGGAAAGGTTTACAGTTCTCCCAGCAGGGAATTCGGAAGGCACAAAATGGTGATCGTATTTTGAAGAAGTGTATTTCCTGGGTGCAGAACGAACAGAGACCTGAACAGATGGAGTTAGCCGCTGAAGGCCGAGAACTCCGTTATTACTGGCTGAATTTTAACAGACTGACACTTTTAGAGGGGACATTATGCTGGAAGTGGGGGGACAAAAGAACGGAAGACAGATTTTAAAGGTGATTGTGCCACATCTAATGTCCAAGGTTCTAGGCAATGTCACAATAACAAGGGCGTCAGGCATGTTGACATTCAAAACACATTACCCAAGGTACAAGAACTTTGTTTTTGGTTTAGAATGAAACATGAAGTCACCAACTGGGTGAGCTGTTGCGAGAGATGTCAAGTTAGGCAACAACCTCTCGAGAAGACAGGAGGCATACACGAGAGGAACAAAAGAGACTACGACCGCAACATTGTCTCCAATAACTACAATGTTGGAGGTGCAGTGCTGTGTCTAAAGGAGGCAAGGAAAGTAGGCGTGAGTAGGAAGCTTGCTCCCAGACACTGAAAGATCCATACGTCATCATAAGGAAACTGAGTGACCTTCTCTTTGAGATAGAGTACAAGGACAAAAATGCAAAAGTCGTGCACCACGACAAATTAAAACCATTTTACCAGCGGGAACCAACGAAATAGATCATTGACTTACAACTCAAACTTCATCACGATGGAGATTCACTGTCGGAATACTCACCGGACGATGAGACAAGCGACGAAGGTCAAGACACAGAGATTCAGCTGTCAGAGAGAGGCAATGATCATGGGGCTGCTGAAACATGCTCAAACTAACGGATACTTTACAAAACGACTCGAGGAGAAATACGAGACCCCGACGAGAAATCAAACTACCTCGTCGACTGTTGGATTTACAAAAATAGTGCGTTTTAAAATGATAAGTAGAGACTGTGTTCTGAATTATTTGGATACCAAATGAATTCTTAAATTAAACTAATGTTCTGAATTACTTAAATACCGTGTGAATTCTTAAATAACGATCTGGATTAGCAATACGCCTGGCCGACTTGGATTCCAGTTAGAGTTTCTTCCAGGCATCTCTTCGGGGGGGCTCTGCCCCCCCCCAAGAAAGTCTACCGCCCCCCCCCCCCAACGAAACGAAAGTTATATAGAACATATATACTTTTAAAAGTGTCCGCTTCCTTCCCCCCCCCCCCCCCCCCGAAAAAAGTCTACCCCCCCCCCCCGAAAATTTCAAGTGCCCCCCCCCCCCCCCGAGCAAAATGTCTGGAAGAAACACTGATTCCATTATGTAAGTCGGGTACCCATCAGAGCTGTTGGGACGTCCTACAAACTCGAGCCCGGGATTCGAACTCGAGTCTTTCAGGGCAGTCAGGGCATTAAGATACATTGTGAATTTTTAAAATCGGATGTTTTTCATAATTTCCTGGATGTGAATTTATTCTAACGAAATGTAAATAGATACAGTTTAGCTTTGCGTTATGACCATATAGAGAGCATTTAGGGGGGGGTGACACCAAGGCAAAAAATAGCAAAATATATAGAGATAAACTTGAGGCGGGGGGTGCAAATCGAAAGTTTGAGGGGGGGGGGGTGCAAATCGAAAACTTGAAAGTTCGTCCCCGGGAAGGGTCGCTACGCCTCTGGGGGGTGACACCATTAAGTGCCGCACCGTGTGACACCCGACCTCGCTACGCCACTGGTAAGCCTGTAATATTTTTACAAAACTACATACTAATATACTATAAATATACAATCCGGACTGTGTGTGGGGGGGGGGGGGGGGTAGACTTTCTTCGTGGAGGGGGGCGGACACTGTTAAAAGTATATATTTTCTATATAAATTTCATTTTGTTCGGGGGGGGGGGGGCGGTAGACTTTCTTCGGGAAGAAACTGCACGTTGAACGATATTGTTGACAAAGCAAAAAAAAATGACTAAATAGCTAAAAATCCGACATATTTAAAGTAACACAGGCTACCAATACCTATTAGTAAAACCAAATTATATACATTATTAGTCAACACAATACCATCCTAATATATAAAAGCCTCTGTGCGCACTTCTCTCTCTCTGTCTGTCCGCAAAATATTTTCGCCGGACATCACATCAGAAACTGCAGCGATATATGAAGATGTTTTAAATGTATAACCACAATTTTATTTAAAGAAGAAAAATAAAAAATAAAGGCGTATTCGAATGTAGAAAAACAATTTTAATTATGCAACCGGAAAAGTGTTTAAACTTGGGACAAGAACGCATTTAACAATGACGTCGCTTATTGTTTACACTAAACAAACAAAGAGCACGGAACTGATGACGTCACCTTCCGAGTTTAGAATAAAAAAAAGGAATAAACTATTTCATTCAAATATGATTTAGAGCTATGTACGCTATGAAATGTATACAATACAATTTTCTCGGCCTAAACTTAAAAAAAATTATTTTATCTATTTGGATTCTAGATTTAGATGATCTAGATCTACGGAAAAGCTAGACTTACACAGATGTAGACCCTAACTAGATCTAGAATCTATTCAAATAATACATTTCTATACTAAAGTATTTCAGGCCTTAATTACTTTATTGAAATCTTTGTTTATCTATGCAATTTGCTAATCTCTATAATATATACAGCTAAGTTGTCGGGTGCCCGATAGGGCACTTCCCGGCGCCGCAGGCGCTTCAAATTTGGCAGGATCTTGCCTTGGGGCGACAGAACACGGGGACCGGTTGGCCGAAAAGTCTACGATGAGGGGGTCAAAACTGACCTCGACTGACCGGCGCATTGTATGGGCGAATTAATTAAGCATTCAAATTCTCAATGTTTTCGAAAGCCTAGGCGAAGCTGGGCAGCATGCCTAGTTTTAAATAAACACACTGATTAAGAGACTTAAATGATTTCGTTAAAGACCCGGCTGTTCAATGGTATTATTATTAATGTTGTTTACCTTCTCGTATATGAAGTTTAGAGTAATATTGTTGTCGTGCAAAAAAAATATCATAAAAAACGTTTTAAAAACGTTTTAAAAACAAGCTTTTTTTTGTAACATTGCAATAAAAAGTAGAAAATAATGTATACACTACTATTTAAATAACTATTTTTAAAAAAGCGTGGGTCTCTTGCTAAATATTAGTAAAGGTATTCAAGAGATACTAGATCTAGAGAGACCCGCGCTTTTCTTTATGGTTATTTAAATAGTTGTGTAGGACTATAATTTATTTTTTTACTTTTTAGTGCATTATTACATAAAAGCTTGTTATTAAAACGTTTTTTATGAATTTTTTTTTAGTACTTTAAATGTTTTAAATTTACAATAGAGTTGCATGGCTAAAAAAGTTTAAGTAATTTAAAAAAAACCGGGAGTGTCGAATTCACAAAACATGAATTACTGAAAAAAAGAAAATAAAACAACTAAAAAGCGGCGTATGCTATGCCGCGGGTCGACTAGTATATTTAACTGACGAAGAAAATGCGAGGAAGTTTACGGCTTAGGGGAGATCACTCTCGCTTTATTTTTGTATCTACTCAATAATAAACGTTGTGTGTGAACTAGGCCCACTAGTGACCTAGTCTAGTACTGTGCACTTTACTAATAAAAATATTATACTTAGGCCTATACTCTATACTATATAGATCACTCATTAGTCTAGAATCTGCGTTCTACTTTACCCACGCTGAAGTTAAAATGGCCTTGACAAAAAATTGTTTGGATCTTCCTATTTTCATTGTTGATGCATTTACAAACAGTAGGCCGTTCGATTCACAGCTTCCGGGTTTGTTGTTTTGAAGCCATCTCACGGCTCATGCGCTTACTCAAAATGGCGACCAGTTTCGCTTTCACTAAACGGTAGAGGGATAAAACTAATAATAACGAGGCCATCGTTAATTTTAGACATCGGAACTATCCGTTTCTATTTCAGTCTGTTATTTAAGAATTCCCAGATGTACTTTTGACCTAATTTCTTTATTTGTATTTAACGAGGCCGTCGAGAGAAAGTCACGCTTACTTAGCTTGCGTTTCAAGTCGAATAAACTAAAGCAGGTGCGTTATCCAATAACTTTTTTATTAGACCCAATTTTTATAACATTTTTACTATCAAATAAAAATAGAATTGTTTAATATAATTAGGCTGACAACAATGCTTTTCATGCTGTAAGTAATAATGCCATTTTATTATATTCTTGTTTGGTGAAAACGAGGCGCGGGAAAATGTGTGCCGCGTAAGAATCCAATCATTTGGCTAGATTTATGACTGTTTTTTATGTCACACCTAAAAATAGAATGTTTACGCTTTCTTCGTTGATGATCGTTTTTATTATTTTTTAAATTGAAAGTATGAATTATTAGTTAGATTGCAGATTTTGTAACTTGGTATACTTACCCTTTATCAATTTTAAAAACATAGCATGCTGATTGTAAACAAATATAGTCATAAAACACAGAAATATAAAGTTATAATTGCGATGTGCCACACCCGGGCCACACCCCCTCAAGAAAGCATGTGTTTATTAAGCTGTTTATCTTACTTTACAACTGTAATTAAAATTAATTTTCAAATTTTTATCACTTATTGGGTAAGAATAAGCACATGTTTACCAAAAATAAAAAAAAATAAAAAAGCAAATTCTGTTTTAATGAAGGTCACGGGTGAAGTTTTTTTTTCCTTCTGTCACGTTCAGTGGAGGGTGCCACAGGCTGACCTGACTTTGGAATTTTTTTCAGTAATAATGACTTTGCACAGAAAGTTAAAATATGCTAAATTTGCTTAGTTTACTAGTGTTCTAGCTATTATTGATACATTTTTAATAAAAAAAATCATTCTGTAATTCTCATCAAAAAGCCTACAAACAGACAGTTTTCTGGAAACCCAGCAGCTGTTTGCTTGTTATCTAAAATTAAAACTAACATTGGATGTGATGTGGTAAGTCGATTGAAAATACAATTGAATTATTGAATTATTATAATTAAACAATATTGATTAGGCCTAAGGTCGCCTAAGCCTAAGAAGGGGTTCTAGGTTAAAGCTCCGTTTATGGTCAAAGCCCCGCTGTGGTCAAACCCCCTATCTATATCTATGGTCAAAGCACACCCGTTGACAAACCACCTGTGATCAAAGACCCTCTGCTGCGAAAACACCTATGGTCAAACCCCCTATGGTCAAAGTTCCGTTATGGTCAAAGCCCCGCTGTGGTCAAAACCCCCTGTGGTCAAACCCCCTATGGTCAAACCCCCTATGGTCAAAGCACCTGTGGTCAAAGGTCCGCGCACCGCCTAAGGATGATATTTAATATAATATTATTTATTTAAATCAACCAAAATTATTAGGCCTACTTCTTATTTACAACTTACCAATACTTAGTCAGTGAGTTTAGTTTGTTAGTAATTGTTAGTCTTAGTTTAGTTGAGTTTAGCTTTAGTTAGTGGCTCTGCCCTTTGCCCTTTGGGCCTTTAGCCTCAACCATGGCGGGCTTGACTCCAGTGTACTGTTTAATAGTGTAAGAAGTAGATCCAGATCTAATCTAGAATAGATTATAGTAGTAGGAGCCAGTAAAACTCCATTTTAGCATATTTTATTCACTGCTTCATGTTCACCTCTGGTTGAGCATATTTTATGATAAACACAATCTAAACACAAAAATATAAATAATATTAAAATAAACATCAGGCCCTACAGTTCTAATTAAATAGCCTGTGATCACCGGTTCACAATTTTTCGTCAGCGGGAGAAAAATCCCTACACTGTCGAGGGTTTACAGTGACTTGAATAATCAGCATTGTCACATATTGGGCAATAGCTATTTGAAATTGTGGTGGTGTTTGTTTTGGGGTTATTGTGAGTTTACTGTTAGACTTAACAGCCTTGCATTTATGAGTTGCATACGTTACCCATCGCCACAAAATCTAAATTGACATAAACATAGATCTAAACATTGCACATGTAATATTTTATATTTGGATTTTTCTCAAGTTTTGACAAAAAAAGTAAGTTATTGAAAACTTAAACCAAAAACAAAATTCACAAAGAAATAAGCTTAGTGTTTTCCTCACATTTTTGTGCATTTTGTTTGTGTTTATAATAAATTACGCCCAACTGGAAGTGAACCTCAAACAGGGAATAAAATGTGCTATAGATACTAAAGTGGAGTTGTACCGTAGGAGCCTACTAGTACTGCTAACTACTTAGTACTACCTAATATTTAATAAATTAATAACTATTGACTTGACTATTATGTATTAACAAGTGCTACACTAGTAACTAGTAGTAACTACTGATGAGAAGCCAATATCTGATGCTCTTCAAAGGTACTTTTTAAAAAAAACAGCAATAACCAGCTTTTAATTTTAAAGTAAAATGTTGAAAATCATGTTGCCAATTTGTTTATATTTCAATAAAACTATCTAAAATTAAAGAAGATGCAAAGTTTTAGAAATTTCATTGCAACTGAGCTTGGTAGTAAGTTAAAGGATCTAGAACATTACCTCCCTGTCAATTACTCCCCAGTCAAGATAGACCTGTAGATATTTAATATTTTTATTTTTACAAATCTATAGACATTGACGGATGAACAAATGCAAATGATTGGCAGAGAAATGAATCTTTCTGAAACAGCATTTGTTAGTCCGAAGGAAGGAGATTTTATCTCTGGTTGGTATATATATATATATATAATATAATTCTCTTCATGGATACCATACAAAACACCAAGCAGTAAGCGCGCCTATCAGCCCTCTCTCTTCCTCTCTAAGCATATCCCTACCACCCCTACCCACACATGGTCTGGTGAGCTGTGGTTCATGCCAAATGTTTACAATCGTAGAGTCTGGTTTAGTGATGGCTATTAGGGATAGATAATTTAGTTTGAATCGATTTTAAACTTAGGGGAGGTAACTAAGAAGAGGCTGCTTTCATGGGGGGGGGGGATGTAGGGTAGGGGTTGGGGGAAAGGAGGGTGGGGGGGGGGGGGTATCGCCCTTAACGATCTACTGATAGTGTTTTAAAACAAATATTTTCAGTGGCAGCATTGGTACTGTCGATTTCACAAATTATGAATTACTGAAAAGTAGAAAATAAAGCAACTAAATAGTGGCGTTTGATACGCCGCGGGTGGGCTCGTTGTAAATAATCTTAAAGTCATACAAGGTCATCCTTTTATTAATGAAAATTTAAAAAATTGTTTTCTCATTTTTCTTATGTTTGTTTACAACCATATAATTATAATAGTTGTATTACAACATATTCATTAATTTTAATAAACTTATTAATAAACATGCATTGTGTAAGTGTAAATTGCTATGCTAGTAATTTATATTGTGATTTGTTCGTAATGAAAATATCTGATAGTTAAGATAAAAAGTTAAGTAGGGTTTGCCTGCCGCTCCTCCTGGTACATAGGCCACAAGAGCTTTTCATGCATCTCTGTCCTGGGTTAGTCTCACCAACTGTCCCCAGGTGTATCCAATCTTCTTGTTGTCTTCTTCCAGGTCTTTCTTGGTCTGCCTCTTTTCCTTTTGCCCTGTGGATTCCAGGTGAAGGCCTGTCTTGTTATGCTGGATACAGGCTTCCTGACTGTGTGGTCAATCCATTTCCATTTTCTCTGGAGGATCTCTCCTTCAGCTGACACTGGAGTTGTCCACTGCCATAATACCTAATGTCTGATGGTTTTATTTGTAGAATATGTTGAGAGAAAAAATAAAGTTTTATAAGAATAAATCATATGATATGTATGGGACAGCATGGTTGGGCAGGAATACTAACTCCCAAGGCTGAGTTGGGCCCCTGGCAGATGAGGCTCATTAGCTGGGGATAGCAATCAAACAACTCCTGTCTTTCAGGTCATTCTTGGCTGGACAAATGCTATGGTAGCAAATCTGGTGTATAACATGACTAGGAAATCCCAGCAAATGTATTACTATAAAGAACACAGTAGAAGAATATGATGTATTTTTGTTTCAGTTAGCTGTTATTTTTTCTTTCCAAAATCAAATAGAAACTTATTGTAAAATAATAAATGTGTGTGTGTTGTAAAAACAAGTTAAAAATAAAAATATTGTCTGCAATGTAACTAAAATGCTTTCTTTACTGCAGACAATTGCAAAGACATACTAATTTCATTGTTTGGAAGTTCTTTTGAATTAGCATAAGTTTACTGTTTTAAAATGTTGATAAACATATATTTACTGGTTAATTATTTTCTACTTCATATTTCTCTTTCCTAGCTACTGAATTTTTTTTGAGGTGGTTTACACCAACTACTGAAGTTGACCTTTGTGGGCATGCTACTCTTGCCACCTCTGCTGTGCTGTTTCATGAACTAGGTGACACTAAGATTTCATTTACATTTAAATTTTTTAATTTTTTAATGGATTCAAATGACAAAAGAATCTATGGTGAAAATCCCCATACTTAAAAATAACACAATACCTGATTGTTAATTAATGTATACTTAATTCAAATTTGTTCTAAACTAGCATGGATGCAGATTCTAACAATGCACAATGATTAATGGTTTTTGGTGATCTGCTGCTAGATTTAGAAATACCAACAAAAAAAATGCTGTATTCAAAAACATTAAATATCAATACTCACCATAATTTTTTTCTTGTGGATCCTTTATAGAGGGTAGGGACACAACCACACCTCTACCATACTGGGTTAAAGTCAATACTGTTATGTCCTAAATATTTAAAAAGTTCCTTCTAGGTAAAAACACAGTTGTAGTATAATTATATTGACGTATACTTAAACAAACATACCGCACTCAAGCCTCTTAGTACTTGGTAAAATACCTTCCATACATCACATTTTTATTTACTTGGCAGCAAATTAAAAAGTTATTTGTATAAAATTGATGACACACCTAGTGTGTAGTGCTATTTAAAATGAATGTTGGCATCAGAGGCGTATCCAGGTTTTCGTTGTAGGGGGAGCGAAAAGAGCAAAAAAAGGCGCCGAATTTTTAACACGTTCTATATACGTCTATTATATATATATATATATATATATATATATATATATATATATATATATATATATATATATATATATATATATATATATATATAGCTGTATGTCATTACTTTGCTATGATGTAAAGGAAATTGAAAATGGCACTCTGAAGAAATAAGAAAAACACACAATATAGGCCGACAAAACAAAAAATTGTATCTATCTAAAATATATATATATATACACACACTACAACCAAAAACAATGAACGTAACACAATCTGTTTTGTAATTCTTGTAAAAAAATTTCATACATAATAATTCCTGGGAAATTATTTAAGACAAGTGAAATAGGGGAAATAATCACTCTCTTAATATAAATATGTATATATCTACACATTTAATTATAAATGTCAAAACAAATAAATAATTACTTTAGAATATAATGAAATTGTTTAAAACTATTCGTGTGTACAAAATGTTTTTGTCTATAATCAGAATTTAATATATCGTCATCATAAATGCTAAAGTATTACAGCATAATGAAAGTTTTTAAAATCAGAGTTGGTATAAAACCACGCTTTTCGATATAATAAATACATACTCGGAATATCAGCACACAATTAACAAATCATTAGTCTTTTAGTTCAGATCATATATTTTAATTAACTACTGCTTCTTCGTGTTTTTAAAGATAATTTTTTAACATAGTGATAGGTGTGGGTTAGATCACTGTATTGATCACATACCTTTTTACTGGAAATTGCAAAAACAATATTCACAGAGTTTTAACTTTTAAAAGCTAATTTTCTGGCGGCATGGCACTATGATACATCATTACGCCTTTTTCTGCATGTACTTAACAGATCAGTTCGGGGTGGGTTAGAGGGGGGTGGGTTCAACTTTATTCACCACTGACCGGTCACTTTAGGTCAATTATCCAACCCAATGTATACCTAGGTGTGACATTAATGCTCATAAGTAAATTTAAATGGAGGTGCCAAATCAGTTGTATTAATTTCTGTATTGTAATTTTTTTTAATTAATCACACGATTCAAACTGTATATATAAAGTAATTATGTGTGAAGTTTTATTTATAACATTTTCTAATTTAATTATTCGTAAGCAAATACATTATACAGTTGCCTTAAACTTAACACCCCTCTTGCCAAGTGGTACTACCCGTAGAGGTTTTTTAAACATTGCACTGCATCGTAATGGTTATTTTTAGAATGGCAAACTGATGCAGCTGTTAATACATGTTGTAAACGTAGACACTACTAGACTAGTACAATAATGCTTAATTGCTGCATGAAAAGAAATCTTGTGATTTACATAGATGTGCCGACCAAAAATATTTTTTTAACAAATATCATTGTTTAAAACTTTGAGTTTAAAAAGTCTCCAAAAAGGCGCCACTTTGCTGAAAATGGCCAGAGGGGGAGCGGCTGCTCCCCCTGCTCCCCCCCTGCGTACGCTACTGGTTGGCATCATAGTCGTATGTCGGACCCCGGGGTTCACTGTATCATCCAACCGGAAGTGGGTGGGCCTGGTGCAGTTTGACCATGGAATTAAATAGCAGTTTGACCATTGAATTAAACAGTACCCAGGATGATCAATCAACAGATCCCAGGTGTTAAGATAGTTGTTTAGGGACTCTGGGTGGCAAATCGCACTCTACTACCAGCCCGACATAAAAAATTTATATTGCTTCCCATGAGTATTTTCAACAGCTTGACAAAGTTTCATTGCTTAATTATTTTTCTCACTTTGTGATTTAGGTAACCCTGCTGGTCAATTAACATTCTCTACTAAAAGTGGAGATCTGTCAGTAAATAAATCTGAGGATAGAGAAATTTCCTTGAATTTTCCTCTTAATCAACCTTTTCCCAAGGTAAGATTTCTATTCCCAAAGTAGCGTAATCATAGAATGTAATGTGCCACCTTCTCCCTATGGTAGGGTGCTCTTTACAAGTGCTATAATGCACCCTGTGTGCCCAGGGTACTGCAGGTCACCTGACTGATGGGGTGCTAGGGGATGTGCATGATACAATTTAATCTATTATAATAGCCCACCATACCTGTAGCGTGTAGCACTCTTTAATGCTAATGTAGGTACCATAGTGCTCACAGGGTAGCCCAAGGCACCAAATTCACATTGTTGGGGCACTACAGGATGCGCTTGATTCAATTTAGTCAACGATAGTAGCCTACCTTTAAGTTTAAAACATATATAGGCAACTTAGTGCTCACTGGAGAGCTCTGGGTGTTCTGTGTCACACAAGGGCCTGGTGCAGTTTGACAGGTGAATCAAGAAATACCCCTGACCCCTATGCAGGATGCCTTATCAACAGATCCCATGTGCTAAGATAGCTGCTGGGGAATTCTGGTTGCCTAATCACACCCTGCCTGGGTACTCTTCTTCAAAATAAAAAATCCTTCCTAGGAGTATTGTCAACAACTTTTCATGGTGTTTGGATGCATATATGTAGATAGATATATAGATTCAATGTTAACACAAATTAAAATCCATAATTAAATTTCTATTACAGTATTAACTCTCAACTTTATATCTTTTCAGAGCTCAGAGGAATTCAGTAGACTTATTGAAGTATGTATATATTTGCTTTTTGTGTAAATTAATTTTTCTTGATTGTTGTTGTTTGGCGGGGACCGTCCGTGCAAAATTAAATTTACCCCCCCCCCCCCCCCTTCTTGGGAGTATTCTCATTAACTCCCCAAAGTTTTAAGGCACTCAGATAAACAGTGTTGAACCGCATCAGACTTTCATTTTTTTAAATATACTGTATATAGAGTAGAATTGCACCCTCCTGGCGTGCCGCCCTTTCAAGTTAAAAAAGATGTTTTTTACAGAAACATCCCATGGAGTGTTCTAATCAGTTCCTCAAAGTTGGATGGTGATCAGATGAACAGTGTCAAGCGACAATATTTTTATATATCATATATAGAGAAAAAACAAATCGTGCCCAGCCGGGGTGCCACCCCTGCAAATTAAAAAAAAAATTTTTCACAGAAACCTCCCCAGGAGTATTCTCAACAACTTCCCAAAGATTCATGGCGATCAGATGAAAGGTGTAGTAATGCATAAAAGACAGACAAACAAATAAACAAACACATATACATTGCTTATCATATATATATATATTAAATAAAATTGTAATAAAAAAATAAAAAGAATAGGTAGAAGTGATTACGCAGGTTATACCTGAGTCTTAAAAGCATTATTTTATTGAATTTATTCAGGTTTGTTTGGGCGATGCTGCTCTTATTGTTAAAGATGTTCAGTTAAGTGCCACAGGGAAACTTTTGTTGCGTCTTTCAGATGAAACTACAAGGTTTGAACTTTCATTCTTTTTGTTGGTTACTGAGTTAGTTAATTTTAAAATAATATTTAGTTCATGAATGTTTTTATATTTAAAATATAAATAGTTTATTAAGAATACTATCTTATATAATATATTTATTTGACCTTGTAATTTAATTTCTTTAAATACATGTGTGTTACTGTTATTTATTTTGTTTGTTTATTAGACCACTTATAGGTTTCTTATCCATTCAAAAATATATTTGTATAAATAAAATTTCTTTATAAAATATTTTCAGAGATCAGTTGGAAAAGTTGAAGCCCAATTTGGATGTAATGGCTCGAGTTGAATCTACTGGACTGGTTAAAGGTGTTGGCATTACAGTTAAGGGCAGTTTGGAAAATAACTGTGTTGATAGCGAAGGCAAGAAGTATGACTTTGTTTCAAGATACTTTGCTCCATGGTTAGGAGTTAATGAGGATCCAGTTACAGGTATTTTAAAACCTAGAATGTTTGTTTATGTTACTTACTTTTTAGTATATTATCTATTTTAAAACTTTAGTTTGAGGTTTTTCTTTGAGCAATAAAGATGATATTTTTAAGAATAGTTAATTAACTTATAATTTTTAAAAAGTGTATTGTCATAAGCAAATTTAATGAAGCTAAAGTACTTAGATTTATGGTATAAATTATATTATAATTTATTTATAATGTAAGTAATAATCACCAAAATTTAAATCGTGGAGGCTGGAAAATAATATTCATTGTCAATTTTGTTTAAGCTGAGCTATATTTGTTTGAATCCAGAACTCCATATTTGAAGAGTATTTTCATTTGACGTCTCTTTTTTAAACTTTTAATTATAGGTGCATGGCACACAGTTGTTGCACCATACTGGGCTAAAGAACTGAATAAAAACAGTTTATATGGTGTGTATTTTTAGATGATTATATATTCTGAGTTTATAATCTAACATTTGAAAAAGCTGTTTTATTTAACTGCTTTGGTGGTGTCCAGAGACTAATAATTATTGGACAAAAAATATTTTAAAAGCTATGGTTATTCTGTATTTTGATATAGCCAAGATTTACTGTAGGTGTCATAATTTATTTTATGATATAATTTTTTGAAAAGACACATTTTTGACTGATTGTGAACCTCTGCACTCTTCTGATAAAACGTTTTTAAAATGTACATGTTATAGGCATACAGGTCACTTAAATTCAAAGAAGCGTTTCCCTACATTTTGATATATTTATCATGTATGCTCTTTCATTAGAAAATTTTTTATTGATTTTTTTTTTATATGTACAAAATCTATATATATAATTCTCTTCTGGGAGCCGTTAGAAAACAAGCTGCAGGCGCGCCTTACAGTCCCCTCTCTTCCTCTCTATCGCTACCACCCCCACCCCCTCACATGGTATGGTGAGCTGTGCTCACGCTGTTTACATTTTACAATCATAGAGACGGGTTTGGTGACGGCTATTAGGGGCAGATAATTTAGTTTGAAACGATTTTAAACTTAGAGGAGGTAACTAAGAGAAGGCTGCTTTCAAGTGGGGGAGGGGGGGAAAGGGGGGTTTAGTGTTTTTAAGCAAATATTTTCAGTGGCAGCATTGGTACTGTCGAATTCACAAATTATAAATTACTGAAAAGTAGGAAAAAAAACAACAACTAAATAGCGGCGTATGATACGCAGCGGGTCGGCTCGTATTTTTTACTTCCTTTTTTAAATTTTATCAAAAAGCGAGAAAAGCCAATTTCAGTGCAATTAATTTAAATGACGTTCATATTTTTGAGGTTTGAAAAATTGAGTCTCTTCTCCTTGTGTCTTTATGTTGAATTCAAAAGATTGAGTTGGTGTCACATTTTTTAACATGGCACTTTTTAGGATGTCAAAAGTAAATAAATTTTAAATGTCAACATTTTCACTACTTGAGATAAATGAACAAATTTGGTATCCACTATCTTAGAATCTTGAGTTCTTGACATACCATTTTTCAAAAAGGTTCTGGGACATTTAAAAAAAAAATCAGTTTGACATACCTACAATTAGTATGTTTATATTTTTGACAAGTGCTGAAAAAGTACATTTTGACATTGCAGCTCGCCAATGTTCAACCAGAGGTGGAGACTTGAGACTTCAGGTGGAAGACAAGCGTGTTATTATATCTGGGAAAGCAGTTGTCAATTTACGTGGAACCTTTACAGTGCAGCTGTGAAAAAGAAATATATTATTTATATTGTGAATATCTAAGTCATTTTGTGGAATTGATTGGTAAAAAAGCTTTAATTTCAAGACCAAGGAACCTTGATCTTTTAAGAAGATAATAGTATTAATATGTTGATAAATGCTACTAAATATTTGCAATGTTATTCATATTAAAAATTGTTATTGTAGCCTTATTGCTCATATTAAACTTAAACCTAAAATGTTTTAAATAAATATTTTGTTAAAGGTGATTTCCACTTAATTCTTTATTAATTTTTTTCTTTAATAGATAGAATTGCATTGAAAAAAGAATTGCACATTGAACACAAACAATGATTATATAAATAAATAATGCAAAATATTAATAAAGGAACAATTTTTTAATTTTTAAAAATTAATTAAATATATAATTAAGTCACACTTTATGTCATAATATATTCTCATCGAGTCTTGACCTATATGAAAAGTTTCCACCCATGACGGCCCATGGACAGACGAATTCAATTTTTAAAAAATTTGTATCTTTTTTTTTTTTTTTTTTATATAAAATCGTAAAGTACTACTTCTGGTCACCAGAATACACTAAAAAATTAAAAGAAACCAGTGAATAAGATCTTAACCTAATTGAAAAGGTACTAATGTTATCTGTATTTTAGAAACCAGTAATAAAGTACCACTTCCAAACATCGGAGGTCTCTCAAAAAAATTAAAAGCAATCTAAGTATAAGATCTCATACTTTAAAGGCCTGCCTATAAATGAAATTCCGTTCACCAAAATGAAACAGCACTCCAGTACAGTAGCACTACCGGTCACCAGAAAGAGCTCAAAATTTGATAAAAACATGTGCATACAATTTAATACTATTTGAAATTTCGTCCGCTTAACTTAAACGGTACTCAAATTATTGGCTTATGGGAAACCATAAGTAGAATAAATACCATTTCCGGTTACCGGAAATCGATAAAACAGTAACAATAGAACTACACATTTGAAATAATACTTACATTTGAATTTTCTTCAACATAACTGAAACGTTAAGTTATCGTGTTGACAGACTGACATACACACACAATTTCAAATAGTTTTTCCGACTCTGGGAGGTGTGCAGTAAAGCGTTGAGATTTGTCAAAATCTTGATTTCAGTTTTTTGCACGATTACAATACTTCCTCTATACTTCTTATACAAAAAAGTAATACAGAAAGACTTTCTTTATTAGTTAATTTGTCTAACATGATCTGGAAAAAGACAATTTTGGATTAATGTAAATACGAAAACACCTAAAACGTAACTATTTTTTTAGACAAACAAGGCTGGCTTTCACTTCTTAGATGGATTAACCCCCCCCCCCCCCCCCCCCCGCAAAATAAAACCGGATTTTTAATAACAAGAACAACCAAATACTGTTTATGAAGGTGATAACTATTTAGAAAATTAGACATGGTTTATCTAAGAGCATAATAATGATTTTTTTAAAACTAAAATGTACCCCTTTAGTTCAGCTAATAAAAAACACTGCTAGCAATTTTAAAACAAACACTAAACATTAAATAGCTCATTTTCTCAGCAGTAGCCTACCTAGGTTTCTTGTAAACTTTACACAATCGATGTTAATTAAGAAAATATAGTGTTGTATTATTACTGGTTTAACTGCTTCAAATTCAAAGAGAATCTGTAACCGGCAGAAAGCTTCAGGGATCGGGGGACCACGACTTTTTCACCAACGAAAATCGGAGGTAAAGAAACCAAAGAACAGTATATAACTAAATTGTACAAGTGTAAAAGTATGTTTTATCCATGCAGTGTCGTTAACAATTGGTACGATTAGTTCGTTAGTTAACTGTCTTTGGTTTGACTGCTGCATCAGAGAAATACGCACCATAGAGTCTGGCGTGGTTACTCAAACAGAGTAGGTGGGAGGGGTATAAAGTATAGTATTAATTCTCCTATAGACCGTCAGGTTTGGAAGTATTAATCCCACTTCCAAACATGACGGTCTATATAGTGCAAGTGAATTATAGAGCTCACCTATGTCTGTGACCTCTGTATGGTGTGGTTAACACTAGGCCCAGCCTAACGTGAGTTAGGTACTCATCAGAGCTGGGTGGACTCAGGGACGGTCTACTGACTTGAACCCGGATTCGAACTCGAGACTTACGGTTAGCAGTCTAGCTCTCTACCGCTAGGTCGTCCCCTGGTAAGGTATAGTTTTGTTAAAATAAAAATCCAAGAAAAATACAGTCGGGATTTCTATTTTTAAATGTATAATAATTATACCTTTTTACAACAAGACATACAAAACATTTTACCAATGGTATCTGAGTAGGCCTTAGGGTTAATAAAAAAAACGGCACGCCTTTGGACGATTCCCCCCCCCCTCATCGTCACAAAAAGCCATCCCCCCAAATGACGTAACACCTGAGGCTACAACCTTCCCCCCCCCCCCCCGAAAATTGCAGTTTATATTTTTTTTTTAAACTTCGATTTTTTTTTTCTTAAAAAATATTGACTGAGCTTCGGTCAACATAGAGTATTCTAATCAATTTCTATTAAAGGTTTTTTTTTTTTTTTAAGTCGTGAAGTAACGGCTACAATTCAGTTTATAACATTATTTAAAAAAAAACGCAAACGTGTGACGTACTTCACACTATCCGACCCCCCCCCCCTCTTCCGCATCTCACTACGTCATAAAACTACACACCCCACCCCTTACGAGTGTGACGTCATTTATGGACAACCCCCTTAGTAGCAAGATCTAGTTTTGTGCCAACAAGTTAAGCCAAAACTCTCCAGGGACTATATCATTTTAGAATAACCAATTCCGCTGTGACAGCTCGCCCAGGATTCAGGCTAGCCTTCATCAACGATAAAATTAAAACTCACTCAGCACAGAGTAGTGGGAATTTGATTGCTTGTTTGATAGGCCTAACAATGTTAACTTTGCCTAGTGTGTATATTTTTAAAACCACTACATGCATATTTATGCCTACTAAACGAGGTATAACTTCTGACGATAGTGCTACTGCTCTGAGATTATAATCAAACTTAACAATATAGACCTACTAACAATTTTCGAGACGAGCTGACCCGCGGCGTATCATACGCAGCTATTTAGTTGTTTTATTTTCTACTTTTCAGTACTTCATAATTAGTGAATTCGACACTACCCTCCCTTCCACCCCCCTCCCCCGGCCACCGTGAAAGCAGCCGTCCGTAACAACAGTATACAGATGACAATGAAAAGATCAAGCAGAACTTGTTACCTCTCCTTGATTTCAAATCGCTTAAAAGCTCAATCATCTGCCCCTAATAGCCATAATTCGACAGTGCTCTACGATTGTAAACATTCGGGGTGAACCTTAGCTCACCAGTATTATGGGGGTGGGGGTGGTTGCTGTATGTATGCCTATAGAGCGTTAGAGTTACGGCGTGCGTTTACGTGGTGTCTCGCATGGTCCCCAGTCCCCATGAAGAGAATTATATATATATAGATTGTTCTAAAGATACGAAGAAATAAAGCGGGAGTGATCTCTCCTAAACTCTCTCGAATATTCTTATATAACACTACGCGGGATGGCAACTCGGGATATAGACATAATTTTTATTCCATGTTTTATTTCTTAAACTTTTTAAAAAAGAATTGCGCACCAAGTGAACAGGAAACAATGTGCGCATAATAATGCAGAACATTAGCACTATATAAATTCTTATCCGTTTATTTTAGAAATCGATATCTATATATATAAAGCAAAGTGGTCGGGTGCCCGATAGGGCACTTCCCGGCGCCGCAGGCGCGTCAAATTTGGCACGATGGTGCCTTGGGGCGATAGAACACGAGGGCCGGTGACGGTTGGCCGAAAAGTCTACCGAGAGGGGGTCAAAACTGACCTCGACTGACCGGCGCCTTATATGTGCTATATTACGAAAAAAAAATTCCTCCGACGACCCCCCTTGAAATTTTGTGAGGTGGTAGGAGAACGCCTTGGGGTGTCACAAAAAACTCGCCATGTCCGGGAAAAATCGGGAAATGGGTCAAAACTGACCAGTCGTATTTCCCTATATAATCTTTGTATTTTATGGGAAAAACAGAGGGTCATTTCAAAACGGATTTTAGGGCACTTACCCTCTTTACATCTGGCTAATTTTTGGCATGTTTATGGGTAAATGGCTTGACCGTAGGGCAGACCTGTCGGTCTCACTCAAAGCCCTCGACGAGGGCTAAAAAGTGACCGCGAGTGAAATTCTCTTTATATGAGCTTTATTACGAAAAAAAATTTCCTCCGACGACCCCCCTTGATATTTTGTGGGGTGGTAGGAGAACACCTAGGGGTGTCACAAAAAACTCGGCATATCTGGGAAAACTTCGTAAAGGGGTCAAAACTGACCAGTTGTATTTCCCTATATAATCTTTGTATTTTATGGGAAAAACAGAGGGTCATTTCAACGCAGACTTTAGGGTACTTAAACTCAGTATATGTGGCTAATTTTTGGCATGCATATAGGGAAATGGCTTGACCTTTAGGGAAAACTGTCGGTTTCACTCAAAGCCCTCGACGAGGGCTAAAAAGTGACCGCGAGTGAAATTCTCTTTATATGAGCTCTATTACGAAAAAAAATTTCCTCCGACGACCCCCCTTGATATTTTGTGGGGTGGTAGGAGAACACCTAGGGGTGTCACAAAAAACTCGGCATATCTGGGAAAACTTCGTAAAGGGGTCAAAACTGACCAGTTGTATTTCCCTATATAATCTTTGTATTTTATGGGAAAAATAGAGGGTCATTTCAACGTAGACTTTAGAGTACTTAAACGCAGTATATCTGGCTAATTTTTGGCATGCATATAGGGAAATGGCTTGACCTTTAGGGAAAACTGTCGGTTTCACTCAAAGCCCTCGACGAGGGCTAAAAAGTGACCGCGAGTGAAATTTTCTTTATATGAGCTCTATTACGAAAAAAAATTTCCTCCGACGACCCCCCCTTGATATTTTGTGGGGTGGTAGGAGAACACCTAGGGGTGTCACAAAAAACTCGGCATATCTGGGAAAACTTCGTAAAGGGGTCAAAACTGACCAGTTGTATTTCCCTATATAATCTTTGTATTTTATGGGAAAAACAGAGGGTCATTTCAACGCAGACTTTAGGGTACTTAAACTCAGTATATCTGGCTAATTTTTGGCATGCATATAGGGAAATGGCTTGACCTTCAGGGAAAACTGTCGGTTTCACTCAAAGCCCTCGACGAGGGCTAAAAAGTGACCGCGAGTGAAATTCTCTTTATATGAGCTCTATTACGAAAAAAAATTTCCTCCGACGACCCCCCTTGATATTTTGTGAGGTGGTAGGAGAACACCTAGGGGTGTCACAAAAAACTCGGCATATCTGGGAAAACTTCGTAAAGGGGTCAAAACTGACCAGTTGTATTTCCCTATATAATCTTTGTATTTTATGGGAAAAACAGAGGGTCATTTCAACGCAGACTTTAGGGTACTTAAACTCAGTATATCTGGCTAATTTTTGGCATGCATATAGGGAAATGGCTTGACCTTTAGAGAAAACTGTCGGTTTCACTCAAAGCCCTCGACGAGGGCTAAAAAGTGACCGCGAGTGAAATTCTCTTTATATGAGCTCTATTACGAAAAAATTTTTCCTCCGACGACCCCCCTTGATATTTTGTGGGGTGGTAGGAGAACACCTAGGGGTGTCACAAAAAACTCGGCATATCTGGGAAAACTTCGTAAAGGGGTCAAAACTGACCAGTTGTATTTCCCTATATAATCTTTGTATTTTATGGGAAAAACAGAGGGTCATTTCAACGCAGACTTTAGGGTACTTAAACTCAGTATATGTGGCTAATTTTTGGCATGCATATAGGGAAACGGCTTGACCTTTAGAGAAAACTGTCGGTTTCACTCAAAGCCCTCGACGAGGGCTAAAAAGTGACCGCGAGTGAAATTCTCTTTATATGAGCTCTATTACGAAAAAATTTTTCCTCCGACGACCCCCCTTGATATTTTGTGGGGTGGTAGGAGAACACCTAGGGGTGTCACAAAAAACTCGGCATATCTGGGAAAACTTCGTAAAGGGGTCAAAACTGACCAGTTGTATTTCCCTATATAATCTTTGTATTTTATGGGAAAAACAGAGGGTCATTTCAACGTAGACTTTAGAGTACTTAAACGCAGTATATCTGGCTAATTTTTGGCATGCATATAGGGAAATGGCTTGACCTTTAGGGAAAACTGTCGGTTTCACTCAAAGCCCTCTACGAGGGCTAAAAAGTGACCGCGAGTGAAATTTTCTTTATATGAGCTCTATTACGAAAAAAAATTTCCTCCGACGACCCCCCTTGATATTTTGTGGGGTGGTAGGAGAACACCTAGGGGTGTCACAAAAAACTCGGCATATCTGGGAAAACTTCGTAAAGGGGTCAAAACTGACCAGTTGTATTTCCCTATATAATCTTTGTATTTTATGGGAAAAACAGAAGGTCATTTCAACGCAGACTTTAGGGTACTTAAACTCAGTATATCTGGCTAATTTTTGGCATGCATATAGGGAAATGGCTTGACCTTTAGGGAAAACTGTCGGTTTCACTCAAAGCCCTCGACGAGGGCTAAAAAGTGACCGCGAGTGAAATTCTCTTTATATGAGCTCTATTACGAAAAAAAATTTCCTCCGACGACCCCCCCTTTATATTTTGTGAGGTGGTAGGAGAACACCTTGGGGTGTCACAAAAAACTCGGCATATCTGGGAAAACTTCGTAAAGGGGTCAAAACTGACCAGTTGTATTTCCCTATATAATCTTTGTATTTTATGGGAAAAACAGAGGGTCATTTCAACGCAGACTTTAGGGTACTTAAACTCAGTATATCTGGCTAATTTTTGGCATGCATATAGGGAAATGGCTTGACCTTTAGGGAAAACTGTCGGTTTCACTCAAAGCCCTCGACGAGGGCTAAAAAGTGACCGCGAGTGAAATTCTCTTTATATGAGCTCTATTACGAAAAAAAATTTCCTCCGACGACCCCCCCTTTATATTTTGTGAGGTGGTAGGAGAACACCTTGGGGTGTCACAAAAAACTCGGCATATCTGGGAAAACTTCGTAAAGGGGTCAAAACTGACCAGTTGTATTTCCCTATATAATCTTTGTATTTTATGGGAAAAACAGGGAAATTTTAACACAATTTTTAGGTTACTTAATGTCTGTACATCATGCTAAGTTTGTGCATACACTACTATAGATGACTAGGCCGTATGGAAAAACTGTTGGTCAGACTCAAAGCCCTCGATGAGGGCTAAAAGATGATCTTGAGTGAAATTCTCCTTATATGAGATATATATATATAAATAAATTGACGAACGATCCCCTTTATATTTTGTGACGTCGTAGACCGACCCTGGAGGGTAACAAAAAAACTTTATTCCCGTCGGAAACAGCCATTATAGTCGTTAAATATGTTCATATAACGTAATTTCTTATATAAGCAAACAATATAAGTAAACAATGACATACGTCATACGTTCAGTTTTCAAGGGAGGTAACGTTTTTAAAATTATTGTATAATTGTATACTATTTTAAACAGAAACAGAAAATGAAGAAGTATAGCATTTGTTTTAGTACAAAATTAAGTTGTTTATTTAGTTAAGTATCCTAATTAAATAAATAAATTAATTTCAAAAGGCAATGTAATATAAACTATGAGATATACTGTTCATGAAACCTGTGTAGTTCTAATTCCATTTTAGTTATACATTGCGTAATTCTCTGCGAACGGCATGTAAATGACGAACAAAAACATTTTTTTCTAAAGTTAGCATTACTGTTTAAATTAAACTTATTAAAGCACTCCACACCCAATCCATCGCTAAATAATTAAGTATTCAAATTCTCAAATGTTATTTAAAAACCTAAGCGAAGCTAGGCAGTATGCCTAGTTTTTCCATAATTTTGTCTGAACTCTGTCAAAATAAAGTATTTTAATCAATTCCTATTACAGTTTATTAAAACAGTTTTTCTAAGACGCGAAATAACGGCTAAAATTCGTTTTCTAACATTGCTTTTTTTTTTATAATGCAAAAGTGTGTCGTCGCACCACCTGAACCCCCTCCCCTCCCCCTCATCACACACCGTCACAAAATTACGTACCCCCCTCCTCCCTAAGAGTGTGACGTCATTTATGGACGACCCCCTATAATTATAATAAACTCAACGCTGACCGTATTCGGTAGATCTAGATCTATCGGCTATCGGCTAGGATATAGATCTAGATCTATCTTAATTTTAGTTATGTACTAAGAAATCGCAGTTTTGAACGTTGCAATTTTGAGGGGGTGATGTGTGACGTCAAGGTAAGGGGTGAGGTGTAACTGTTGGGGGAGGGGTGCGGAGTAAGTTGTAAAAAATAACGTGGCCTACCCTTAGTCTTACTGTAATGTCAAATTAATGCAAATTAAAAAAAAAACAAAAAAAAAAAAAACGATGCTGTGTCGTCAGTGCAAGGGAAACTCTCTTATAAAGAAAAATAGAAATTTTCTAATTGTATGTTTTAATAGAGAAAATGACCGATGACGATGTCATATTTTTTAATCGGTGTTTATTATTGGCCAAGCTATGATTGATCAAGCATACTAATCCATTGTAGATCAAGCTACTCGATCTAAATGTCAATTTACCAGAGTAGGCCTAGATTTATATACATTTAGTACAAAGATCTAGCTATATAACCCAACATTATAAAGTACGTAATGAGTCGTAATGTCACAACTGTCACAACAGTAACTCGGAACTCCACAACAAAAATCATTAAAAATGACAACAAATTGAGATAATCTAATTCTAAATCTATCGTTTTAGGTGCGTAAAATTGTCAGAGGCTAGTAATGTGCGGAAAAGTTGCCTAATTGTTAAGGCTTTAATAGAAGTATATTGTGATATATTTGTGTCAAATATTATAGAATATAGAATATAGAATAATATAGATGAATAGAATAATAATAATAATAAACCAAAATCAATGGCTAAATTTATCAATAATTTGGGATATAGTCCGATATACTGATAAAGACAAGAAATTAACTTTAAACAGCAGTGTTTGCAAGCAGGATTTGCTATATAAAAAGTGACCATCTGTAATTAAGAGTGGTTTCCCCTGAATCTCTAACTATAATTTTACCAAAAAGAAAAAACTTAAGATGGCTACTAAAGTAAATGAGCTTGGTTGCATCTGATGAAAACATCGCTTGTCTTTATTTTTTACTGAAAAGTTTTAATACAATTGTTTAAAAACAGGTACATGAATGAGACTGAAACATTTTTGTAACTTTCAAAACATAAATCCTCCTAAAAATGTGAAATAATTAATAAAATTTAATGAGTCACCTTTTTTCACATTACTAATCTCGGCCGATTTTACTTACCTAAAACGATAGATTACCCAAATTGAAATGGCCAAGCAAGACTATTCCCAGCCAGTTGGAAACTATATTGGGGCTATTCCCCGCTGACTGTGAATAGCCCCATTATGGCTATTCCTAGTCGGCTGTCATTTCATGCTTAATACGACTGGGAATAATATCTTACGATAACAAAAGCATTTTATTGTGACTGGGGAGTGAGGTATTATTTACGGTATTATAGATTAAGAGAGTTTAAAGAGAGCAGTGCTATTTTTTTTATTGTGTTATATTTTCATTAAAAAAATATTATGGTTTAAGTTTAGCTTTTAGGCTCATATCTGCTACGTCGGTTGTAGATGAACTGACTATTTAATGCCAATTATCATTATACATTCTAATTAAATCTATACTAGTCTGATTAGTAGTTCACCTTCATTGTTATTGAACTGTCAATTAGCCTACCATTTAAAATTTGCATAGAACAAATATCAGGTGAAATAGTATTTGAAATAGGATGATTGTCCTTTTTAATCAACTATAATTCACAGTTTCCATCACACTTTTCCCCAAGTTGTTTTTCTCTTAGCAAAAATCTAAGGGACAGGTTTTTTTTTTTTTTTGCAGATATGCCATTAATCACGTAGATCTAACCCTTTCATGAACAAAGGGAAAAAAATAGAATTTAGATAATAAGGGGCATAAATTGTCAAAAGACATGGCATCTGATGGGTTTGAATTAATAGCTAATTAAGGGGTGTGGCACTGTTCTATAGGATGATTTGCAGACTGCACTGCTAGGTTGCTATTCCATATACCATCATGAAACTTTTCATATTAGGACTAGAGAATGTAAAAAATACTAACATGCAAGTAAAATAAACATAGCCAGAGGAAAACTATAAATATTTAACTTGAATAATGGTGCAGCGCTTGATTTAAAACCCACACATACTGATATTAATTAATTGTAATTGAATGCACTACACACTAATATTAATTTTAAGGAATTACTTATTTATTGAAATTGAAGAAAGATAATTACTTAGTTTTAAGGAAGAAAAACAATAAAAATTTGATTTTTTGGGAAAAAATATGCTTCTGTTGGGAAAATTAATGACCACAGTTATTTTGTATAAGTTCTTACTCATAGATAGTGAAAGTTCGTCCATTTTATAACAAAAAATAACTTCTATTAATCTGTTTCTGTCATATGCCAGGTTCAACTTTAACACAGATTTTTCAGTAGTTTGATTATCAATATTAAATGATCTATAACTTGTGTCATACTGAAGGGGTGAGGGTGTTGAAGTATGATGATGGTTTGAGGTGTCATTAAGAGAGTGTTTGTTTATTTTCATTTGAACTATTGATTATTTTGGGGTTTGGTGCTTAGTATCTTTTCAAAATGTCATTTTAAGGCGGCGGTCTGGGCTTTTTTGTGTTTTTTGCAAAAGCTTAATGTTAATAATGGACCATCCTGTAGGCCAAGATGGATGAAAATCTAGCTTCAAACCCATTTGCTGCACTTTTCTCATGTATTGAGCAAGCTAAAGCTTTTCAAGAACAAAATTCAGTCAATAATGAAAACCCTAATGGTAATGATAATTCAGGTAATTCATTTAAAAAGTTGTAGTATTAATTATAGACTACTAGTTAGCACTTATTTATTTATATTTATAAATTTTCCCCACCAGATTTATTGCTCAACAATTAATTAATTAATTTTTTTATGCAAAAAATCGCTCATTGACAAATAAGGCCTAAATATACTTTTGTCACTTAAGAAACATACTCAGATTTAATATTCAATTTTTTATTTTAACCGTTTCCAGAATTGAATTCTCCAATAGAGACTGTCAAAGATGAAACACAAGAGATCAATAAGCTTGCAGAAAATATATTCAGAATATCTTTACAGCCAGGTATGGTGCGATTTGTGTAGGACAGGCTTAATTTGAATGTGTACACTTTCCTTATTGACGTGTATAATGTAGTGTTCTTCTTAGATTGTTTTTAAAATAATTGATGTTATATAAACATATGTTATATTTTGTTTGTGTAGAATCTACCAAACAGGGTAGAAACATCAGATATTCACCTGAAATAGCCAGTATCTACAACAAGAACCCATTCATCAACAGTAACAATTTAAAACATGTAGGTGTTGTTTTGTAAAACACAAATATCAGATGCATAACTAGACATCAAAATATGATTTAGTATTATCATTAAAAAAGGTATATACACTAACATATTAAAGTTTCACCACCAAATGCCTTTCTTTCTCACACATATGCCAGGCAGAAAGCGACTAATAAAGAATTGAGCATTTCTCTCTCAGTTTGCTTGTATTTCTCCCCCGCCCCTCACTTAGCATTACACCACCTGGTTTGAAAATGTGGGGCAGTGACAATCTATAACTTAAGCCTGGATACTCAAGTTGTGACTTGTGGGTTAACATGCACACATTCTACTTCTAGACCACACTGTCTCCTTAATGACACTAGACAGATTAGACTTCTAACAAGAAAAACAAAAAAATCCTTTGAAAAGTAAAAGATTCAATGCTCATTTGTCTTATTTAAATTTGATTCAGGTTGTATTTGAAGTGTTAATGATGGATGAGGATGTTGAAGAGTTTGAGATAAAACACGAACTGGATGATGAACGTGAGCAGGTGTTTGACAACCACATTATTGAAAATTCAGAAGTTTTGTCCTTTTTGTATTCTTCTTACAGGCGGCTTTTAATGCAAAATGAAGTTTTTGAGGTGTGTATTCAAATAAAATAACTTTTCTTTACTTAAATTTAGTTGGATGTGCCTGAATACCCATCATTAACGTAAAATAAGCACATCTAATCCCTGTTTATCATTTGAACTAGATCTTTCTTTCAGTCTCTAGATAAGTGAAAATTTTAATTTTCCTAATTAAAAAGTGCTATATTTTAAAATAATGTGTTTATAGGTCAGTTACATTTGTTTTAAACACTATTGTAGAAAACTGGTTCAGCAATTACCTTGGAGTTTTTGAAAGAATGCAGAGATGTCATTTTGCAAAATGCCAGTATGTGCTTTCAACAGCCTGAAGTTTATCAGAACCAAGATTTTGTCAGCCAGTTTATAAATCTTTGTTTAGAAGAAGATTTACCATTGCAAGGTATTAAACTTAAGTTTATCTTATCATTTACTTGTACATTTTTATAAAGTCATATACATTTTAACATTAAATAGTAGATTATAGCTTTGAATAATATTAATTATTTGCAGACCCAAACAACATACCCTGTCAGTTTCTACGAGAAGTTTCTGAAGCAATAGAAAGTAACAGTGAACAAGGATCACTCATGCATTCATTCTGGCCAATATTACAAGAAGTTCAAATGAGGTTAATTAAAGATAACATGACTATTGTTCACAAACATGCTACCAAGTATGTGAAAGTTCTACACTTTTTTACAGGCACACCAGCATTAGCAAAGGTAATAAGCTATTATGCTACTTTATGTTAATTATTATGTTACTTTTGTATGTATATAAGGTATGGAAGAATGACACTTTACCTATACTTGCTTATAGTATACATTTTTTGTGTAGTTTTTTTTTTTTTTTTTTAAAAGAAGCTTTTTCCTTAATAATATAAAAAAAAAGATGATAATTGTTTTTTTTAACCAATATCAAACCATCATCCAGTGTGTTGATTCAAAAATGTATATTCTGTTTCTTTCTGTAGTCAAAATTTATTTTCTAAAAAACAACAAGCTTTGCTTTCTTTGTCGGAAGGATTAAATCCAGCAACATGTTTAATATGTTCCCTATTTTAAATCGTTTTTTTAATTGTGATTTCAGTTTTTTTTGTCTGCTAACACTCCAGAACTTACTCAAAACTTGAGTGGAAAAGCATTTGAGATGACACCAATAGGGGCAGTGTTGAGCCTAAGCATTCTACCACGAGGGGAAAATGAGCCTTTTAAATTTTTTTCAAAGCCCTCGAATCAAAGCAAAAAAGAGGTGGACATGGTGGAACAAAGTGTTTGGAGGGTAAATCTTATTTGTTGTACATAATGATCATGCTAAATAATATGTGAAACAAAATGAGTATGCAGTTGGGATTTGTCAATATTAATATCTAATTAAACATCAACAGAAATGTTAAAGTTTCTGTTTTATAGTTTTTTTCTATTGAATTTAAATCACCTAGTGTTAAAAGCTATGAATATTAAACCATCAAGTTATAGCTTATTGAGTTTTTGAAAAATATTATTTTTCATTAGTGGTCAGCCTTACTCAATTTTTAATTTTTTTTTTGCGTTAGCCTATGAGTAGCCAAAACTTTTCAAAAATGGCTATTGGTTAAGTCTTAAAATGTATATTATAAATAAAAATTTGTTAACAGGCAACTGAAGGATTAGTCAATGGCATTCATAAGATATTTGTAGATCTCATGAAAATAACACCTGAACTAAAACACAACACATTGTGCTGGTTGGGACAGTGTCTTCACAGAAATTCTGGTAATATCATACTTAAATGCTTTTATAACATTTAATCTATTTCATCTTTCCTATTCTGGGCTATTTTTCTTAACTATTCTTTAGTTTGTACCTGGAAAATTGTTAAGAAAAACAGTTGACAAAATTTACATTATTTGACCATTTACACCAACTACAATATGCAAAGGAAAAAAAATGTTAAAGTGTGGACATTTAAAGCTAATTTAAATTTATATTTTAAAAAAAAATTATTTTCTGTTATCTATCTTAAAATGAACTATAATCACAAAACTTGTTTTCACAGGTCGAGCAAAATTGTGGGCCAGTAACCTTCCTGTAGATCTGTTTGTTAGTGATGCATTTGCAGTGAATATCACCCATGTGCTCTTGTTGTTCTGCAAACCCTTTTCTAATCCAAGTTCATCCAAGTTGCTAAAAATACAACCCTCTTACACCACAGTTGTTGTGACTAATGACGAAGAAATGATGCGCAGATCTGTTCATCTTATTGGTAATTGCAATGTTCTTGGAATATTAACAAGAAAATATTACTTTCCCGTGACAAAATGATTTGATACTGATTTGAAGCAGATCATATTGAAGATTTTTTATTACATTTAACAAATTCTTCTTTGTCAACTTGTTCTAGGAATGACAAAAGAAACATTTCTGATTCCTCCACAAGATGTACAGAGAGTAGAAGAAGATGACACTTTTACATTTATTACTGAATGTTTTTTTATTGCTCACAAAGCTATCCAGGTATGTGCTATTGCAGGGGCTTAGTTAGGATTTCTATAAAAGTTAAAAGCTTATAGATCTTACTGTTAAGTTACATCTGGGAATTTTACTCTGTAGGTTTTTCTTCAACCTGTGCTTAGTCGTCTGTTGACTGTCAATAGGGATCTCCATCAAATACAAAGGTTGTACAATGAAGTAATACAGCAGTCTTCAGGGAATGAAGAGCCTGTACTCAATATCAAAGCCAGAATGGAAAAAGGTCATTTTTTATTTTCATTTTTATGGATAATTGTATTATTGCTAAAGCACTGAGAATAACATTGTAACATTCTTTTTTTGCATTACAGCAATGTCATTTTACCTAAATCGCAAAGCTGCACTGACACAACCAGATCTGTTGTCTGAAGCCTTCAGTTTTCAAATAGCATCAGCCTCCTGGCTTTGTCTTGTTGCTACAATTGAGTTGCCTAAAGCTTCTGAAGTGGATTTAAAAATGAAAGTAAGTTATACATCTTACAACAGTTGAGTTAGTTTGTCTCTGTGTTAAGTTATAGATGGCGGTTATATCTTGTGATGTAGCAAAAGCTAGCATAGCTTAGGCTTATAATAAATTAAAAAAAATAAATTAAAAATGTATATATATATATATATATATATATATATATATATATATATATATATATATATATATATATATAATATTTGTATACTGATATATTGATATATATGTAATAGATAAACTTGTTTTCCTTGTTCACCAGCTACCAGAGCTGACATTTCCACTCTCTGAGGCTGTGCCCAGTACATTATCCTGTATACCTGAGTGTATTGCTGAAAACATTTGCCATCTCATTAACCATATCTACAGATACGATGATAGGATCTTAGAGTCAAAAGAGAAAAAGTAATTAAATTTTCTTTAAACAGACATTTTAAAATGATCAACATTACAGCACACAGCCTAGCTAACTGCAACTTTAAAAAAAAACATTATTTTATCTCTGGGGTAAAAATATACATTACTTTTGGCCTTTTCTCTCTTAAACATAATATTTTGTCATTAAAATTTACAATACTCATCACTTGACACAATTTTTGTTTCAGTATTGAGCATCTCTTGTCTTTCATACTGGTGTTTATGCGTTCATCAAAAAGAATGAAAAACCCCCACCTTAGAGCTGAACTAGCCGAAATGCTTGCTTCACTTATGCCTCTACAGCCTAATGAAGTTCACCCTGACAGACTCACTGGATCTCAGTAAAAAAAATTTCTACTTTAGATTGTATCACTTTCAGATCATACCTGTGCATTTCTGTTGAGGTTTCAAAACAACGTAATTTTTTTTACAGCATTGAGTGATCACAGACATAATTTTAAAGTTGCTTGCTATTTATTTCCTAAGGCTTTTCAGAGGAGAACTTTTTGAAAGCCACCCCCATGTGGCCTACATACCAGAGACCTTGCTGCATGTGTTTGTCAGCATTGAAATGACTGGTGAAAGTGTTGCCTTCGAGCAGAAGTTCAACTACAGAAGACCCATGTACAACATTTTGAAATATTTATGGAACATTCCTAAGCACAGGCAAAAGTTGAAGGTAAGTTTCATTGTAAAACATTCTTATAAATATTCTTACTAAAACCCTGTTTTAGTTTTAGGCTAATTTAACAAGGAGAATCATCCGTTGCTAATTTCTTGGTTTACTTCCAGAGCCTGGCTGATGATGCAGAAAAGAATATCATGTGTTCAGAACCTCCTTTGTTCCTGAGATTTATTAATTTACTTGTCAACGATGCAACTTATTTATTAGATGAAGCTCTTATAGTAAGTAGACCTATCTAACAAAATACTTGTAAATATCTGACTTCCGAATTATTAAATTATTTAATTGCAATAAATAAAAAATAAAAACTTCGACTCACTTATTTAGTAATTTACTTATAAATCTGATTTTTGTTTGTTTAAATAATGCTTAAAATTGCAGATGAAAAAGTTTTGTAAAAACAGAGGTAAACTTTAAAAAAAATAGATTGTTTAGCTAGTTGTACACTATGTGTTTAATATGTTCCTTTAACTTGTGTTGTATTATATTTTAGTGTATGGGTCAAATAAAAGAAAAACAGATGGAGCGAGACAGAGGAGAATGGAGTCGTTTACCTGAAGCACAGAGGCACCAGGAGGAGGCCAGCCTCCAGCATTTATCACGTTTAGCTCAGTTTCACAATGTCATGGGGAGCTCAACAATCAGCACCCTAAGGATGATAACAGAGGAAATAACATCAATCTTTTGTCATCCAACTTTTGTTGACCGCATAGCGAGCATGCTCAATTATTTTCTCTGTAGATTGGTATGTTGGGTTTCATCAAATACTTATCAGCTCTATTAGATCCTTAGCTAGAATAAAGAATTTAGGTTTTGTTTTATTGTTTAATTGATGCACTACATGTACTACTGGTTCTAAATACTTGTTATAAATGTTACCCATTAATTGTAGATATTACTTTAAGGGACTCTAGCACAACCTCACTATAGAAGGCTACAGATGTTATCAAATGTACTTACATTAACAGTTTTAATGCTAAATAGCAAGAAAATTATTACTTGGTTTCTGAAAGTTTGCACCTCTTTTGCTTTTGATTCAGAAAGATATGAGAATTGAGTATTTTTCCTTTCTTCTAGGTTGGACCAAAACAGAAAAGTTTCACAGTTAAAGACAAAGAGAATTATGAATTCAAACCTCAGGAAACCGTCTCAAATATTTCTGCAATTTACCTTAATCTACAATCAAGTGATGATTTCTGCCAAGCTGTCTTTCAAGACGAAAGATCTTTTTCTCCAGAATTATTTATTCAGGTATAGCAGGTGACTGTATTGTTTGCATACAAACATAAACAGGTGCACATTTTTTATCATGCAAGTTTTAGTAGAATTTTAAAATGCAAACAAAAAATCGATTTGAATCCGTTATTAGAGTTTAAAATTTTTTTTTGACTCATTTAATTACTCTACATGTTGTTAAATTTTCAAGATTTTCATTAACCACAAGACTTACATTATTGTTTATTTTCTCCAGGCCTCCCAAGTAATGGAGAAAATAGGAGAATCTCCACAGGCCATCTATGACTTTATGCAGCTTCAAGACAAACTCAAGGTAAACAATCTTGTTGCTTCTCCTGTCACCATTTCTTCTATAGTGAAAAAAATAAATTGAATCCCACTAAATTATTTTTTTAGATTTCTCTCTATATGTAGTACATGTTTTTGTGAACTGAATGTATGTTGATAAGCACCATACGCTGTTTAAATGTGTATTTAAAAAAATGTTAATTTCCTTTTCTGTCATAGACAATGCAGACAACAAAATTATCTGAAGAGCAGGCACTAGCAGATGCTCCTGAAGAGTTCCTTGATCCTATAATGGGGACTCTAATGACAGATCCAGTCATGCTCCCTTCATCACACAACATTGTTGATAGAAATGTTATTGCTCGCCATATTTTAAGGTACTTTCTCTATTTTACCATTGAAGCTTAATTACACTAAAATTTCTTGGGGGTCGGCGTGGTCGAGTCGGTAAAGCTCATGGCTGCTAAACCAAAAAAGTCTCGAGTTCGAACCCTCTGGCAGATGAGGCTCGTTAGCTGGGGACAGCCACTCTTCTAGGAGAGAAGAAAATGAAAACAACTGCTGTCTTGTAGTTTGTTCTTGGTTGGACAAAGGCTATGGAAGCAAATCCAAAAAGAAAAGCAGGCTGAAATCTGAGTCAATGTCCTCAATGACGCATAACCAGTTGACACGTATACTTAATTGTGCTGGAGGGGGATCCTTTCCAACACTTAAATTAAGAACAAAGAAGAAGAATATTTCTTATTATTTGATAATAAAATAATGTGTTACCTTGAGAGAAAAGAAATTCAGTGACTTGTTGATGTACATTGAAATGCTGGCTTAAAATGAAAGGTAATTTTGCTTTAAAATCTATTTCCTTAGTGACCAGACAGATCCTTTCAACAGACAGCCACTATCCTTGGACATGGTCATACCACAAGCAGAACTTAAAGCTAAAATTCAGGCCTGGGTAGCTGAAAGGATGAAAAGTTTATAATCAAACATGATATATATCTATATATACAGACATTTACGTCAAGAGTAATTTATCTGGTGCAGAGTTCCGAGGTTATTAAAATGTTCGATGTTGTTTGGTTGTTTTAATGAACTTTTATTTTGTTTTTACTCATACATACGATACTTTGCATATTTTCTAAGCTATTTTCTGCCTGTTTACTTTTTCTGCCTTAAAACTTGGTAACTCATTTATCCTGTGTATATCTGTCTGTCAGACCAAGCTGTTGTCAGTGTTCAACCTGCAATCACATACTCAGATTTGGCAGATAGAAAAAAATAACTTTCTTCATTTTCAAAGTGTCACAGACAGCCTGAAGGTTTTTTAAATAGATTAATGGTTTAGTTTTTATCTCTGCTGGCTGCACTTTGAAATTATAATGGCCATTATTTAGCCTGTTTACTTATTGTCATTAGATAGGTAAATATTGGAGAGTTGTTAGTCAGTTCCTTCCTAGAAGTTAGTTTAAAGATTTACCTAGCCTCAAAATGTTTCTATTTCTAGTTGATGGCATTTTATTTTTCTTTAGATTTCCTCTAATATTCCACCCACACCTTTATTCCTATTATCAAAAGCTCTTCAGTTTTATACATTTTTACCTGATCTTTCTTGATGGCATAAAAACTAATTCTTACATTAGCTTCATCATTTCTGTTGATGAAGTAAATTTAATTGGAACTCTAGTCGCAAACTAATCATTTAAATGAAAGAAAGTTTAGAAGACTTCAATGAAGTAACTTTGTTCAAGAAGTATTTCTCATTGTTTGACTGAACACTTGATCTGTTTTAAAAATCAGTTTTGAGAAGCTACGATAGGATTATGTTTACATTATAAAACAAACACAAGTGAGCCATGTACTGTATATGATTCATGGACTATAAAACATTTAAGACTTAATTTTTTTAAATCCAAAAAATTCTGTGATGTTTTATTTAATTTACAGTTAATGCCATGAACATGTTATAATTGTATTGTGTGTGTTGGATACAGGAGAGTTCAGCCTGGTGGAGCTTGTCTTTTTTTTGTTTTAATTTAAACAAATGTATTTAATTTTGATTCAGTTGTCAGAATTAAAAATAAGTGAAATCAATACAAGTTCTCCTAGTCTTCCTGTTCTAATTCCTAATTTTACCAAAATCAGAAGGAAAAACATTAGCTCTAACTTTAGTATTATAAGTATTATGAATAACTAAGTCAATCAACGACCGGGTGAGGGGGGTAGGGTGTGACACCGAAATGGAATAATTTATGAAGGAAATGATGCTTTTTCATCATGAATGAATTGATGGATTAATATAATGTGCGCACAAATTTACGACATAAGGCAAAATTGGAGGGGTTGACGCCAACTGCAACTATATATATATATATATATATATATATATAATTTTTTCTTTGGGGTGGGGAGATTACACCATGAGGTGCCGCACCGGGTGACATCCGACATAGCGACTATATGTATATATATATATATATATATATATATATAGCGCCTATATTTATAGACTGATATAAAAGTAAATATATCTGATCATGTATAACTAAATATTTATTTTAACGTGTGTACAAATATTTGTGTTTGAGTGTATGTGAACGATGTTTTAAAAAAAAAACGCCGCTATCAACACCGTAGACCCAGATCGTTGCCGCCGTCAATAGATTATTGTGTGACACCTGGGGATTTAATTAGCGCACGTGCAATCTGTGGCTGGATCAAATTTGAGCCTAGGATGGAACATAAATAATGCACACCCCATCATACGTTTACAGCATGGGACACGCCACTCGCGACACGAACCTGCAGGGAGTTTTGATTGATCTGGTACATGTAGCAGCAATATGTGCGACAGATTATGGCTGATTGATCTGGTACAAGTAGCAGCAATATGTGCGACAGATTATGGCAGGGACATAAATAATGATACTGGTGTCACGACATGTAATTTTCGGGAATTGAGATCTCATACAGGCCTTAGAATAGATCATACGTATATTCTAAAACACACTGGAGACCATTTAGTTATATTATACAGACCAGTGGTGTAGCCAGGATCGTCTCAAGGGGGGGGGGGGGGGGGGTCCAATTTTTACCCCGGGACAAACTTTCGATTTGCACCCCCCCTCAAACTTTCGATTTGCACCCCCCCTCAAACTTTCGATTTGCACCCCCCCTCAAACTTTCGATTTGCACCCCCCCCCCCTCAAACTTTCGATTTGCACCCCCCTCAAACTTTCGATTTGCACCCCCTCATACTTTATATATATATACCGAGAGGTCTATGGGGGGGGGTTATGACCCCCCTAACCCCCCCTGCCTACACCACTGATACAGACATTCTAAAACACACTGAAGACCATTTGGTATATCATATAGACATTTTAAAACATACTATAGGTCTTTGAATGTCTCATATAGAACAGTGGTTCTTAAGCTTTTAGGACGTACCGAACCCCACCAGTATCAGATGTGCATTCACCGAACCCTTTTTAATAGTTCTATCGTCCGCACTGACAAAACTCATATCGTGAATCACATGAGACGCCTGAGACTCTCTCAGCGAACCCCCATGGTTCGATCGAACCCAGGTTAAGAACCACTGATATAGGCATTCTAACACAGACCTATAATAAGTACACCGTTTAAACCAGCGGCGTGACCAAGTCAGGTTTCACTCGGTGCGGTAACACATGGATAGCAAAACAGTTCAATTTGCAAATACACTAGATCTGGTCATGTTTTTATGGGGACGTATGGTTGGCTTGGTAGATTTCCTACCGCTGGAAGAGCAAGTCTCTGTGTGTGTGTGTGTGGTGGTGGTGGGTGGGGGGGGGGGAATTCCCTTACGGCCAAGACGTCCAGCCGACTGGAGGAAAATGTGTGCTCAATATTCAGATGATTTAACCTATAGATTACATTAGATTACAATCAATCAGCATTACACATAACACACCGGTTATTGGCAATAAAAAGTAGAACCACGCCATTCTTAACTGAAACAAATCTTGCTCTGGAAAAAAACAACAGTGAAGCAATGGAAACGTCAGTGGCCTGAATCTATGCATTACAACTAATATCCATTAAAATGTTTCGCATATAGGCCCATATTCTCTCAATACTAAATGATTGTTTCGGTTCAAGTTTGTGATTCAGATCATTTTGTTTGATCTATCGATAGGCAATAATTTAGTCATTTTTGTTTGCATTGTTGTTACCCTTAAGTGTGGATTATTCTATAAAGAAAAAAAAAAAAGAAATAGACTATTTTACTTTCCGGATAGATATTGTAAAAAATATTTTTAAAACCAAAAAGACTAAATAATTTTTAGAAAAATTGAAATAATTTTTGGAAAATTCATTTAGATCTAGATCTATATGTTTCTTAATGAAAGTTTTAAAAAATAAATAAATTAAGTTCCATTGGTAAATTGGCGAAACGACTCATTCCGCCGAACTCATGATTTTGAAGCCCATATATTGTGTCTCTCATATGGTCGGCGTGTCAACCTTACTCCCACTCGCACATAAGTTAGCGAGTCAACATAAAGACCATAGGAGTCATCTCAATGACGTAAAATGTAGGCTACTATGATGGGCACTATCTCATATTCAGTGTTTCTTCCAGACTTTTTTCTCCGGGGGGGGGGGGGGGCACTTGAAATTTTCGGGGGGGGGGGGGGGGGGGCGGTAGACTTTCTTCGGGGGCGGGGTTGGGGGGCAGACACTGTTAAGAGTATATATTATCTATATAATTTTCATTTCGTTCGGGGGGGGGGGGGGGGGTAAATCTATATATTGACGACAACGTTAACGACAGTAGCGTACGCAGGGGGGGGGGGGAGCAGGGGGAGCAGCCGCTCCCCCTCTGGCCATTTTCAGCAAAGCGGCGCCTTTTTGGAAACGTTTTAAACTCAAAGTTTTAAACAATGATATTTATAAAAAAAATATTTTTGGTCGACACATCTATGTAAATCACAAGATTTCATTTCATGCAGCAATTAAGCATTATTGTACTAGTCTAGTAGTGTCTACGTTTACAACATGTATTAACAGCTGCATCAGTTTGCCATTCTAAAAATAACCATTACGATGCATTGCAATGTTTAGAAAACCTCTGCGGGTGGGTAGTACCACTTGGCAAGAGGGGTGTTAAGTTTAAGGCAACTGTATAATGTATTTGCTTACGAATATTTGAATTAGAAAATGTTATACATAAAACTTCACATTACTTTATATATACAGTTTGAATCGTGTGATTAATTAAAAAAAATTACAATACAGAAACAAATACAACTGATGTGGCACCTCTATTTAAATTTACTTATGAGCAAACTGCGTAGTGGTGGGGACATTTTGACAAGGTCAAAAACGTCATCACGATGAAGTAGTAGTATTCTTACAGTTTGGGCGATAGTGATTACGATTACAAATTATATGAAACAGTTACAACCCCCCAACCCCCCTCTGTAAAAAAAATATTGTCGTAATACCACTGCTACTTATTTAAATCTATTTCTGTAATAAATATTTGTGTAATATATATTTGTCAAATATATATGTATGTTTAGAACAGTCATCTAAAAAACTGACACTATGTTCACTCTGAGTTGGTTATCTCTCCCCCCCCCCACACACACACACCTCACCACCACAATTGTGTAGAGCGACATTAATGTCACACCTAGGTATACACTGGGTTGGATAATTGACCTAAATTGACCGGACAGTGGTGAATGAAGTTGAACCGACCCCCCTCCCCCCCACCCCACCCAACCACCCCGAACTGATCTGTTAAGTACATGTAGAAAAACGCGTAATGGTGTACCAAAGTACCATGCCGCCAGAAAATTAGCTTTTTTTAACGTAAAACTCTGTGAATATTGTTTTTGCAATTACCAGTAAAAAGGTGTGTGACCAATACAGTGATCTAACCCACACCTATCACTATGTTAAAAAATGATCTTTAAAGAGCATAAAGAAGCAGTAGTTAATTAAAAATATATGATCTGAACTAAAAGACCGATACTTAGTTAAATGTAGGCTGTTATTTGGAATATTTTCTATGTTATCGAAAAGCGTGGTTTTTTACGAACTCTGATTTTAAAAACTTTTATTATGCTGTGATACTTTAGCATTTATGATGACGATATATTAAATTCTGTTTATAGACAAAAACATTTTGTAAACACGAATAGTGTTAAACAATTTCATTATATTCTAAAGTAATTATTTATTTGTTTTGACATTTGTAATTAAATGTGTAGATATATACATATTTATATTAAGAGAGGGATTATTTCCCCCATTTCACTTGTCTTAAATAATTTCCCAGGAATTATTATGTAAGACTTTTTTTTTTACAAGAATTACAAAACAGATTGTGTTACGTTCATGGCTTTTGGTTGTAGTGTGTGTATATGTTTTTTTTTTTGTTTAGATTGATACCATTTTTTTTTGTCGGCCTATATTTTGTGTTTTTTCTTATTTCTTCAGAGTGCTACTTTCAATTTATTTTACATCATAGCGAAGTAATGACATACAGCTAGTAATTATATATATATATATATATATATATATATATATATATATATATATATATATATATATAATATAGTGAGACTTGTGAAGTCAAGGGAACTCACTCTTCTTGTATTAGTATTATATTTATACTGTTATCTTGAGTGATGTCCCTTATATATTTGTCTCTCGTCACTTCCGCCCTCTCTCGTTTCCATCATGTAGTTGAGGCCAATAAACGTTTTATATACAATCACATGCTTCTATCGTCAATCTATTACATCTGGCGACGAGGATAAATAATCCACTAGAAAGAGCATATGCTTACTTAAAAAGGAGCTTGCTAGAGCATATTGGCTAAGTATTTCTAGAATAATGGCGCTATATGGCCAAATAAAAGAATTTGATTCGAATGATGAAACCATTCATGATTATCTAGATAGGTTAAGCTTTTACCTTGAAGCTAACGACGTGATGATAGAAGCCAAAAAGAGAGCTGTTTTGTTAACAGTCATAGGGCCTCAACAATTTAGGCTACTAAAGGACTTATGCGCACCAGCTAGTCCAGAT